TACAGTGTGTATCACATCAATACGCCGTCGATTTTGAGTGAATCAGGGAGGACACCGGCCACTCGTACTCAGTCGTTTTAATTTGCGTCTTAATGATCCTCTGCAATTTTTGTACGAAATTGGTAAATTCATCTTTTGGATAATAACATAAATTGGGATTAGTTAGTTATACATATTTTTATTGTAAGAAAATTATATAGATAGAGCGGATATATTTTCATTTTTTTATTAATACATTAATCTACTATCTTAGAATCACTCTAACCACAAATCACATGTTTATATAGTCTAAACGTCCTCCTGGAAAAGCTTTCCATTCAAAAACCATCGCACGACTTTCCTTATCCATTTAACACCACCAACATTTTATTACATTTGTCTTTGGTTACAATGGGATTTTTGGTCTAGCTAGTTGATGCCATATTTTAACTTAGGCTCGGATCGTTATTATCTCTCCATTCTGATTCATCCACTATATATAGCTTTAATCATATAACCACCGAGTCTTATAGTCATAGAGGAGGTAAATCGTACCTTTTGGTTATTTTCTCCAAGCCAACATGCATTTTAGGCTACACTCCAACTATGGTACTATGCCAACACTTGGAATTTCTCGACCGAGTATCATGGTTTCATACTGTTTGGTTTTCAGGTGCGATCCCTAAGCATTTCTTCTATTATCATGCGGGTTGCAATGTTTCATGTTTGACAGCGCTTCTTTATGACACCAAGTCTTGCATTTTAGGAATTAATGTTTTTTCTACTTGTTACTAATTCTGCGACCACCTATCATAAAACAAGAGAACATCGTTTATGTGATGCGACTTCAGGCTTGTGGAGCTTTAAACTGTAAGACTGTCGACTAAGAATTGACTAATGGAAAAAACTGAAATCTTTATTTATTTACGAAGGTGGAACCCCATGGTCTCATGCCACAATCAAGTTCATTACATCCCAAGCGATATTGTATACTATTTCGAGAGAACGTAATTCTCGTACAGTATGATCTCATAATATCTAGTATAAAGTATGACCTCATATTATCTTCTCAATAGTTATATATAGCTCAACTTTAAATAATATATATCTCTTGCATCTTTGTTAATTACTTACAAAGAGTTCAATAGACCAATGCGGAAGTTCTTGAAAACATTCATAAAATGTATAAAACCCAAAAAAACAATAGAGGGAAATCTCTATAAATTAATACTTGATAAACTAAATTCAAATATTAAATGTACGTACTTTTGAGTGTATCATAGTATCATCTTCTATTTCATCATCAATATTAAGAACAGTAGCCAAATTCTTGATCAACTTTGAAGTTTTGAGCATGTATTTATTCTCACATGAATATCCATTATATGCAATATTCATGACTATTAATCATGAATTTAGGTACATAAATGTCGTTTTCGTAGATTTAAACTTCTAAATGCCTTGATATATATAAGTATAACATCCCTTAAACAAGTTTTGCAATATCGAAAACAGTTTGCTATTGTCTTTTGTTGGACATTAACAGTCCAAGATGAGACTGCAAGATTAATAGCATTCAAAGATGGAAAAAAAAAAATCCGAGAAGGATATTGATTCAACAAGTGTTTTATGTTGAACCCAAAATTTGGTAGACAGGATAAATTTCCAAAATGTATACTTTCTAATCAATCTGTAACAAAACAATGTCCACAATTTATAGTTTAATTTCTATCATTAAATCCACGAATTCTTTCATAATCTATTAAAACCCACTTTGCAATTAAATTCTTACCTATATCCTTAGTATTGAATAACACATGATTTTAATTAGTACTAAAGAAACACATAACGAATAGCATATAGGCTTTTGATAAGAATTTTATAATTTGTAATCCAGTAACACTTTTCTTTCGATTTGCAAATCAAACTATATTTATATAACCAATAACCCTGCTTAACCTTGACTTATGTTTTAGCACAAAATTAAAAAAAAAAAACCTTGACCTCTGTCTAATGTATGTGGCATAACAACTTTTTCAACTCAAACTCTAAGAAAATCAGAGAGGATTGATGTATTATATATTATACTATATGTTAAAGAACTACGACCATTCGTACTGATGATGAATAACTAATTAAATTTATTTAAAGAAGACTTAGCTGTCAACGAAGTATTTTAATGAAAGAAGTTCCACCACAATGATATGTCATCGTCGATCCTTCTATATAGGTAAAATATTAGAGTATCTAGTAACGCTAATACAAAACAATAAAATCAGAACTTTAATTAGCCTTTGAGCGATAAAAAAATCATGTATGTGTTCATCATGCATACATTTAGACACATACACATGCATACAATATACTCCTAAATTAGAGTACGTTATTGATCTGTAAACAAATGATCAATTAAACAATCTAATTTTCTAGAACATAAAAACCCTTGTTTACCTAACTATTGCGTTGTTGTTGGTATAGAGGTTAGAGAACAGGTTGGTAATAGATACATTTACACATTAGTATGAAAGCTAAAGAAACCCAATGTCAAAGAAATCACTATACTTTTCAAGTTCTAATGGTTTTAATATTTTTAACCTTATAGAGCTACGAGAACTGAGAAACCAGGAGGTGAAAGAGAAACAGTAAATTCTTTTTTCTTTTGCTTGTTTCACTTGCATGAACTGAAACTCCCCCATCTTTTCTAGAAATATATATATACAAGTATGAGTAAGTTTCTCTCACTATAGCATTAATGGATCATCATAAATGCATTGCACCCTCTCTATGCGCTCAGCAATAACTCCTTTTTCTTCTTGCAAATCCACCTGTTCCCTTTCTTCCTCCCTTGTCTTCTTCTTCTTCTTCTCTTTCACCTTCTGCAACAAATTTCCATTGTACGTAGCTAGCTAGCTCTGCCCCGGTTTAAGATTATCCAAGAGAACGGAATCCCCGTTTTCCCGTAACCGGGGTTGGCCGGACCCCTAGCAAACAACCTTTTTACCTTTCGTCGTCATTATCCAGGATCTTTTGTTATCCACAAGAAAAATTGGCACAAACGAAAGATCATTTGAATTAGGGTTTCATTGTATCTCCACAAAAACTGAGTAAGCTCTAGATCTCTCTCTCTCTGCATTTGCATTTGTGTGTATGTATCTTAGGATATGTTTATAGATCGGATCCATATGTATTGCATGTTGTCTGAGAATCTTCCATTTTTTTCTTTTTGTTTCTCAAGATCTGGATTCCTAGGAACTATGATCTTCCTCTTCCCTGTGTTTATTTTTTATTTAGTTTAATGTGTTTGTGTCTTTTTGCGAAGACTTATGGATCTAAGGATTGGGAAAGCGTTACTGAAAACTTTCTTGGAGTTCAAAGTTTTTTTTATTGTTAAAGGGTTGTCACTGGAGTTAAAAGTTCGAAAGGGGTTTGACGAAATCTACTTGGTGGTTGTGTCACCAAAAGAGACCATTGACTTATTGTCAACGCTTTAATTAACCCTACATACTATATACTGTTTTTTAATCACTTTTAGTTTTAATCAACCCTATATCTCTATCTCTCTACATTTTTTCAACTAATTAATTTTAGCCTTTTTAAAACTTTTACTGGAAACGGTTCGTTTTAGTGCACAAAGACCAAGGTCAATTTAATTCTTTAGTAAATTCAATTGCTAGACTAGAAACTTGTGAATCTCATTTCTCTCTCTCTCTCTGTCCCTCTCTCTCTCTTACTAGCTTAGTCGAGAAAAGAGAGAGAGAAATATCATTAAACTCGAACCCAAAACTTCAACCAACCAAAGGAAGAAAAGAAAAAAATAAAAACTACAAAGAGATCTGTCTTTAGGGCTTCAATACTTTCCAAAGAACCTAGATCGTTTCAGATCGAGTTGAGTAAGTATTTAAGTAATACATGTGTTCTTGTTTTCATTTTTGATCATATCCGAAATTAGGGTTACTTCAAATATCATAACTTTCTCTCTATCTCTTCTTCCTTCACCGTCAGATCTGTTCGATAGATCTGATATTCTGAGAAGTTTTATGTCTTTCAAGTTTGGTTTTCTTTTTGTTTGTTCATGTGCACATACTCTTGAAGATAGAGTACACATATAAGCATACATATTACCGATCGGTCCATCTTAAGTTTGAAGACAAATAATGGTATTTTTCCTCTTTAATTTTCTATACTGATAATTATACATTTTGGGTCTATATTCAAATGTTTCCTCATACTTTTATCAACACTTTTCCTACAGTTAATATAGTAGCTCATTATCATGATTATAAAGTAAGATTTTTATATGTTAAAGAATACATGCATATATATCTGTATGTACTTATTGTCTTTATGTTGTTGTGCCTAGGTTTTGTCCAATACTGTTATCGTTCATCTTTAATTAGTTTATAGGGAAAATTGTAAAGATGATGTTTTGGATCTGTATATTTAATTATATAATCCAAATGTTTCATTTACATCTGACTTTTTTCTGCTAGAAACATCTTAGATAATTCTCATTATTTATCATCATCTACATTTTAGGTTATAAAGTAAGATTTTTTATATTTAAAGAAGTTTTAGAATACTAGATGAGTTTGTCTAATAATTAAAGTCTATGCATATATAAAACCAAAAGAATTGAGAGTCAAAAATAATCGTCAATTTTGTGTTAGTTAGCGGTTACTACTTTTTGAAAAAGATAAAATTGTTAACAAAGGTATATTTAGTTTCATGTACCTAGAAACTACTTTCCCTTAACATCATAATTCTCTTCCATTTCCATTATGATATTCTTCTTCTTCATTCTATATTTGTATGTGCATAGTCTCATTCAAAATCTTTAACTAATCTGATTTTGACTTTGATTTTGGGCAGTGGAAGATATTCTTGGAGAAGAAAATCAAATCAAGAACTGATTTCGATCACAACCTTGAAGATTTGAAGGAAACCAAAGCTGACAACTCCCAAAACCCACTTTGTGATAACACTATCTAATTGATTGATCATTCCAATCAATCGTCATCACAATGTATCATCCAAACATGTTTGAGAGCCATCATATGTTCGACATGACCCCAAAGAGCACCTCCGACAACGACTTGGGAATCACTGGAAGCCGAGAAGATGATTTTGAGACCAAGTCAGGAACCGAAGTCACCACCGAGAATCCTTCCGGTGAAGAGCTTCAAGATCCTAACCAACGTCCCAACAAAAAGAAGCGTTACCATCGCCACACGCAACGCCAAATTCAAGAACTCGAATCGTAAGAAAACACAACTCAAACTCTAGCCCATACCACAATAGATTCAAAACATTTTCCAGTTTTTTTACATTTCAAGTTTAATTTCCGGATTTTACAGGTTCTTTAAGGAATGTCCTCATCCAGACGATAAGCAACGCAAAGAGCTGAGCCGCGATCTCGCTTTAGAGCCTCTTCAAGTAAAGTTTTGGTTCCAAAACAAACGCACACAAATGAAGGTATACTAATAGATAACACCCTCTTCTTATAAAACTATAATTAATAGTTCTTTTGATTGTAAATGGTACTAAACTAATTTCATTTAATTATCAAAGATATAGGGAAATTATATTCCTCATTTTTTTTTGTAATATCTATATAGGCACAACATGAGAGGCATGAGAACTAATAGATAACACCCTCTTCTTATAAAACTAGAATTAATAGTTCTTTTGATTGTAAATGGTACTAAACTAATTTCATTTAATTATCAAAGATATAGGGAAGATATATTTCTCATAATTGTTTTGTTTTTTGTGATCTCTCTGTATAGGCACAACATGAGAGGCATGAGAACCAGATTCTAAAGTCAGACAATGACAAACTGAGAGCAGAGAACAACAGATACAAAGAAGCACTAAGCAATGCCACGTGCCCTAACTGTGGCGGTCCTGCTGCTATCGGAGAAATGTCCTTTGACGAACAGCATCTCAGGATCGAAAACGCTCGACTCCGCGAAGAGGTATGTACATACTTACATTTGTCTGTATCATATGACTTTTGAGTTGAATTGGACTAACATGAATCTTGTACCATCTGATCTACAGATTGATAGAATTTCCGCGATCGCTGCCAAGTACGTTGGGAAGCCACTGGGACAATCTTTCGCTCCACTAGCGATCCACGCGCCATCTCGTTCGCTTGATCTTGAAGTTGGGAACTTTGGGAACCAGACAGGTTTCGTAGGGGAAATGTATGGAACAGGGGACATTTTGAGATCAGTTTCAATCCCTTCTGAGACAGACAAGCCTATGATCGTCGAGCTAGCTGTTGCAGCTATGGAGGAGCTCGTGAGAATGGCTCAAGCCGCTGATCCGTTGTGGGTTTCAACTGATAACTCGATGGAAATTCTCAACGAAGAAGAGTATTTCAGAACGTTTCCAAGAGGAATCGGACCAAAGCCATTAGGGTTGAGATCAGAGGCGTCGAGAGAATCCGCGGTTGTTATAATGAATCACATCAATCTCGTTGAGATTCTCATGGATGTGGTAACTAAATTTTTTCTTAAAATCTTTTTTGATCTTGAAGTCTTAGTAACTAACTTTACCATGACATGATTTATATTAAAAACTAACGTTTTAATATTTTGATGTGCATGGGAATGAAGAACCAATGGTCTTGTGTGTTCTCTGGGATTGTGTCAAGAGCCTTGACGCTTGAAGTTCTGTCTACTGGAGTTGCTGGAAACTACAATGGTGCTTTGCAAGTGGTATGTATATAGGGTTGATTACTTGCTTCTCAAGAAACTAAACCTAATGTTGTATTTATCGAATTTTGGGTTTGGTTTGTGTATTTTCCGGTAATGTGAAGATGACAGCTGAGTTTCAAGTTCCATCGCCGCTAGTCCCGACGCGTGAGAACTACTTTGTGAGATACTGTAAACAGCATAACGACGGTTCTTGGGCTGTGGTTGATGTCTCTTTGGACAGCCTTAGACCGAACCCGATCTCAAGAACCAGAAGAAGGCCTTCAGGTTGTCTGATCCAAGAATTGCCTAATGGCTATTCCAAGGTAAAAAATCAGAAGACATAATTAAAGGGTTTACTGAGTAAAATATATGATTAATGAAGTGATTTTTGTATTTTAATGTTGTAGGTTACATGGATAGAGCATATGGAGGTGGATGATAGATCGGTTCACACAATGTACAAACCGTTGGTTCATTCCGGTTTAGCTTTCGGAGCTAAACGTTGGGTGTCTACACTCGAACGTCAGTGCGAGCGGCTCGCGAGTTCGATGGCCAGCAACATTCCGGCGGGTGATCTTTCCGGTACGAACCTTGAGGGCCATTTTGTTATTTTTGAATATATAGGGGCTGAATTGAAAGAAAGTTTCATTTACTCATTTGGTCCTTTAATTTTGCGGTAATTATTATGCAGTGATAACGAGTCCAGAAGGGAGGAAGAGCATGTTGAAGCTAGCGGAGAGGATGGTGATGAGCTTCTGCAGCGGCGTCGGCGCGTCGACTGCACACGCGTGGACTACAATGTCGTCCACAGGATCCGATGACGTTCGGGTTATGACCCGAAAGAGCATGGATGATCCGGGAAGACCTCCTGGTATTGTTCTTAGTGCTGCGACATCGTTTTGGATCCCAGTGGCTCCAAAACGTGTTTTCGATTTCCTCCGCGACGAAAACTCAAGAAGCGAGGTAAAGTGTAAAAACAGAGTCATTTAAAAAAAAAATCCTCAATTTAAAAATCTGATTTTTTTTTATGAAAATTTCTTGCAGTGGGATATTCTGTCAAATGGAGGAATGGTTCAAGAAATGGCTCATATAGCCAATGGTCGTGAGCCTGGGAACTGCGTCTCCTTGCTCCGAGTCAATGTAAAGATTCGAACTTTAAAATCAAGATTGTTCTTTTTCTCTGATTTCGGAATCAAGATTGTTCATTTCGTTGTGAACAGAGTGGAAACTCGAGCCAGAGCAACATGTTGATTCTACAAGAGAGTTGTACGGACGCGTCAGGATCGTATGTGATATATGCGCCGGTGGATATAGTGGCGATGAACGTGGTTCTAAGCGGAGGAGATCCTGATTACGTGGCGTTGTTGCCGTCTGGTTTTGCTATTTTACCGGATGGTTCGGTCGGAGGAGGAACCGGAGATGGGAATCAGGAAGTGGTTTCTTCTTCTGGGAGCTGTGGCTCACTTTTAACCGTTGCGTTTCAGATTCTTGTTGACTCTGTTCCTACAGCTAAACTGTCACTTGGATCGGTGGCTACGGTTAACAGTCTGATCAAATGTACGGTGGAGAGGATCAAAGCCGCCGTTGCTTGTGACGGTGGAGGACCAGGAGGAGCCTAGTTTTTTCCAGGTATGATTTGAGATTTAGCGTTTGAAATTGAAACCATTGTCACTGTAGTTTTCTTGTGGAGCAAGTAACAAGATCTACTTTTTTTGGCAGCAGAAGTAAGAATAAGAGTTAAGAGGAGGAAGGAATGATGGTACTAGTCTGGTGTTTTTGAAATCCAAAAGAAGTCAAGAACGCACCTTTTGCGTTTAATCTTTATCTCATTGAAAATGAGAAAGAAAGGGTAAAGAGGTTCGGGTATTGACTTCTGATGGAAACCACGGTTTTTAAGAGCTTTTTAAACTTTCTATGTTTGTCTATTTTAGCGGTTTGCGTTATTGACAATTTTTGAACGCTTTTGGCTTTTCCCCTTGTCGTGCTTCTGCCACCAAGTGTATGATTCCTTGTTGTTTTGTAAGCCCTTTTGTGGCATTGACATATATGGATCAAATCGTTGTTCTTAGTTTCTATTATCTTCAATCTGAACCATAAACTTCAAGAATCTTTCAACCTACTTTGAGATGAGTACTGATCTACGTGTGTAGCAAGTTATAAAAAGATCGATTGTAAAACTTGTTTCATTATAGACAGAGTCATGAGAAATAAATAATACCCTTAAAGAGAGTTCTGTTAATAAAGAGTACAATTCAGACAGGGAAAGCTCTAGGGAAGAAAAAAAAAAAAAAACCTGAAACTGGTTCTCTTAGCAACAACATCCTATGAAATCCATTTCATCATTGAATCTCTCGAACATCAGTTTTCCCAATAGCTTCCCCTGCAATAACTGAAGATGAAGAAAGAAAAAAAGACAATCCGAAAACAGACGCATTGTAATCCATATACATGGGGAACCAGACATCTGATTTTACTACAAGCACCCCAACAGTTACACAATATCCATGTCATGTCCTAAGCCACAACAGGACTTTAGAGGTGTTAGGAACAATAAGAGATTTGGGTGTAACCTCTTTTTTTTTTTTTTTTCAATGGTACAGATTTAGGAGAAAGAAAACTCTCTCCATCAGTGGTATTGTGAGACTAAGTGCATTTAGATGATGAAGAAATAAGAATGCAACTTAAATATAGTCAAAGAAGAAGACCTAAAAGTCGGTCTAAGGGATCTAACTCCGCATCTTTTTTCTTTGACTACCCTCTTCCATATCACCCTGAGAAATAAAGACATCATCGGAAAATCACTACGCAGGATAATATGTATTACATCTAAACAGAGGATAGATTCAACTTGCGTCGTAGCTAATTACAAGCAAATAAAGTATAATGAGAATGCATGGAAAGGCTTACCCCATTGGAGTCTGGCCTGCATTTTGCATGCACTATAGGACCTAACTGAGACTTGTCCACATCTGCTGTTGATCCGTCAGGAGCATTCATGTACACGGCACCTTTGTACATCCATTCCTCGGTTTCGTCACTATAAAAGTCTTCAAAAGGCTCACCACATAACGCACATGAAGTCTGGTCTTCATCTGCAGGAACTGCCATCTCTTCGTCATCCTTCTTTTCTGCCGTCGGCTCTATGGGTAAGAACCCTGGTACTGCTTCAACTCCAAGTGCCTCCGCACCACTAAGCCACATGCTAACACTTACAAACCATTTCCGAGAAGGGATCTGCTTATGGTTCTTGGACATCCTATTCTTTGTTACATGCCAATCCATGTGCTTACTATGCTCTTCTTGGCACTTGAAGCGTAGACCACATGTTGTGCATTGCCTCGGGAGATCGCCATATAGAGCACTGATTGCAGACTCGTTACGTATCTTGAGCATGTCCGCATCAAACTCCAGTCCCAATGGTCCCTGAATATACAAACTAACTATTAAGAAAAAGAAAGAAGAACCAGACTCTCAAGCATTAGAAGAGGTGACATGCTTTGAATAATTACCTGACCAGGAGGCTGATTGTTCAACGAGATCAAACCTTGAGCCATGAGAGAGCCAATCAGACCAGAGAATGCGCCGCTCGGTGGTTGATTAGGGGCTGACAACGAAGGATTCTGAGAGATGGACCCAAATTGAGATAAAACCCCTGAAGAAAGAGGATGCATGGCTTCCCCACCATGGATTGATAATGATGGTCTGTTTGAGCCTTGTTGAGGGTACCCATGACCATGGGGTAACAGCGACTGCATTGGCCTTGGAGCCATTGCAGATGAAGACGGCAAATAATTAGCAAGCATTTGATTCTGTTGAGCCACATCATTAAGATGACTCTCAGGCCTATATAAAGGCTTACCATGCAAGCGATTTGACATCGCATTACCAGGATTTGCCAAATGATGCAAATGAGCAGAAGGTACAGGGAGAGAGTTGGATCCTCTAACACTCAGATGGGGCCACGTCCCATCAGGAAGAGCATCGGTACCAGAAGAAACAATTCTTGATATCATAGAAGGGCCTCGACCAAAACTATCAAATGGAGGACCCCCAAATTCACTATTTGACGAAACTAATCCTACAGAAGAAGCCAGTGCTTTCAAGTCTTTTCCGGCTATGGTGTTACCACGGTTGGATGAAAGGGGCAAATTTTGAGATACATTCCAATGTTCTCGTAGCTGATGACTTACACCGTTCTTAATGTCAGAATCTATATGATAATCACTTGTGTTTCCTAGTCTAGGTCTTGCCCTCACACTTCCTAGTCCTGAGGCAGAAGATCGCAAAAATTCAGCTGCCCTGCTACGATCTAGGGTAGGGCTCATATCTTCCCAATCAAACTCTTCTTCCTCAGTGTTCTGCCATGGTGTAACCATCTTACTGTGGATGCCATTCATATCTCGAAGTGGTTTATTGATGGTTGCATGTTTGCTGGTGTCAACTCCATATGCATCTATCAAAGCTCTGGGTCTTTCGTGATCATTTCCTTGGCCTAAGTTGTCTTTTCTTCGCCGTTCCATGTATTCATCATCTCTGCCAGTAGCTCTACTCATTCCGTAGTTATAGGCTTGATTAGAAGGATTAGCTCCATCACTAAACCTCCTAGGAAACCCATCTGCTGGTCAAGAGATAAAGGGCTATTTAGAGTCAACATTGAGTCTTACAGGTCTGGAGACTGAAGGAGTGAAGATTGTTACCTCCGACTGCAGAAGTTGAGAGGGCTGTACTAGACCTCAGTCCAGCCAGGGAAGATGGACTCTCTACCCGATCTTCAAAATCATCATATCCACCTAGTGAATTTTGGCCATACGCTCTTGCACTGGAATTGATTCCTCTCAAATTCTGCATACCAAGCAGGTGTAGATAAGGAAATATGCATGTCAGGTGAAAATCACTCAGAATATAAATAATCAATAAGACCAGATCTCTGAATCGACACATCATCGCTTCAAGGTAGCAGATGCATCAATAGAAGAATGTCATATTTTTTCAATATGACAGAGAAATGCTTACAGTTTCAGCAGCTGAAGGCTCCAGCCTACGAAGATATTTTGGATTAACATGTATGCCCCTCGCTGCTTGAGTAGGCTCAGAAGCCCCTAAGGAAGATTGGTTGTTTGCTGTAGACGAAAGTTGCAATTGCATCTCAATCTTCCGTAATACAGGTGGTGGAAAAACACTCGACCAAGTCCCAAACAGGTGGCGCATTGAAGGATGTAAACTCGGATGCGCTTGCCTGTATGCTAGGCAGAAGACCTAAAAAAAGAGCAGACATGGATCAAAACATCATCTAATGAGCATGCTTCAGCTCTATACAAATCAATTAAGAAGACTGGCTCACCTCCGGTAGACGGGATGAGAAATATCGAACATAGTCCCTCCCAATGTTCTTGACAATGCTGTCTAAAAGGTATAAAGAAGGTAACTTTTGCTCAACCGGAGCCTGCATATACATGGAAATTGAATCATAAGAACTCTGCATTCATCTCCAGTCTACATCAATCCACACCAACAAGTAACCCAGAAAGCAGCCACAGTTCACTAAACCACAATCAAACACTTTTCTTCTAATTTCACAACTCTGACTATCAAAAACCTAATTTCTTCTACGTTTAGCACGAATAAATTAAACAATAAGGCCTCAATGGAAGAAGAAGAAAACAGATGAAACAAAAACCAGACCTCGAGGATTCGGGTGCAGATAGCATTGGCGATTCCTTCGCCATGTTCCCGCTGTTCACCGGCGATGATAGTGAGATCAGTGATAATAGGCTTGGAATTGAAAGTGAGCTCGCCCAAAACGACCTCGTAAAGCTGAACAATCTCATCCATACTCGGAGGCAGAACCTCCTCGTCACCGAACTCATCCTCACGCCGATTAAGCAGAGCCTTGAACCGGTCTAGCAGTGACGGCGGTGGCGGCGGTTTCTGCGGCAACTCCACGGACATCCCTTTGCGGCCGGTGGTGCTATTAATCGAGATAAGCCTTGGGTTGAGAATTTTCTCCGATCCCATCCCAATTCAACAGTGACCAGTGATAATTAGTGACAGCATAAGGCTAGGGTTTCTATCCACCATGGAAACGCTAATCACCACCCTCGGAGGAAGGGAGAGAGAGAGAGAGAAGGAGATCGATAACGGAAGTTTTTTAGTGAAGAGGATTTTTTACTTTTGCAATTTTGTATCTATACTTTCTGAAAATCCCATATTTGGCCCGTTTTCTTTACCAGAGGAATTAATTACACCCAACTTTTTTTTTCACTCGTTTAGGTAACCCAAATAGATTTTTGACTTTTGACTATGACCCTATTACTTTTAGCATATACCATAATGGGAAAATTCTATAACACTAATCATATCATAAGATTCATTTTATCAGACTTTGATTAAATAATTTTAATACCTAAGCAATAATAATTAACTCATAATTTATTTTCTTAAATAACCATTACATTTGTTATAGTGCATAGTAGTGCATGTGCAGCTAGTAACCAAGATCAGCAGAAGCTAATCTAACGTAAAGATCTTGACCTCCCTCGGCGTAATTCCGGATATCCACGAGCTCTCCGGTCCAAATCACACAACCCGACCCACCATTTCGGATATCAGCATCCGCAAACGCTGTACAACTACAATTCTTGAGGCACCTCTTCATACATTCCTTTATCCCAATGCTCTTGTCCACACTAGCCGTTGTAGTATCCGGCAACTTCATCTTCCTCAGCCGTAAAAACCCATCACCGCGACAGCTTAGTACTGTCTTCCTTACACATCCATGTGACCAATCTCCCAAACCCCACGCTTGCGAGTCTTTAGGCTCGAATCCTTTGAAACAGTTGCACGTCAAAGTGTTTGCGTCACAGTAACCATGAGGCCCACATAACTTCTATAAATCGCACTGATCTTTTGGTAAAACCCATATCATGTTCCAACGTCGTTTTTCCGGAAGCCACGTGGATTGATAAAGATATCCTGAAGGAGTCAACGTCAATCTTGAGTAGATGCTGTGGTTGGTCATTAGGAATGTGTAGGCGATCTCTTTTTTATTCTCCGTGAACTTGTGAACCAAGTAATCCGTTTTTTGCATCTCCGGTACGCCACTAAACCGGATTCCGTTCCATGGACCGGTCCGGTACACTTGAAAGTCTTCCGACCGTATGAAAAACTCAAGAAAGCCACGAGTTTCGAGTTTGTACGAGAAGTCACCACTTGAAGGATCGTCAGGACTTCTCCAAGATGTAAGGAATCTGTTGGACTTTGTTTTGAGATCAAAACCAAGTTTCATCTCCGGAAGTAAAGTGTCAGTCGGAGAATCGAAGCTTTGCCAAAGAAATCCACTTGGGTTACTGTTGTTCTTGTTGTTGGCGTATCTCAGCACGAGGTTGCCATTAGCGAGAAGCTCTGCGACAACCGGAGATCTTACATATCTTGTGGTGAGATTCGTCGACCAAACAATGTTCTTGGACTGATCGATGAGTACTAGGTTAGCCAGGTTAGGGCCAGATATTTTGAAAGTTCCAAGGGGATTGGGAAGAGGTTTGTCTCTGTTGGCAACCCATACGTAAGTTCTCTCGGGAATGTTCTTGTACCATATTCCAAGATACCAACGAGAACTTGAGGCGGGTTTGAAGAAACCAAGCTCGAAAACATCACCGGGAGACACAATGGTTCGGTTGCTTGAGATTGTAAGAGAATCTTTAGATGACAATGTATTGACATGGGTTGAACAAGAAGGACGAGAGAGAATGAAGACAAGGAAAAAGGAGAAGGTGTAAACATGGTGGTAGATATTGCTTGGTACGCCTCTCATCTCTCTCCACCAATTTCATTATGTCATTGTATCTTCTTTATTTATTTATAGATCAATATTTAAAAAAATAAAAAGTAAACAAGCAAAATGTACTTTCCACATCTAATGGCAATTTTCCACACTTCAATTAAATTTTCAACAGTACTAGGACTTTCACCCGCGCACACGCGGGTCTATATCTTAAATCAGTTTAAAATATATTTAATTTTTTTTTTAAACTGCAAAAATCAACAATTAAAATTTATCAATATTTCAATACCAAAACTCTCTGGAAAACAAAAGTTTTTAGATATATCAATATCGTATTGAGATCAAATCTTGACATACAAAAATATTGTTTAGATCATATCCCGGTAACAAAAATGTTTGTGTATGTCTAATGACCAAAACTTACTTGAAGATATTCAAATCATTATAATAGGACAAACTTACTTTATCACTAAACTTATTTGTAAAATGTAATGTTAATTTATGAACTATTGTGACGTGTTAGTCATTTTCTAAACAGAAATATATTTTTAAATATATTTAGTGAAATTCTTAAAATTAGATGTCAATAATATTTGTATATAACATGATGTTTATTTAAAATAACTTCAGTTGGTTATGTTAGAACTTAAAATGCTATAAATAACAATATTTGTATGTAATAAATTTAAGCTAGATGATAAACTAATATTTTGGTAAGTTTTCAATGGTTATAAAACCTAAAACCTAAATGAAGAGAAGCTAGTCGACACACATAATTGTTCTTCATTTTCTTCTTCGTTGTTGTTTTAAAGTTTTTTTTTAATTTTCTTTGATTCATTCTTTTTCAGTATCTTATGTTTTGTTTTCTTCTTTGTCTTTGGTCTTATTTGATTTCTTCTTCATTTTCACTCATCTTCGCGTTTGCTCTTCTTCGTCTTTGCTCTCTTTTTTTTTCTTCTTTTTTTTGTTTTGTTTTGATTTGGTTTCTTCTCCTTTGTTCTTATTTTATTTCCTCTTTAGATTGGTCTTCGCAAGTTTTTTTGTTGTTGTTAGGTTTCTTCTCCTTCGTTCTTGTTCGAATTCCTCTTCAAATTGTTCTTCACAAGTTTTTAATATGGTTTTTCCTTATTCATCTTTGTCTTCTTTTGTCTCTATTTTGTATTCGCAATTCAATATCTTTGTTTTCGCTATTCTTCGGTTTTATCTTGGTACTCTTCTTTTTTGTGTCTACTTTTTTCTTCATTTTGTTTTCTCTTATTTCTGTAGGTTATTCTCGACCCTTAAAATTCTGCATGGTTCCATTCCTCTTGTAAAATTCTGCATGGCTCTATTCCTCTTAAATTTAGAATAAATTATAATTAAATAAAACACAATTTCGTTACCTGAAAAACTGAAAATAAAATCAAGCTAGAATGACTTATTGAACAAAATATATTCAAAACAGGCCCTTTGAATGTCATATGTAAATACTAAAATGAGAAGGAATTTATCTTATTCTGTTTTTAATAAATTTACTTTTGTTTATATTCCTTCTCTTTCAAGTGACATCTTTTAAAAGTACTACTTATAAACACATGAATATGTAAATATTACAAAACATTGAAAAACGAAGAAAAGAAAAATAGAAAAGGAACAAAATACAGCCTTCTATTGTGTTTGCCTTTTCCTTTCAATTTGTGTCATGTAATCACTATTCTGATTTTTTTTGTTTCTTCATAATCAATATTATTTTCCCCATCGAAAGCTTACTAATTTAGGAGCAACAATTCACTTTTGATTTAATCTACACTTTGGTAATTTCGATTCCTTGTTCTCTTCATAGTCCTTTGATTATTTTGTGGTAATGTAACTTATTTATTAATTAATTGGATGTGCTTCCATTATCAAAATACAAAGAAAATCAATTGAACACCATAGACCAGATAATATTCGAAATAAAGCAAGCGAATTTATTTATTTCACAGAAGGACATGTATACCTTCAGTGTGATGCCCATTGTCTTCGTTTCAATCATTCCTTTGCTTCATGATTTTTCATTAATTCACTACATATCCTTTAGAAGAATTGATCGATCTATGTGAACTTTCAATATGTGATGTCAAAGTATCTTGTCTTCAATATATATCCCTCCATCTTGCTTCCAGGTGGTTTCTCGATGTTGGATTTGTTTGATCTTATATCAAGCTCTGACGTGAACATATGTTTATTCATGTAAGCTACATTTGATCAAAATCGAGTTAATACAATTGTAGCTTTAGATGTTGATATATAATGATATTGTTGGTATAATTTTCTTATTTATTACATATCTCTACTAATATTACACTTATAAATTCTGGAAACTTTCCTATTGCTTAACTTTGAATTATGAAACTTTCTTAAAATATAAAAATATAAAAAGGAATTTAACTAATTGAACAAATAGCTAATTTTATGTGATGATGTGGATTGATACTATTGGTTGTTTAAAATTCGGAAACTTTCTTAATCTAGGAAATACTTATGTGGACCAATCAAATCGCGTTTTATAATCCTATGTGGACGCTCTCAGAGGCTTATAGCCTCAACTTTTATATAGTATAGATTTTGGTAATTTGGTCAGTACTTAGCGATTAAGTCTACACGTGAAATCAATTTCTCACTCGATCGAGAGTTGATCTGTGTTTGATGGTTTATTGTGTAAGTGAGAAAACAAAGAGGAATCTATATCACTCTTTTATAGAACTCTTGCAAGTCCTAATCCATTCTTCTTTAGGATTTATTTACCGACCTTATTTCTTTTTTTCAAGAATAACCCAATCTTTAACACATATGTTTCTTTCCTTTTTTGAACTCTGATAATTTGATTCACCTCTTTTCATAATATTTTTTTTAACGATTTACGATCTCCATACTCTAAAAGTTTAATTCTTTTGTAATAGAATTGTTTTCATCATTTTCTTTTTCTTTTTTTTTTGGAACTGATTGCAGCGAATTATATTTTCAATTTTTTGATTACGACAACAACAAACAAACAAAACTAAAAATACAATTCCCTTTTCTTTTCACTGAATCTCTAGTTTCCTTGGAACAACCAATATTATAAATTTAAATCCTATTTATATTTGTTGTTAAGCATGTGTTGTGTTTTCAAGCCCATCTTTCGATCTTTTTGTGTTCTTTCTACATTCAGGTTTAAAATTTTGAGATCATTATCCTTTATGGTTAACTAAATACATATTACCAGATTTGAATATACAATGGCTCAACGACGATACTAGTACAAACCACTGAATCAATAAACTATCGAGAAATTTTATGAAATACACCTCTTGAGATGCAAATTTTCAAAACTACACCTATAGTGTGGAAATTTTCAAAAATACACCTTTCCCCAATTTTAATATATATGTTTGGGTTCACTAATCCTATATTAGGGTTTAGATTTTGGGGTTTAGGATTTAGATTTAAGGGTTCAATGTTAGATTTTAGGGTTTTGGATTTATATTTTAGGGTTTAGAGTTCTTTTACTAAATGAAAAAAGTGTAGTTTTGAAAATTGGCTCTATAGAGATGTATTTTTGAAAATTGGCATCTCAAGAGGTGTAGTTTTGAAATTTCCCCTAAACTATCAACTGTTTTTTTTAGTTAGACTTAAAGCTAGTTTTTGATAAAATCTTGCGGACCAAAAAAAAAAAACACAAGCTAAGTTAATTTCTTATGGCAATTGGCAAGGCTTAATTCTTACAGATTTGTTTAATCTAGAACTATTAGTCTGCTGGATATTGGTAATTAAGTTTTATTTTGTTTGTGTTGCTATAATCGTTTTAGGTTCATTGTTCCAGAAAAAAAAAAAAATTGTTAGGTTTTTAAATTTGATCTTGGTTCACTTGATGAAAATAAAAGAATATAAACTACTGTTTTTAGCTAATGTCACTGTATTGTATTGAATAAATATTCTCACAAAAGACTTGATGAAAAGAATACCTTTATTAAATAAAAAAAGAAAGTCTGTCTTACGACTAACAATAAGAACTAAAGAAAACTACACAAGAGTAAGAAAAGAGACAATATTTGTACGACTAAACTAGTACGTCAATTAGAGAAACTCTTAAGCCGCTAATATAAATCATGAAAGTAGCATAAGCTTGAGTAGTTGATCCGAATACTTAGTGATGATGGGGTCCAAAGACACTGCGTAACCACCTTGTGAGACGGTCCAACGGTGGCAACTTCGGAAGAACATCGGGTGTGGTTTCCACCACGACTCGAAGCTTGAGCCCAGCCTCACAGTGACCCGTCTTGGAGCTAATGAAATAGTGGACTCCTGGTTTGGTGAGCGTGACGAGATCGTGACCCGTCTTGTGCACGGCAACAGGAGAAGTCGGGTCACAATATTTGAACTCAAGATCACCGCTGATCTCCAAGACGTCGTTGGCTTCCTCGTTGTATTCGAAAACAAGACTGTCTCCAACAAGAAACTGCTTCTCCTCGCTCCACTTGCTGTACAAGTCGCTTTCTTGAGGAACACTCCACCCTTTAGAGCCACCGACCTTGTAGGTTTTTCCGATGGGAAGGATCTTGCTCGGCGGTGGTGGAGGAACCGGACGCGACGGGTCGTGGACGACGAGAATGTCGAGTCTCTGTCCCGATGAGCATCGAACACGATTTGAGCTGACGAAGTAATGATATCCAGGTTCCGTGAGGGTTACGGTATCGTGTCCCGTGTTGTAGACGGCTTTAGGAGAAGAGGGATCGCAGAATTGGTACTCCAAGGCGCCGGAGACTTGTGTGACGTCGTTCACGCTACGATCATAGTCGAAGATCAAAGAATCTCCGACGTGGAATTCTTTACCTTCAGCCCAACTGTAATAGACGTCTTCTTTCGCCGTCCATCCGCCGGAGTCTCCGACTTTGTAGACCGTCGCTGAACAACAAGCCAAGAGAAACGTTGTGATCACGAGCACGAAGGTGAACATCTTCTTCGTTGTTGTTGTGGCCATGATTCAATGGTATACACGAAGAAGAATAAAAGATCGATGAAGAAATCGAAAAGCGAACAAGAAAGATGATATATATCAGAGCTTGGATCGAGAGTTTAATCTGTGTTTGATGGTTTATTGTGTAAGTGAGAAAACAAAGAGGAACCTGTATCGCTCTTTTATAGATGTCTTGCGATTCCTAATCCGTTTCTCTTTAGGATTTTCGAGTCCTAATCCATTCCTCTTTAGGATTTTCTTTACCACCTTATTTATTTTTTCAATCCTCTTTTGTAATAGCTAGAATTGTTTTCATCATTATTTTTTGTTGTTTTGGAACTGATTGCAGCGAACTATATTTTCAATTTTTTGATTACGATAACAACAAACAAACAAAACTAAATATATACAGTTCCCTTTTCTTTTCACTGAATCTCTAGATTCCTTGCAACAACCAATATTATAAATTTAAATCCTGTTTATATTTGTGTATTATTTAGTTTTTGCAAAAGCTGGAGAGACATTTGTGTATTTATTGTATTGATTTTGTGGGCCGTAAGGAAACGCAGTTTTGGGCCCAAAACGCAGTTACAGTCTTTTACAGAAAAACTTGCGTCTGTGTTTTGTCTTCCTTAAAGAAAACGTCTAATCTAATCCGTACTACTGTGTCACTCTGCTCTTCTCTGCGAGGGAAACAAAAATGGAGTGGATAAATCCAATGCCCAAAATCGAGCTTCATGCTCATCTCAACGGCTCCATCAGAGACTCCACTCTTCTGTAAATCCCCAATTTTGTTTCTATATCGCGAATGTTGTTCGTATCCTCCGCAGCTTCTGCAATTGCAATTGCAACTGCAACTACGAGACTTTTTCTGTTGCATAATTCGATTTTGATGGGTTTGCTTTTTTTTTTTTTTTTTTTTTTTTTTATGAACAGAGAGCTTGGTAGGGTTCTTGGTGAGAAAGGTGTTATAGTGTTCTCTGATGTTGAAGATGTCATTCGGAAAAGTAAGTCAAAAGTCTTCGCTTTAATTGTTTCTCATGTTTGTTCTGAAAATTCAAAGCGAGATATTTTTTTTGATGTGTTTAGATGATCGATCTTTGCCTGAGGTCTTCAAGTTGTTTGATTTGATCCATGTGATCACTACTGATCACCAAACCGTGACAAGGATCACTAGAGAAGTAATTTCAGTTTTCTCCATTAGCGTTAGCTTGGTTTTAGTAAATCTTAAAGACTGTTTGATCTTCTCTTTGACAGGTTGTAGAAGACTTTGCTTTGGAAAATGTGGTTTATCTTGAGTTACGAACAACTCCAAAGGTACCAATTTGCAATGTTCTAACTTAGATTTTCTACATTGCAAAAGATTGAGACTGTTTTTTCTTTGTAGAGGAATGATTCAATAGGTATGAGTAAACGTTCTTACATGGAAGCAGTAATCGAAGGTCTGAGATCCATCAGCAAAGTCGATATTGATTTTGTCACGGCATCATCTAATTTTCAAGAACCACACAATGCGTGTGATGGAATTCAAAGGAAGAAGATTTATGTTAGACTTCTTCTTAGCATTGACCGTAGAGAAACAACCGAATCAGCAATAGAAACTGTAAGTGTTGGCAAAAACAAAGCTAAGCTACTCGAAAATTTGAAAGAACGAAGAGTTGGTATCCATGTTTTCTTTGTTTTCTTCTCTAAAAGGTTAAGCTCGCATTGGAAATGAGAAATGTCGGTGTAGTTGGTATCGATCTTTCAGGGAATCCTCTTGTTGGAGAATGGTAAAGATTTCTTTCTTCTTTTTGAACTGTGTTAGTTTTGGTTCTTGTTAATCTTCTATGTTTTTGTAGGAGCACATTCTTGCCTGCATTACAAATGGCTAAAGACAATGATCTTCACATCACTCTTCACTGTGGAGAGGTATTATCAACTCTTGAGAAAACCACTAAACCGGATTTTTCAAATGTTCAGTTTTGGTCTACTAACTTTCTCTATCTTAGTGCTTTTGTAGGTCCCCAATCCCAAAGAAATCCAATCCATGCTTGATTTCAAACCGCACCGGATTGGTCATGCCTGTTTCTTCAAAGATGATGATTGGGAAAAATTGAAACTTTTCAAGATTCCGGTAATTAAACTTGCATTTTCAACAACTGTTCTTCTTTCACTTGCTCATGATCTAATGTTCTAACAATTCGAAATTTTTCGCTTTTTTTGCTTTCAGGTTGAAATTTGTCTTTCATCAAACATTATAACCAAATCAATATCTTCAATCGATATTCACCATTTTGGTTAGATTTTCTCTTTGCCCTGCTTTCGTCTCATATCGAAGCCAAAACTAAAGAAGGACTTTTGACATGATGTAACAGCTGATCTCTACAATGCAAAGCATCCATTGATTATATGCACTGATGATTTTGGAGTTTTCTCTACCACCCTCTCCAATGAGTACGCTCTTGCTGTTCGTTCCTTTGGTAAGTTCTTCTTCCGGTTTAGTTTCAGAACCGGAGCTGAAAATTCCAACAAAGAACAGAGCTTTTCTAGTTTCTGATTCTTGAGTGTGGTGATTTAGAATAACCTCTTGGTTTTATGTTCAAGAAGAAACTACATTTTCAAGAATCTGATTGTGTTTTGTTCTTTGACTTTGGATTTCTATGAAGGTCTTAGTAAAAGGGAAACCTTTGCATTGGCTAGATCCGCCATCGAAGCAACATTTGCAGATGATGAAGTTAAGCAACAGCTTATGTTAAGATTTGATTCAGCCTCGCCGGAGTTTGTTTAGTGCTCAAATTTTACCGGTTTACTTGATTGGCTTGGTTTATACCAAACCGGACAAAATATGTAATGGTTCCGTGGTTCGTTTGAATTAGTTTCATCCAATGTCGAAATTTCAATTGTTACGAATATTATGTTTTGTTACAAGTTTGAAATTTATTTTCATTACCATTAATTCTAACCCAAACAAAACCACTGAATTCCCGGTTTGGTGAAGTATATCGGTCGATCTTGCCACGTGTACATGAAGCTTCCACGTGTGTTTCACAGATCTTATACGTGTCACAAGTCAAACCCTTCAGGCTGCGAAAACCTAGTCGTCGTCTCCGATTCATCTTCTCCTTCCCGGTGACAAAGGAACCAGACAAATTCGAATTCCGGTAAACAAAAAAAGAGAAGAATTTTGAAGAAAAATAACTAAATTAAGAAGACGATGCGTTGATTGATACCCATGGCGTTTCACAGATCTCTGAGAAAGCTAATTGCAATCAATAACCGTAAAACAAGAGCATTCTTCACCGCCGCCACCGCCACCGCAGGTTCCGGTGGCACCGTTTCTCTGATCCCACCGCCGTTGGTCTCACATTTCTCTAACCGTTTATCTCCGCTCTCTAACTGGTTCGCGCCTCGTAATGGCCCTCTCTTCCTCTCCTCTCCTCCTTGGAAACTGCTCCAGTCCGCGACGCCTTTGCATTGGCGAGGAAACGGCGCAGTTTTCAGGAAGGTCGAGGCTTTAAACCTTGGATTGGATCGAATTAGGAGCAGAACGAGGTTTCCGAGACAGTTAGGATTGCAGCAGTTGGTGGAGCAGCCAAACGTTGCGACGACGACGGTTGATCGCGATTTGTCGAAGGAGGAAGAAGGAAGTAGTGGGATATTCGAGAGTTTTGTGAATGTGCCGAATCTGATATCAATGGCACGATTAGTATCTGGTCCTGTGCTTTGGTGGTAAGTATCAACAAGTATCTGTTTTTTCTCAGGAAGATAAAGTATTAGAGAATGAAGAATCTGAAACTTGATTCTTCTTCTTCTGTTGTAGGATGATCTCGAATGAGATGTATACTCCTGCTTTCGTGGGGTTGGCTGTTTCTGGAGCTAGTGATTGGGTATTATTCATCTTCGTTGTGATTTTATTTTTCATAGCATTTGGGAAGTATGACATTGTTTTGAATATTAGATTCTTGATTTTGTAGTTAGATGGTTACGTGGCTAGGAGGATGAAGATTAATTCTGTGGTTGGCTCATACCTTGATCCTCTTGCAGACAAGGTAAAGTCTTTTGATATTTTTTATGTTTGTTTTGCTCATCATGGATTTTCATTGAATTGAATGTGTTTAGGGACTAAGGTTGGTTTCAAGTTTCAGTTTTTCTTGATTATTTGTATTTGATTTCAGGTTCTTATCGGGTGTGTTGCATTGGCAATGGTGCAGCAGGATCTCCTACATCGTGAGTATTCTTCCAATATTTTCTGCTCCTGGTAGATAATAAGATAGCAAATACAATCAGAATTTTTGACATAACTAGAGTCGAAGTTAGTGGAATCCAACGATCTACAACCTAGAGAAATGCATCAGAGTTGTCATAGCTTTATTGTCCTTCGATCTCCTTGATAATACTTCCTTAGAAGGTTGCATATATCAAGAGGAAACCAAAAATTTAACTTAACTAGTTGCTAAAATTGGCTGCATTAGTTTGCTAGTTAATAGTTAATACAGTCCTCGGTTGCACATTGGTCTTTAACTTTCAAAAAAAAATTCTGATGCTAAAGTCAAGTTTTGGTGGATGCATGTGACATTTCTGCTCTGAAGCTGGCCTGGTTGGAATTGTGGTGTTCCGGGATCTAGCACTCGTCGGTGGTGCTGTTTACATGAGAGCAGTAAACTTGGACTGGAAGGTGAAAGCTTTGTAACCTGAACTAGACCACTTGACTAATACCTCTTTATTATGGTTCGTAATCATGGTGGGCCTTGTTTATTTCAGTGGAGAAGTTGGAGTGATTTCTTCAACCTCGATGGTTCAAGCCCTCAGAAAGTAGAACCATTGTTTATAAGCAAGGTAATGATATGATCTCTTCATTCACATCTTGTACTCATTTTGGCTCCAACAGAACACACACCAAGAAACATCTTTTGGTAATGGTTATGGACAGGTGAATACAGTTTTCCAATTGGCTCTAGTCGCTGGCGCACTTCTACAACCCGAATTTGGTAATCTAGATACCCAAACATGGATCACATATCTAAGGTAACAAGTCCTTTTCGAATCACCACACAGTCTTGATTAATCATATGGAGTGTGTTCTGAAATCTTTGTTATTTGGTCTCGTTTGTTTTATAATCCAGCTGGTTAGTTGCTTCGACGACTATGGGTTCCACTGCAGCTTATGGAATACAATACATGAAGAAGAAACCTATCTCCATGATTAAGAGATCATAGTTTCATAGAATTATAAACTTCATACGCCGGCCACTTCGCGATAAAAGCTTGAACAGGTCGGGACAAGAAAGTAGTGGTTAACAAGAAAAAGCCTCTTCCTCTTCACTGTTGTCTCTGCTAACTTTTAAAAACGATATGTATGAAACTACATCTTTGATGACTTCAATGTTGTATTGGACATGATTAACATAGAAGCAAGCAAACAAACTGAGAACATCTTTCAAGAGAGAGCAAGCAACAAAGGATTTTGCGAGGCAACCCATTTGTAGTGTCTTAATCTCTCAAATCTAGACCTGTAGCTCAATGTTTTGCAAGAACGTACATAAAACACCAAATCATTCCTCATTTTCGGTAATTCCATTCCATATTTTTACCACAACTTCATCAAACTAAAGGTCCTTCTCGGGTAAAGCTTATTCATAAGAATGGTCCTTAACTTTCTCCATCCCCTGAACAAAACAATAAACTATCAGTTCATAGTAAGAACAATAAAAAAAAAAAACCATCAGAATTACAAAATTCAAGAGAAGAATAAAAAAAAGGGACCTGTCAGACCGCCGTACGACCACCCCGGCAAGGCTAGGCCGAGCTGAGTAACGATCCTCTACAGCACCGGAAACATCGTGAGACGTGGCCGTTAATCACGCTCAGATCGCACGGTCATGGTTCATCAACCAGGGTGTGGGGCCTGTCTCCTTAGAAATCAAGGATTCAGAGGTACGAGCCTATAGAACAGATCCTGTTCAAGTAAGGTCGTGACCTTCGATGCTCTCTTGCCAGTATATAAACAGCACAGCTTATCTCTAAGTTACCGATGTGGGACAAAACAAACAACTTTCACATACCTATTAGCTATTACGTCGTCGTTTTGTTCCCTCCACGAACTTCTCAAGTAGTCTATTTTTTTTTTTTTTTTGTTCTTAGTATGTTATGAATGTTGCTTCAAAGTTTCAGACTAAAAACTTGGGTTGGAGGGAAGATGGAAACAGAGCAGAATATAAATAGTTGTTCTTTGACCTGAAAACATTACGACATTTCTGAAGATTTGTGTACAATTTAAGTGTATCCATATCCAAAAGCACTAAGAGCAACGCAAATTTGTATACACAACAAGATAAAGAGAAATGAAAAAAGAACCAAAACACACCCAACACACCCAACACACCCAACTACTTAAAATTACAGTGTGCGGGTTCACAGCTACCGTGTCAGGGCCTCTATAGACTTGGGTGTATCATCTTTCCTTCTTTACCACTTACATCTGACCAAAAAGCACTAAACTGGTCTTCTGGTAAAGGTCAGAAATCAGTCTTGGTGGATTTCATCGAACGGTGCAGCAGCAAACCTCACGTTCTCTGGCCGTGCTACAACAACTGGTTCATCTGCAAACAAGGCTTTTAGGAATGATGGAGTCTTTAGAGGACGACGATTAGTCATTCTTGGATAAACCTCAGCCAGAAAGTAGTAAGCGTGTCCTGCTATCATACCCTGCAATGTTTTAGATAAGCTCTAGATTATCTACAGGACAAATATCAAATGAAGAAGATCTTCTGGGAGAGTCAGTATATGTACCAGAAGATCCACCCAAGCACTGGCACCAACAAGGATAGAGAACCCAAGAAGCACCTGCAATGCCATATTATTTGATTACGTCTATATTCCGAGGGATGCTCATGAAGCAAAAGAGAGCAAATGGAGAAGTTTAAACTCACCCATGGTAGGTAAGCTGCTGTGAAGGTGAAGAGACCAAGGAAACTCATGTGAATGTAAGGGTTTTGTTTGCTCCATACATAGACCTGTACAACAGAGGAGACTTGTTGAGATGACTTGGCTTTGAGGGAAGCAAAGTGTGTGATAGAAGCTACAAACCATCATGAAAGTCAGCGAGTTGCTGAGGAAGATGATTTTAGCAAACGATGCGGACAAGTACGGTATCATTCCGCCTATGAGGACAATACCAGTGAGAACCGTTGCTCCAAAGAGAAGCATGTATAGGAAATCAGCAGTTTTTCCCCTGAATGAGTTTTCTTCTAGGAGTTTGCAGTATCTTGCGAGAAAGAACATATGGAACATGAAGTCCAAATCTGCAAAAGGAAGAGAAACATTTCCGATTATAAGCAAAAGCAAACTACACAATCAAATCAGTCAACAACTCCATTAACAAGTAGCAGCTAAAGTTTCAGGGGCAGAGTTTTAAATGTGACAAAAATCAACTCCACCGACAACAATACAGGCTCTAAAGTTTCTTAACATTACCAATTCTCTACAGCTAGAAACAGAAAAGCTTTCAGAAACGAAGAAGAAAGCTTGTTATAACACAAATGTTGTTGTATCCAATTCAATGAAGTCTGAGAAATTACCCATCTTCCGGAAATACAAGAAATTTGTAACGAGACGCCAATATTGGTATTGCTTCACCACAAGGGTGGGATTCAAGTAGAGGTTATATGGAGATATAATCTGAAAAGGAAATTGAGCCGAAATTAGTATGAAACCCTAATTCAATCCATAAGGAGAAGAGACAAGCAAATCAAAAAGGTTTCAAATTTCACAAAAAAGAAGCACAGAGAGATTCGAAGATGGGGGCAAAATTATTAGCACATACATCGAGTGAGCATCCAACGGTGGTGACAACAGCCGCCGTGAGATACGAACGAGTGATTATCGGCATCTGCTTGTACCATTCTTCTACAGCCTGAGCCATCTCTTCTCTTCCTCCCAAATCGCAATCGATCCGAATTCAACACAGCAAAATTCAATCGCCGCGAAACCCTAACGCCCCAACGGAATCTACGAAAGCATTTTTTCCAGATTCAAACAACTCTCACAACTTAAAAACGAACGAAATTGAAACTGAGAAATTCGATTTCTTTCGTTTATACAGAAAATTACACATATGTATATGTATAGAGACGAATATTTTATTTTATATTTGTTTAATTGTTTTATGCGACCCACAATTTTGACAAGAGCCAGCCGAATTATCAAGCGCGTGGCAGAAACCAACCAATCAAAAGAGGCTAGTGACGTCAGCAGTTGTACTATAAGAACGACCGTTCTCGTTACTACTAAAACGGCATCACGTGCATGTACCATATGGTAAAACAGCAAGATTATTGTACTTCAACTGAATTCCAAGCTTAAACCGAATCAAACCAAACCAAACCATGGTTTTTATCTTATCTACACTACACAATGAAGATCTTCAAAGAACATGAGCTAAAGTTGTATTTTTCTGTAACAAAATGAGTCAATGATACTGAAAACAAAAATTATACATAATAATCACAGAAGACAAAAAAAAAAAAAAATTATTTGGAACTTTTTGAACATGAATATTATTTTCAGTTTAGTCTTGAGATTTCTCAGCTTTACCAACAAATCCATTATCTTTATTCACAGAAGAATCAGTCTCAGGCTGACTCAAACCATCTGCTACTTGCAGAATCTCTTCTACGTTCGAATCAGAAGCTTTCATTTGCATTGGCTTCATGAGCTGGACTTGTGCTGCAGAGTCTACGCTTGCATCAGAAGCTTTCATTTGCATCGGTTTCATAAGCGGTGGAGAACCAGCATTGGTACTTTCAGCAGCATTGATTTCGTCTTGAGCTTGAATCTCCATTGAATCTCTGAACACTTTACTCAGAAAGCTCACGTCATCAGACATCACTCCAAACCCTGTCAACAGCTTCGAACCAAGCTGTAAACTCGTCTGCAGTGTGTCGTAAAACCAAAACAAAAACAAAACTCCATCAGACAGAAGAAATCTCAAGTAATCAAGAATTCAAGATTCAAGAAAGAGTTGGAAAATTTACCTCTGCGTTTTCAAGAATTGCATCTGTGGCTCCTACTTTCTTTAGTTCAAGAAGATGCGGTAAATCTTGAGCTCTTGCGTAAATAGGAGCCTGAAACCAACCAGAGTTCTTAGATACCAAAAAGCTAACAAATGTTACCATAGAAGAAGAAAGGAAGAGGTGTAAGTAAATAACCCCAGGGAAGGCAAGACGGAGTCTTTGAACAGCCTCAGTGGTTCTCTTCTTTCCTTTATACATTATCATGATTGCTTTAGGAGATGAAACACCTGCAGACTGCAAAACCGATGGCCTAGATCCGTCTCCATACAATATCGGAAAACCTTGTTTTCTTGATTCCTGCCAAGAAAGTAACAACTTTATGTAATGCCAACAATTTTGATCAGATGAGGAAGAAACAAAATCTGTTAATCTGTTTACAGACCTTGACCACAGCAGGATTCAGATCAAAACCAATATAAGGCCATCCCACAAGATCACTATCTGAGACCAACGGCGTTGACAAAAAATTGGCCAGCACCTGCAAAACCATGTTTGGTTAGATAGAAACCACTTAGCAAGAATGTTCTAGGAAGAAAATAAAAAGTTAGCTTTTACCTGACCCATTTGTCCAAATCCAATGATGACAATTGATTCACTAACGTCAAAGTTCACATCTTCAGGTATTCTCTGCAGAAATGTTTGACAGATTCTTGATGAATGCAAACCTTTTCATTTTTTCACATCTAAGTGCAGCAGTAAAAAAAAGTAAAAAGTTACATCTCCGGGATCAAGCTTCTCATCAAGAAAATCGGCGGCTTTTCTTCCAAGTTGGTTAAGCGTAGGTGTTAACGCCATAGACAAAACAACTACGATAATGAGCAGCTTGTTCAGTTCAAGTGGAAGCACTCCTAGCCTGCACATATCATTGTAAATTTGTAACAACCATAACACTCTAATGAAATGTTGAAAATATGTTTGAGCAATGATAACGGCACTTGGTAAAATAACCTGTTGGCTAGAGAGAACACAACGAATGCGAATTCCCCTCCCTGAGAAAGAAGAAAACCGATTCTTACACTTTCTTGTAACGTGAGGCCAACTCGGGGACCGAGTGCGGTTATAATAAGTGTTTTGATCACAATCAAACCACCCAAGAGTGAGAGGACATTAGGCCATTCTCGAAACAGAACCTGCAAAGGAGTTTAACCACATGAGCATGTGTGTTTTTCATATGATTTAGCAAAAACAGTTGAATCTTTATACAACACTTTACCTCCATGTCAATGGAAGTTCCTGTGGTCACAAAGAACAAACCAAGAAGCAAACCTCTAAACGGCCTAATATCAGCTTCGATTTGTGTCCGGAAATTTGTTTCCGCTAGAAGTGCTCCAGCAAGAAAAGCTCCAAGCTTCAGAGTTAAATTGAATTAGGACATTAGAGTGAGGATATTAGATGGAAGAATTTGTATGTTGAAGGGAAACCAAATCAAACCGTATCGCTGAAACCAAGCTTTTGAGTGAGGAGTGAAGTCCCAGCAACTGTGAGAAGGCAAAGGGCCACAAAAGCTTCCGAGCTTCTGGTTTCTGCAACAACCTGAACATTGTCCTCTATTCACTCACTTAAAAAGGGGATTAAAATGGTACGTTTTGTCAAGGAATAAAGACATGAAAGAAGTTACCTCGAAAACTCTACGGAGAAAGAACTTTCCTCCAAGGGATAGAATGCCCAATCCACCAAGAGCCTTTGCACTTTCTTTTGCAAGCATCGGCAAGATACTTTCCCCAACAAGATTCTTGCAAAGTTACAAAGATTCAGATATTAAGTCTAATGCAGCTATTATGGCCTCAGTTAATAAACCACAAGAGTCAAGGAGATAGCCAAATTACCTGGCTCTCTAATACCGGAAGAACAACTAGTAACGGCACAACAGCTATATCCTGCAAGCCAAAGCATGGAGTAGTTAGCGAAAGTGTTGGTCTAGTTCAGGTGTTTACACGAGCTTTTTGCATATCTTTTGGTGAATTTCCACAAAAGGAGACTCTTTTCTCAAATCCAAAGTTATACAGGATTAGCAGAACCTGTAGAAGAAGAATTCCCAAGGTTGCTGAGCCAAATCTTGTAGGTAGCTCACCCTTCTCTGCAAGAAGCTACAGTATATACATTTTGAAATTTGTCAATAAGGATTTGAAGAAAGAAGCCTGCTACTATATTATTGATTGGTTTACTACTACTATTTTAAAGTATTGCAACTACCCTTATACCTGTAGAACAAAAGCTGAAGATGACAATGAGAGAGCAGCGCCAATGACAACAGCCTCATCAATGCTTCTGATGTTGACCTGGATTTTACAGAGTATAGGTCATATAAAGATATAGCTCTAGAAACATAACCCCAAAGTGAAAAGCCTTACCAAGTCAGGCCTTGAGTGAAATAGGAATTCGAGAATTCTTGTCCCTATGGCTCCATTTGGTGGGAGTTCAAAAGCAGTGAATGCAAGCGTGCATAACAAAACCTTCAATACAGGGAAGCAAAAACAGAACAACATAAAGTAAAATTCAACAAACATCTTTTGCAGAAAAAACTTGGGAAATTCTAGAAAACGGATGATCTGGTGTATAATGTTGCATAATGAACGCAAGTGCTAGAGATTATTGACTATTGAGATGTTTCTCTGACAGAAGTGAAGACATAGAGAGGGAACATAAGCGGTTCAATACAAACCAAGGAACTTTTCTGTGGACCAAACCTGAGTTAATCCCATGCCAAAAGCAAATTTTGCAAGAGCTTTCAGACGTGCAAGCGAAAGCTCTAGACCCATCTCAAAGAGCTGCCAAAGAGAAAGGTCAGTCACAATGCAAAAATCTTTCTTTCAACCAAACGAACATAGTTATTCAATTGCTTACCAGGAAGAGAATCCCCCATTCCGAAAGAACTTTAACATCTGTGAGATTTCTAATCAAACCAAATTGATTGAGTACAACACCAGCAAAGAAGAAACCAAGTATCTACACCAAAAACCATCAAAACACATAAGTTTTACATCTAGTGATATAACCGAGAATATAAACCAACACCGTGTAGCATTTTGTTATACCGGACTGGCTTTGAGGAGTCTGAATGCAGGGACAATGATAACAGTAACCATCAAGAAGGTCAAAGTATCGAATCCAAGATCGTTGATCACATCAACAGCACTTGCTACATCTACTCCTGCATAAGTCTCCACTCTCCTCCCTGAGAATTCAGACCATCTACCTCGGAAATAGAGTCTTCTTGAAGTATCCAGAAAAACCCTTCTTTTAACTAAATCTCTAGCCCCCAAAGAATGCAACTTTATCTCATAATTTGCGCCATCCGAATATACAGGCACATACGATTTCACAGTGAAAACACAATGCTTCACTCGACTACTGTGTTGTTTAAGTATCCCATACCCCTGCAATCGAATCAAAACCCAAAAATCAGAGCCAAGATTCAACAACTACAATCCATATCAGCAATAGTAGGCTTTGCAGATAAAGGAAGAAACTTTCAGACAACAGAGATTCATTTCCTGCAGCCTGAAGAAATTCAAGTAAGCGGAAGAGGAAGAAGAAAGGAGGAAATACCTTGGGAGAGGGGCAACAAGAGATGGACCCCAACATAGTACTAATTGCCATGTTGAGATGAAATCCACAGAATTAAAGCCTAAAGGCATTTACTTTTGTCATCCACAAACCCCAAAAACTCGTACTTTAAAATGTTTTTGCTCCCAACTGGATAATATTACAGAGAAAAACTACTGCTTTGCGTTTGAAGAAGAAGAAATTGACTAAAGCTAAGGAAGGCAATAGACCACGTCAGAGACGAGAGCACCTCGTGCATGTAGCTCCAGATATATGATCCTATATACGTATTTACATACAGGTATAGGGAGAGAGAAAGATAGCTAAAGGAAGGAAATTTCATGTCCAGAGAGAAGATTCTTTTTGCGAAAAAAACTTATTTTTAAATTTATTTTTGTGGATATATCTGCAGACTGATAAAATGAAGCGTTTCAAGCCACACAGACGGATTCTGACTGTAGAAGAAGACATCTTTGGTTTTCTTGTTTTGTTGATGTCCTTTAAACCGGGTTACCGGTTCTCGTCTGGTTTAGTAAAGGATTAATGTGATTTCACGGGCCCGAACTTTCCGTCTGGTGGGCCTCACGGTCTAGCTCACGACCCTTTTATATGATTTTGATTACCAAAATAAAGTTGAAAATTCGTTAAAATTTCCATGAAAACAAAATTAGGTGACAATCCATGTAATTTATTCTGGTTTATAAAATAAGATTAATAAATTAACTGTTTATTTTTCTATTAAGTGACTTGATTGTTAGCAATCTAATTTTTTGTTGATGTATTGCAAACAATTTGAAGAAAATCTTTCGTAAAATGACATATATTCATCATGAACAACAATCATTGACTCATTGTTATCAGTTTGATAGCCAAGTGCTCGATAGTTTGCATAACCCAGAAATCGCATCTTACAATGCCATCATCAAGGATTATTCACCCAAACATTGCGTCCAAGTTGCTCTTGGTATGTATTGCAAGATGCAAGTCACTTGATGCATCTTGATGCAGTCACTTTCCCTTCTCTTCTAAAAGCTTGCACTGATTTTCAAGATCTTTGTATAGGTCATCTCATACACGCTCATATAAGCAAAAACTGTGTTTCAGGGAATTCCGATCACAAAGAAAACAACAATCTAATGGGTGAATGATTTTAGTTTATGCCCAGATCAGTCAGCCTGAGGAGACTTTCCATGCTTTCAGTGAGAGTGAGATGCTTCACGCACGACTTGTTCCTAGCATTTCTACTTGCATTAAATATTTGAATGTTTGTTATGATGGATCGGTTACTAAAATTAAAGTAAACTGAAGATGATCAAATTAAAGAAAAGAAACTTCAAAACATAATAGATTATACAAGTAAAATTTACACTTTCAGTGAAATTTGTTAATAAATGCAAACCTCTTATCCATTACACAGAGGATTTATCATTTTTGTTTGTTTTTCGTGCAAAAATTAGAATATGTTTTTTTTACTTTAAAATATGTATCAAAAATATGGCATAAGAAATTTTTTTACCGTCTTTGTTATTCATCCTAATTTTTTTTTCTACTTATCCAAACATCCTAAACAAACCAAAAATGTATTCATACCAGTTATTTCAGTTATTTTTATTAAGTGAAATGCGATGGACATTTAGGCCATGTTTGTAATGTCCTTTTGATTCTTGTAAAGTATGCTTGTAAAAGAGTCGAGACATTTTCTATTGTATGTCATAACAATAAGCTAACATCAACAATAACATCCATCAACAATAAGACATGCTACGTCGGTTCTAAGGACGTGTGGACCAATGCCAAAAACATAGAGTTCATGTATGTTTATAGCTCACTTACGTGTTTCTGAAACTGTTTCATAACATTTAGCTACGAATATTTTTAAGAAGGTGAGATCAGAGGTTGGTTAAGAAATTCTTAGTCACGGTTAATCTGAAACACGGACCAAATTGTTGTTCATCATATCTCTTCTCTTAATCAAAACAAAACAAATATCGAAAAGAATAAAATAAGGAGACCAATTTGAGAAGTTATCTAATACTAGATCAAACAAAATATATAGTTAAAGAGTAAAAAGAAAAACTTATGAGTACGAAGGTGAGATCAGAGGTTGGTTAAGAAAGTCTCGGTCACGGTAAATCTGAAACACGGACCAATTTGTTGTTCATCATATCTCTTTTCTTAATCTAAACAAAAGCAAAGATCGAAAAAAAGAAAGAACAAGACCAAACTGAGAAGCTATCTAACACTAGATAGAAGAACAAGACATATAGCAAAAGGGAGACAAACAATTTAGATCATCAGAGACTTAAATACTAATAATCATGAAGATTATTACTCCATCATATTGTTGCAGTATTATCTCATCAACTGATCTTTTTTTCATTGTGTACTAGAATAGAGATCGTCTCGAAATCCAAAACTCCACCCACAGAAAAAAACAAATAGAAGATGAGAACAAATTGAGTTGAGATGATGACTAAAATGTTCTGTGGTTTCGTATTTAAAGATCAACCAACGTTAATAACGGCGATAATCAAGTTTTACGGAAAACCCTAGCGATTATCGGTTCATATTTTCATGAGGCCCATTATAAATAGCTCAATGGCCCATTAGATATTGTCTGAAATTATTGCATTGACCACCAACACAAAGTGCATACATTTCACAAGATTTGATAATCAAGATTTTGCCGAGTTGAAAATGATGGAAACGCTGTTGACGCAATGGCGTTCATCGGTGGGAGTACCGTAGCCTTCACCCTTGAAAACATGGCCTAAATGTCCATCGCAAGCCGCGCAAGTGATCTCAGTTCTTCTCCCATCTGGACCAGGCTGAGAAATGTTAAAAAATGAGATATTTTAGTTACCAATTAATATTCATGAGACTAAACCAAAAACATGACATGTAAAAGATATATAAAGCTTTACGGTTCGGTTTATGGCACCGGGAAGTCCTTCAAAGAAAGCTGGCCAGCCACAACCGGGATCGAACTTTGTGGTTGATTTATACAGAGGAGTCTTGCATCCTACGCAACTGAATATTCCTTCCTCAAAGAACTTGTTATATTCTCCGGTTCCTGGCTTTCTGAAAAAAAAAAAAAAAAAAAAAAAAAAAAACATTTTGACAAGAAAATGCTTTGTTGATTGAAAATGTAAACGTGCAAAACACAACCAGTTTGCAAAACATTTTAGCAAAACAAATCTTAAAAAGTTACATTATATGGTCCGATACAACACCTAATTTGTTTTACCTCTCTTCTATCTCTCAGCTCACTCAAACCAAATTACCAAAGAAGAAAACACCAAACAATAGAGAAAGAGCAAACTTTATCTTATGTGTTATGACAAAAGACATTAAATTATAGGCAAAATTCAATGTGATTAGCGGGGGTGATGATCAAGCCTTCATTGTCTTAGCTTCTACATCCTTATTAGTAGTAATCCAGCAAACAAATCCGAAATCATGGATCAAAACCAAACTCCAAGTTACAGAATCAAGCTCACAGACCGTGGAGGAATTGCATCAGCTCATAGCTCTACCATAAAAGGTACTTCACCTCGAAAAACTCTTTAAGTGGATCAATCATAAGTCTGTACTATACTTTCATTAGCTTGGATTAAACAAATTTAAAAAAAAAGCAAGTGAACTCGCTAATTAGGTTGGATTAAACTTGGAAGATAAGAGCAGGCGAGTGGAGGCAAATCTTTGTGAGCAGTCTCTCCAAGATCAACTTCCTTGACGGATCCATCCACTCCAATGATGAAAGCTAGGTTGCTAGCAGGCCTTTGATGGCAATCTTCATCAAAAACCAAGGCGACTTTCTTGTCCTCGTCAATGAAGAAACTACCACCTGTAACCATAAACTGAAACATATGGTAAATGGATTGTCTCAGACTCACTGACAAGAACACCTCGCTCTCCAACGTCACGGCGTCGGGCTCAATCTTGCTCGTGACCCAGATCTCCACCTTCAAAGTATCCCATGGCTGAAACAAAGCCGCAAGCTTCCCTCCTCTGACAGGAGATAGACTCACAGTATCCCGAGGGAAATGCTGGAACGGCAGAGGCAACATCGGCCCAAACGTCTCTCTCGTGAAATCAAAACAGACCAAGAAAGTTTTTTCATCCTCGGCTTCGTCTAACTCTGACTCGTCCTCTGTAGCAAGCCAGTAGGCATTTCCGTTGACAGACACCCCGGAATGAATGTATTGTACCCTCCAGCCTGGAGGAGTGATATCAAGATCCCTCCATGAATTCATGGACTCAGAGCCCAAGTCGTAGATTGTGAAGTCATCGGAAACCGGGCAATTATAATAATCCCTAAATCTTAAGATTTTGTGGGAATGGCTGCTCTTGTCGTATCCCATGGCATACAAATAACCGAAATAACTTTCGGGTCTATGCGGGGCCTCGATCCACAGGGGTTTCCCGCAATACGGGTTCCAAACCACCAGCCTCGTGTGGTCTTTCGACACGCATAGCAATAAACCGTCGCAATGATACACATTGCATACATCGATTTGATCTGAATCGGGAGAGCAAACAAGTTTGCCTTGCTGCTTTAAACTACATGATTGGACGTCGTTGTGGGAGAGATTGACTCGCATCAAGTAAACGCTGTAATCCATCATCACCACCACCATAAAGTCCTCCTTGGCTTTTTCTGCCTCTCGACTGAGATGCTTCTTTGCAAGGAAGCTGCTTTTGGACAAAGTGTTCCACTTTTTGCAAGTAGATCGGACTTTTCTCAGGCTTGTCAAAGGGATTCGAGAGAGCACCTCCTCCGACAAATCCCTTGGAAGATCCGACACCATCTTCTTCTCGATTTAGTTTTTTTTTTTCCCTTCGAAACAAAATAGAGAGACACAAGATTTCTTCCCTCCCGATTCAACTTTATATACAACAACACACGCAGAGAAAGGATTCAACTTTCGGCAGCAGATAAAACCCAATCCAAATTAAATTAGGACTCTTTCCTTTTTCTTTTTCTGTGCTGATTACATTTTTCAGCAACATTTTCTAGTTACCCAAAAGCATTTTGTCACCATCTCTCATATCTACAAACTAATTCTCTTTTCACCCAGACAGACAGATTCGAGATCAATTGATATAGTTCCTTAAATTTAGGCAACGTTCAAGCCTATCTGAAGCTCAACCCTATCTCTCAGCTCATTTAAACAAAATTACTAACGAAGAAGATAATACCATAAACTAGAGACACAGAGAGATAAAGTTTGCATTCGGATTTAGATTATAAAATTCAACAAGATTCGCCACTAAATATCTTTCACTTCACAAAATTCACATCTCTCATTCAATCATTCCTTCTCTCACTGTTACAGAAACTTTGGATCCCATAAATGAAATTGAAGCAACAGTCGCAAGAACAAATACAGAACAAATACGAATTCCAGAAACTACAGTCATATTTATTGGTATTGGACAAGACAATACTACTATTCCAACATAAAAAAAGATGCAATCTTTAGGAATAGGTCAAAAGCACCTTTTTCAATTTCAAGACGAAGAAACAAAAGAGTTTCTCCCAAACATCTCCAGTTTCGAATCCGAATCCTTACACTCGAATCCACACCCACATTGAGGCGATTCCAAAAACTCCTGGATCGCGAAATTCGCCGACGTGATCCCAACGGAGAATTCCATTTCATCGCCCTTCCTCATGACCTCGACGATGTTGAGCCACAAGAAGAGAACTTTCACCTTGATCCCACTCAGTTTCGTGAGCTTGTTCTCGGAGATGTAACCAGTGATGGTCGATTTGTAGTTCAATTGGTAAGAACCCACGAGCGAGAAGCTACACGAATCGTTGAAATACGCATGGAATTTGCCTGTTGATGTGTCTAAATCGTAAGCGACGACTCCTTTTGGTAGGATTCCGACGGGGAAATTGTAGCTCTGGAGAAGAGAATACGCCGTCGGCGAATCTGATTCTCCGGCGACTGCGAATGAAGAAGGTAATTGGAAGAGGAATAGAAAAGAAGCGATTAAAATCGGAACGCGAGACATCTCCGATTGAAGAACAGAAAGATTTGACTTTTATTTTTGCTTTCTCCGCCTATGGGTTTCGTTTACCCGGACTTTTGTTAAAGCGGTCGTCAAAAATATCTTTTACCAGATAACTAAATACGACGTCGTTTGAGGAGACAGCTGGCACGTGGCTAGCTCCTACAGGCTGTCATGTTTTGATGATTAGCTAATTATTTTTGGAAAAGTATCTCAAAAGGATAGAGTTGAAATTATTTGCATTAAGATATTTCTTAACAAAAAAACCAAATGAAAGATGAGAAAAAGTTTATTTTACCAACTCGACCAAAATTTGCACCTTTCGCTTAGAGCTATTTTGGTTAAAGAAAATTCCCGTAAATATGTAAAACAAAAAGAAAAGTAAAAAAGTGGTTAATGTAGTAAAACGTAAATTAATTATGAACACAAATAAAACTTAAATTCACGTATAACTATGGATGGGATAATATCAATGTTAGCTGTAAGTGGTCTGTGGAGACCGCTAGGTCGTCGCGTAGATCTTCGAGTGAATTTCACGGTAGCTTCAGAAACTGTAACTCTGCTGGTTACTTTTTACCGCCGCACGCATCACAGTCAGTTAACACCAAAACACAAAAGATGAAACAAACCAACTGTACCAACTTTATATTCGATTGATTTAAAACCAAATCTAAACGGTTAGACACAGACCGATCCATTTCAATCTTGCTTGCATAGAACCGTTCATCGGTAAAGCAACAAATATGGGCTTTGATACAATTGGGCCTTGCCAAACAAAACCCACTTTTGTCAAATTTCTTTTTGATGCTGATTATCCCACATCGGTTATCTGGTACTTAGAATCGTTGTATATATTACACAGAGAAGGCAACGAAGACCTTACTTGAACACGATATGTTCTATAGGCTCATACCTCTGAATCTTTGATTTCTAAGGAGACATGCCCCAAACCCTGGTTGATGAACCATGACCGTGCCATCGGAGCGTGATTAACGGCCACGATCATCTTCTGATGCTTCCGGTGCTGTAGAGGATCGTTTTTTTGCCTTTACAAACTTTCTATGTCACTAACTGAAACCAGACAACGTAGTTTACTTTGTTCACACACAAAGATCTTTCTTCTGCCACTCGTATAGAGATTTTTTATGAGCTAAGAAGATTACAAACAAGCTACATAACTTCCAAGATTGTGGTTGTGTCACATAGAATCGAGCTACATGAATTCAATTGAGTTCTAACTTGTAAGTCTGTTTCTTTTGCTTCTCTTCCTTACCGATCAAAGCACATATACATTTCTCTCTCTCTCTCTCATCATTTCCTTGTAAACTCTGTTTTCTTCTTCGTTATAAAATATATAGTATGAGTTGTATTATAACAAAAACCACCAAACCTCCTATAGAATTCTGAGAAAATAGTAAACAAATACGCAAATGGAGAAACGAAAATAAGTACCAACTGAAATGGAAGCAAAAAGCAAACGAGAGCAAATCCTAATTATTGAATTTGTAAACAACGACGCCACTTCACTCTTCTTCTCTCTCATTATCGTCTCCTTGTAAACTCTGTTTTCTTCTCTCAATCTCTCTAACTCTTCTTCCATCTTGATAGCTTTTTAAAAATCTGATATGTTTCTTCACTTTTTACTATCAAATTTTCATTTCAATAGACTAACTTAATGATATATGCTAGTGATGTCGTCGTCCCATAAACCATATCAAATGCGTGTGTTGTTTAACAGAGGAATCAGTATCCAAGTATAAATGGAGCTCTTGTGCGAAAGATGCTATTAATGGAAAAAAGATACAAGTCTTGTGTTTTTTTATCTGCCTTTTAACTCAGAGATCAACGAATCATCAACAATGAAAATATAAAGCAAATCATATAATTAACAATAAGGCAAAGAGATAAACAAAAGAGTTGAACAATCATCAATCATACTTACGCTTTGGTGTTGGTTGATGAGCCAAATCATCAGCTCACATCCTTCAAACTCTTTATAAACGCGTCTAACGATTTGTTCTTGGGGTTTTGCCTCGACCCTCTTGTTCCAAAAGTCCCGAAAATACTATCCGATGGATCTCTGTGTTTCTCAAGGACCGTTACAACTTTCCTGGGGTCCAAAGCGTTGTAGTTTCTTTCTCTGATCACCGCGTTCTTGTAACTAAGAACATTATTACTCATGAGCAAGTTAATCATCTGTCTTATCTCCACGAAAGCATTCTTCATCTCTTTCGCTTCTTTCTCCGTCAGCAATGGAGTTAGTTGCTCTGTAAACGAGTCCAGCAACTGAATATCCACATCCACTCCCTTGATCGCAGCCAAGCTCAATCTTTTCACCAAATCTCCGCATAACGTTCCAACGATCTTCTCAGAAATGTGTGCAAGGACGTCGTGCAAAACCCTATTCAGGACATTAGCTGGTAATATCTGTTGTGCGGTGGAAACCAAAGTCTCTAGGTAGATCAACACTTCGTTCATGTACTCGTTCCCGTTCCCGCCTTGTGGAACGTCGTCGCTTGTCCAGTTAACATTCTCGATCAGTGTCATGAATCCGTCTATCTTCTTCTTGAGCAATCCCGAGAGCCTATCTTCGGCAGCGTTTTGGGCCTTAGTCAACGGGAAATGTCTCCGACCTCTCTCCGCCATTCTCAAGGGAACTCCTGAGAGCTGAGCCGCGTGGCGGAAGAAGAAATCGCAAGCTCGCTCGAACACAGCCATGTTCGCTGCGACCTGCATCGCCTGAGAGACTCCGTGCACCGACGTGTTAATCAGCTTCAACAGAGCCTCGTCGAGAACCTCGCCTAGAAGCCTATCGAGATACTTCTTCACGACATCGTAGAAATCAAGCTGACCTCCGTGAGACATGAAACTAACCGAATCCTCAATGAAAGACCGCACAATCCGGCAACAATCTGGCACGGTGGTTGAAAACGGAGCAATGTAAGGGAACGCCGGTACAATATCTGAAGTTTGCAACTGGAAAGAGAGCACATTCATAGAATATTCATACTCTTTCTTCATCAACATCTGCTCAAACTTATCTGCAGATAACGCTTCTGTGATCTGTTTACGGCAATCAGATAACAGCAACTCGTGATACTTGTCCCTGTGCTTGCTCAACACCTCGAGAAGGGAATCAACAGCGTAGCCATACCTGCGTAGGCTCACTCCTAACAAGCTCACGTAATCCTTAATCAGCAAGAGATGATTCGCCGTCTGCATCCTAGAGAACTGATCCTCCAACACAGCACACATGTCAACAACAGCGATATCCCACAAAGCCTCCACTTCCAGCTTCGAAACCAAACCTCCTCCAGTCCTCAAAACTTTATCCTCTACTATGAAAAACCCAGCAATCTGTGCGAAAAACGTCTGATGAGATTCAAGAAACGGAGTCATAGAAGAAACCTGTGAGTCGTTTCTAAGATGATGTTTCCTGTTCGTGAAATAGTACTGCTTGAAGCTATCTTCAAGGGACAGAGTCTGATGAATGTGATAAGCTCTATAGAGCGGAGTCATGTCAAAGCCCATCAATCCTCCACCGGAACTGCCAGCATCGCTGCTATCAGGGCCGGACCCGAATTCATCTTCTTCTTCTTCGTTTAAGGCGTAGACGCAATCGCGGAGACTGAGTCTGCTCTGCTCCTCCGCTTGTCCCTGCTTGATCCTGAGCTCTTCCTCTCGCTGACGAGCTGCAGAAGCTTCACCGATCGCTAACTGGCCCAAATTTCGACTCACCACACGGATCTCAACCAACCAATCATTGAACTCTTTCATCACTTTCCTCTCCACATAAGATCGAATCTCCGGATCCTTTTCTCCAGCATCCGTTTCAGCGTCGACGAGGGAGTTTTCTCCATCAAATCGCTCTCAATCGAGTCCACACACTTCAACGCCATGTAGAAATTACCGCTCTGGAGATGCTGATTGGCTCGGGAGACGAACGCAGTGCGTCACGGCTCCAACCGCCAGATCGACGTTCTTCGACACACCTGCGCCTCAACAAGCGAATCGAGAGTCGAGAGAAGCGGCCCTGCGACGGACTGGAGTTTAGAATTCGAATCGGATAGCGCAGATTTGAGAGATTCAACATCTGAGAGAAGCGACTTGAGATCGTCTACGGCGTGGATAAACTCCTGATAGTGAGCCTTACACACCTCCTCGATCTCCGATTCCTTAGATCGCGCGAAGAACTTGAGATGCTGAAGAAGAGTCTCCAGTTTTCCCGTACCGAACGTTTTCCGCACAAACGGTCCCAAATCCTTGCCGTTACAAATCGCAGACGATATCAGGAGTTCATCAAGCTTCTCCGCCGAGTCTACACCGGCTCCGGAGGTTGCGGGACCCACTTTCCGCCGTACTTTCGACGATTGCATTATTTCCGATTTTTGGTTTTAGGTAAAAAGCAAAGCGTACAGCGAAGAAGACGCAGAAGAAGAGGGAGTGGATTTTGGATTTGGACAACAAATTGATTTGGTGGTAAAAATGTGGTTTGACTAAAATGGCATCGCTGTTGAAGCGGTGAGACGGAAGAAGACGAGGGTGTTTCTGTCTTTTCAATAGCGGAGTGGGTTTTCTCTGACTTTCCGGTGAATATTTGTCTAACAAGGAAGGAGTCTTACGCGTTACAGGCGCGTCATAGCACGCGCTCGAGATTATAAAATGGATACACCATATTACAAGTAGGCTCAGACCCAGTTTGAGCTTATTCTAATTTCAAAGCACGAAGAAGAATTTGCACCTTGTACAAAAGAAAGAGTACAACAAGAAATGCGATCTCAGAATTTCTTGAAGAAGCCATGGATATGATCAGTGACTTCCTCGGGCTTCTCTTGGTGGAGGAAGTGACCAACACCTTCCATTACCACCACTTCTTGTAGAAACGGAACATGTTTCTTCAAACCACCTCCATGTATGAATTCCTTTGTTCCCGGGATATGGTACGTAATGTCTAGATCACCAACTATGAATTTCACAGGGACCTTGATCTGTAGACCGGCCCATGGCGCCGATAGCTCCCAGCTTCTACAGGTTAGGATAAGACCAGGTCCAAGATCAACAACGAGGAGAGAGAGAGATAATGTATTGACTGATGTGTTGAATTGGTGGCTAGAAAAGAATTCATAAGACTTACTTGTTTAAAGCACGATAGTAGTTTAGTCCACCGGTGAAGCCTTTTTGGTTAAACTTGTCTGCATAGAAAGTGACGTCTTGCTCGGTGAACCAAGCAGGCAAAGCAGGTAGATCAGGTAAACCTCTGAAACCAACTGCCTTTGGAATGCATGGTGGGCGTGGGCTACGCGAAGTGAAGAATCTGCTTATTAACTTCTTTGTATCTACTTGAGCAAAGTCTTCTTCAATCTCTCCATGCTCCTGAGATTAAAAAGAAGAAAGAAACTGTGAATCATGAGTATAGAGACCAATTCTAAGCAAATGGAAACCACAAGAAGACTGATCCAACTTGTATTTACTCATAGCAACCATATACCCAAATATAGTAAACGACTTTGACTTTTGCATTGACTTCTATTGCCTTTATCAAATCATCAAAAACATAAGCTGAACAAAACTGAGCTTTCTTATAGGTAGGTGATGGTGGCTACTGGTTAATTTGAGTAACTTTCATTTCAATACACATTGTCGCATTAGTTCAAAATTCTTCAAGCAGCATCAAAACTGGAGAATTACTGCTAATTTCACACAACTAAACACCAAACAAGCAATTAGCTATATGTAATTTACCTCAAATCTTTTTGTTAAATAAGCCATGAACAGTTTCTAAATTTCTGAACACTAAAATCTGCAAAAGAGGAGAGAAGCACTAAAACTATCTTTCATTGAATTGAGTCAGGAACCCTAAATGATGTTTTTGATTTCAATACCCGGAATTTCACATTTCAAGTTTCAAAATCTCACCTGAAACCTGCAGATGTAGTAATCGTCGCCGAATAAAGCTCTCAACGCATCAACAGGTTTCACAGAAGGATTCCTCGGATTGAATGCGACGCTTGTGTTGACCAGCGCTTTGACTCGATCAGGCCGGATCATACAGAGCCACCATGCGATGATTGCTCCCCAATCGTGGCCGACGAGGAAAACCCGGTCAACGCCGAGTGAATCCAGCAATCCGACGAGGTCTCCGACGATATGAAATACGGTGTACAGTTCAGGAGACGGTGGCGCGTCGGAATCGCCGTATCCTCGAAGATCCGGAGCGATTGCGCGGTAACCTAACTCAGCGAAAGAGAGAAGCTGGTGGCGCCATGAGTACCAGAGATCAGGGAATCCGTGGAGGAAGAGGATCACTGGACCTGAACCGATCGAAGCCACATGCATGTTGATGCCATTCGTGGAAACCGTCGTGTGCTCGATCTTCTCCATTGGTGTATTCGTCTTCTCCGTCTCAGTTCTCTGACTCTCACTCTCTCACCTCTGATTTTGTGCTTGACCTTGGTCATTGAAATTGCAATTAAATTGAAATATTTATTTATTTTTAGGCTGACAATAAAAAACAATTGTGACCAATGAGGCCTATAGTCTAATAATGCCTGCCGGCCCACAACAATAGTTTAATTTCCTCGTATAAAAGAAACTTAAATAAAATTATCAAATTTCAAAAAAATGTCAAAGAATGTCAAAATTGGAACCGTTTATTAGAATTTCTACTATGGACTAATGATAATAATTAAATACAAGAAATTACGAAAGTAAACCGGCCATAAAAGGCACACCACTCTGAACCATCCACTCATCTCCAAATAAGAAATTCGAAACAGTAAAGTTATTGGCATCGGTGGAATTCATCAGGTGATAACCAGGCCAAACCACCCGGTTAGTGGTATTAGAACCGGATCCGGTATTGTTATACTCAGCATAGTACAACGTACTCAATGCGAAATCTCCATTCCACTCTCTCCAACCAACCGGTTCAAGAAAACCATCCATGTACGATTGCATGAAAACCGTACGTGAATACTCCTTCCACGGCCGTCCCAAATACGTTTTAACCGTATAATTGCTCGAAACCAAATCATCCGCCGGTCTAATCGTACAATTGTGGATCGATGTTCCTGTGTTCTGGTTCGGATCGGTACGACCTTGAGCCGTGATAGCGTTAAACTGGTTTGGCAACGCTTGTCTCGGGTACAAGTTACAGTTTTGTAACACAACAGCTGCGTTTCCGAATATGAAGTCGACGGTCCCATAAATGTCGCATTCTCTGTAGAACTGTCTTAGTGAATGTGTGTATAAAGTGTCTTGATAAGCTTCGAAACTGCAACTGTAGAAGATTGAGAGATCGGCGCTGCTCCTCAACGCCACGGCTTGGTGCTTCTCTGGCCCCGCCGTGTTACGGAAAGTTATGTTCACCGCAACGAAGTTCGGTGATGTTACAGCTGAGAAACAAAATACACTCGCGAGGATTATTACTTTGTCGTCTCTAATAAAGACTATAAATACGACCAAACATGTTTCTCCATGCAATAGAAAATATACTAAAAATAAAACGATAATAATTGGCACCAAATATTAAAAATTGGTACAGTAAGAATTGTTAATGCGTCTTGTCACTTATTCACTACTCTCCTAGAAGTAATATAAAAGTTTGTCATATAGTGAACAACGTGCACTTATGAACTGCCACGCACGTAAAAGATCGATCCAAAATTTCTCTTGTTGATCATAGGTGTCGGTAATGTAACAAAAGTGGTTGCATTTTCTTTATTGCAGTATACAGTATAATTTGAATATTTGAAAATACTTGTTTCTGGAACATATACCATCACAATTGTAAACTTTAGAAAACATAATTAACTTATTTTTTTCTCTGAAGTTCATAAAAGTCTGGAGATGAGTATGAAATATATTTTTTAAATTTGAAATGCAAACCTAAAGTTTGTAACATTTTTAGAAAACTTCTAAAAGTGTGATAATTTTGAACCAAACCTTGTTTTCATGGTACGTCAAGGTATTTATCTTGGTTATATAATTTTTTAATATAAGTCTTATTAAATAGTTATATTTTAAAGGGGCAAAAAATAATGAAAGGCAAAGCTATCCATGTGCAATCAAGCGTTATCTATTATGGACGTACCAAAAGTGGCGGAGTTGAAAGTGGTCCAACCATCCACGACGCTCCGGTTACCGGTAATAACCGTACGGTTGATGCCATCACCGATCATCATAAGATACCTTTTGCTTTTCGCAATCACTACGTTTTCGTCGTAAACACCTGACGTTACGTAGATAACGAAATAACCGGCGGTACCGTCGGTTTTGTTCGGAGCCGCCGCAACGGCTTCCGTTATGGTCGTGAAATTCCCCGTACCGTTTTGGTTCACCGTCACAATGTCACTCACAAGCACGGAGTCTTCGTCATTGTCGTCGGCGAGATTCCTCCTGCTCAGAGACTCGTAAACGGCGCGTGTCCGTTCAGTCATCTTTAGCGGCAGAGCTCCGTTACGAAAACGACGGAACGGCTTAGCGTGAGTATTCTTCGCGTGGGCCCAAGAGTACTGTTTCTTCTTCTTTGGGACCCACCCTTTCGTGAACAGAGCGAGCGAAACGCTAAACAGCTTCGTGTCGTTGATAAGAGGCAACGCGACGCCGTTCCGTATGGTCCACGAAGAAGCAGCAGCGGTGTTGATTCCTTCGAGGCACGTTTGCTCGTTGGTCAGCGCCGCGGAGAGAAGCGTTTGAATTTCGTCGGCTTTGGAGAACGACAGCGTTTTCGACGACGCGGTTACGTTAACGGTCTCGAACGACGTTATGAGATAGTCTGTTGTGAGGCTTGCTAAGTAACGGCAGTCTTGGAGGGCTCCAACGGCGGACTGTGATAATACGGCATTGTTTTTTCTGAGGTATTTGTCAATCGTGCGTGTGAATTTCCGCGATTGCGTTAGCGATTTGCGGAGGGAGAAGCGGCCGTATTCGCGAACATCGCCTTGAGATGTTTGTGGGAACACTGATTTGCAGAATTTGGGATCGGGCGTCGTTTTGCAGATGCTTGAGGAAGAGTTTGATGAAGAAGGAAGGATTTGAGAAGCAATGAAGAGTGTTTGAAGAGACAAGAAGAGTGTTATGAGGAAGACTTTTTGAAATGCCATTTTTTTTTGTTGGGGATAAATGTTTTGTTCTGTGTGATTTTGGAAAGTTTAGGTTTAGTGGGTTTATTAAATAGTGGTTGAGGTTTGGATGTGGGTCCATATAAATGTTGAATTTGGTTACATTTAAATGTATTTTTTATATTATATAATATAGTTTTTAAGGGTGGATCTATAGACTACGTACGGTGGTCTATGGATTAGCAGCATCTGTATTTTAAGAATGCATTACATTTCAGACCCCATATTCATACCATGTTATAAACAAAAATGGTTAGAACGTATATGGAGTGGAGTGCATGATAAAAACACACACAAAAACGTATGCGGTTAGAATTTCAAAAATACTCGGACTGATAAAACTATTTATACATTTTTTTTAGAAAAACAACACGAGCCACTGATGTGAACAAATTATCTGATTTTGTTAAAGATAATGCCATGAATGTTTGAGTAGTTTTTAGATGTTGGTTTTTGTTTTTGAAGTAGATTTCAGTTTTTAATAAAACTTGAATGGGGAATTTTCTAGTTTTTGGTTTGAATGTGTTTCGTTATAATCGTTGGAAATCTTTTCACAAAATATGTATAAATGTAGTTGTTGTGGTCATATTTTTCTCAAACGTCTTATTCAAAACCTAAGTATATATGATGTGTTAATTTCATTGCGTTTCCCCTTTTTTGGTATATATATAACAAAACAACAATAATGCGAATTTTCGGTTCTCAAAGTCAATATCTTGGACTCTTCTGAGATAAAAACGCGTTGTTGGTTAATAGTGATATTATCATAGGACATTGCATATTCAAAGCTGCCCAGCTGTTTTTGGTAGAGATCCATGTTCGTTTAGGTCTTGGCTATAATCGGATGGAATTTTATATGTATAAAACGCACAACTCGATGAATAGCATGTATATATGTATATAAATAGTTATGCATAAATTAATAAATATGAAGCTCTTTTATCGTACAAATTTTGGAGTTCTTAGTTTTCAATTCATAGGCCACCTCGAGACGAGGGCAGGACAACGCACATCATCTCGGAAATACCACAACAAGACGGACCACTTATATGGGCCACTTTCAATGTGGGAAACCATTTTTCTTTGTGAGAAATCGCTTGTTGGGCTTAACCTTGGGCTCTGATACCATATTAGTAATGAGCCTATCTCACACCCAAAAGCTAGCTTATGAGTGGAGGATTGCCAAATACTATATATATTAGTGAAGAAAGACTTCCACTTTCGACTTTCTCATTTAATATATAGGTTGTAAATTTTGAAATCAATAAAAATTTTAATTAAAAAGTTCGATTAGTAGAAAAAAGAAGATGCACAGCTCATACCTAGAAATATCGTCAACGCCGGTGGAAATGTGTGTTAGGCAATATATAGACTGTATGTGTGTGTGTGACTATGCATAGAATTTAAGTCTTTCTCTAAATTCCTCGTCCTTTCGCCTAAATTAACTATCTTAGGTATGGGGCAATTTATTGGCTATTTGGCTATATGACTTATGAGCCCAAACTAGTTAAAAAATAATTGAATTTCTTGCTTTTTTGGTCAGAAACAAGTAATTATGTTTCTTTATTTAGTGTGTGTGGAAATTTGTGATGTGTTGTTCACTTAGTATACGCTAGAAAGACACCTATATATATTATATATTCAGACACATTGTATTAACTCGTGAATTTAAAACTACATTAGCATAAAATAATTTGTGTGTGTATCTTTACATCACTTCACTTATAGAGATACACACAGAATTGTAAAATTGCAGGACTATTAGCTTATTTAAAATTATCTAGGTTTTTTTATTACCCGCGGTGATAATAACGAAATAATCTACACCTTATTTTAAGCATCGACACGAGTATAAAACATAATTTATATATGTACTAGACTACTAGTTTTAACTTTTACGCAGCCGTTTACTTTCTTTTTTTCCTTTTCCTTTAGTAGAACGGAGATCTCACAACTTTAATAACACTAGGCTATATAACACTATCATAGTCTTGTTTTCTCGTTTATACAAAAAAAAAAGTAAAAACTATCATACTTTTTCAAGAACATTTTGTCAACACTTTTAAGTTTATAATATGTGGTTTACGTGGTGTAGAATAATTTGTCTAAGCAGGAACATTTTTGTTTTGGGTCAACACGCACAAATAATTGAGACTGGAGAAGAGTCAATCCCCCAGTAACCACGCTCTGGTCCACATTCAGATTTTGCAATTTAATTATATCATTAGTATATCTTAACCTCTTTAAAAGCGTAAGAATTTTTGAGTTGTTTGACTAATCTGGTTAATTATTAAGTAGTCACTAATTTGTTTGTATCTACGTTTTTTTTTTTTCGTTTGTATCTAAATTCGTTTTTTTGTCGCATTAGTTTGACAGTGCATGTTTATTGGGGACCTTTAAGTTTGGATATGCGTAAACGTTAACAAGGTAAAGGCAGATGGTCCGCTAACGATGGACTCTGAGACAAAGACTTGGCTGTGACGTCAACATAATTATGATTAAACATTCGTTTAGTTGCATGCTTTCTTACTAATCCTTTTTCACTATTTTATAATTTTCTGATTTTCCTTTACCAAAAACGAAATTTATTATATTTATATTTTTGTGTTTTTTTGGGGGCTAATTTACATTAGTATGCCTTTCCCAAAGTAAATACGATCTCAAAAGAAAAAGAAAAAAAAAAATAGGAACTAAATGTCCTTAAGATACACATAAATTACAAGTGCCAAATGTGTTGTATTTTTTGTTGTGAGAAAACTCAATTGGTTCCTAGTTAAATACTCTCAACTAAGCGCATTAGTAATACTTCACCAAAAATAAAGTCGACTGAAAAGTAAATTAAACGAAACGTGGTTGAACTGAATTCAGTTGACCTATGAGTACTGTTCGACAGTCAAATAAATAGATAGCCAAACTCGTTTTTCTGTATAGAATTTAACATGGAGTAATTCTAAAACAAACAAGTATCGTTAAGGAACGAGGATTGCGCCATGCTTTGAGTTTGAGTAAACGTGAAAACTTGATGGTAAGAAAATGACACGTATAAAAATGTGGTGAAAAAACGGCACGCATGTTATTACTTTCTTTTTTACATTTGTCAGTTTGTATGCCGACATATATATGTGTACCATGGATGGATTATGGGAAGCTTTGAAATTCCTTATGAAGAAACATATTAGTTATTTTTTAAAACAAAATACAATATTCACGTATTCTGAAAGTAAATGAATCCAATGAACTATATTTCAATTGCATGTATTCCTTTATGCAAAACAAATCTTAGTTATATTTGCTCACTATTGTTAACAAATTAGTTATATTTTATCAACAAACAAAAAGTAGAAAAATTGTAACTTACCTGATGTATGGCCTCTTGTCGCTCGGTCCACGGCATTAGGAATCATGGGATGATATTTGGCATGAGAAATATTGGCTTCGAATCGCCGTATTGGAATGGTACCACAAGGGCACGTAGCTCCACTCGCGTGCCAAATCTGCATACCAAGTGCTTCTTTTGTGTCTATCATGTGGTCCATGTCACTCGACGTTCCTACTAAAAAAAAAAAAAAGACAATATTGTAACCGTTAGGGTTACTAAAAACTCTAAACGTTTAAAATGTAAAAAGTAACATATAGTAAATGATTTTTTAGGAGGGGATGGTTGAAAGCCGGTTGGTCCAGTTTGTTGATGCAGCCAATACTATCGTTGTCTGGACTCTATTATATTATACTAAGTGCCAGTGCCAAGGCCAACCCCGCCAAGAGTCTCATAGCTCTGACCTCAAATTCGCGAACTGGTTCAAATTCTCAACCCGGAAGTGTTGCGATATAAGACTTCCCCTCCCCATTGTGTCGTCTCGGCGTGGTCCGATAGCGTCGTAAAAATCTCGGCCGGCCAGTATCCGACCGACACGACATTCTTGCCCATGCCCATCCACCAATTCCCTGTTACCCGATCCTGCCATTTTTGTCTCTTTATTTGTTAGCAAACATAAAGCTAACACAAATGCAATGAAATAGTATAAGATTTTTTATATATAATGGGAATCAAACGTTACAAAGTAAAGTATACATGATATTAATACAAATATCGACAAACTACTTACCTTCCAGAGTTGAATCGTGATGGCAAACTGGTCGCCTCCAACTGTCGAAGCCCGAGTAATGGCAGCCTCGAGAGCGATAGTCCTACTAACTTGGACAAAGCCTACACAATGTAGGCCATAGCATCCAGTTTTTAGATATGCGTCTCTCTGTAAAAATTTATAGGAGCCAACAGATTAAACCTTATTATGTGTTACTATTTGGAATTTACTACAGTTACGTTTTAGGGATATTTCAAAATTAAGATTGCAATACGAATATACTTTGATCAGTTTGAAAGTGAAGAAACCCCCAGCTCCAAGTCCGTTGGCACTACTTCTTCAAGATCAAGTAAGAAGAAAAACATAAGCAAAAACATCGAGAAAAATAAGTAAAACATGAGTAAAAATATCAAAAAAATTAAGCAATATATACATATAATATAAGTAAAAATATCAAAAAAATTAAGCAAAATATAAATATAATATAAGTAAAAAAAATTACACTGTTCGATTAATTTTTCAGTTTTCTTTTTTCCTTGTTGAAATATACTTACCAAAGGTTTTGTTCACCACAACAAGTTGAGTTTATTTCCTTATTGATATATACTTACGATTTTAGTTTAATATAAAATTGAGTTTTGTCCCAACAATACGAAAAGTATTGTAACTGTATCATAATTTAACGAAATCTATGAAATCTATATGATTTATAAGTCTGAAGGTATCCGTACATGAATATATAAGGCAGTTTATATAGTTGAACATTAAGCTATCTCAGTACGTAATTCGTGAAGGTATATATCCGGAAAAGAAAGCCAGAAAGGGCAAAGCAAAATTAAATGGTGAATCGTTCTAACAAAAATCGTTTGAAAGAAAAGGACGTCAACACAACAAGGAAAATTGACGGACAAGCGGATTTCTAGTGGCGAAATAAATTGAAACATTGCTATATATTATGTTTAAAAAGTTGTTACAAAGTGTAAGTAACCAACAATTAAATAGTGCTATAAAGGTAAGTATATATTATTATTGTCTCCACAGAGAGTGAGTGAGTAGACAATAATAATAAGACTCCACAGAGAGTGAGTAGCAACATCAGTCCGGCCAAGATCACAACTACAAGGCCAACAATGTATATAGATATTATTGTCTCGTCTACCTTCTAAAATCTACTTTAGTATAGTTTCCAAATTCCAATGTCCAGGTAGCTAGTAAGGTTAGATTACGTTTTTGTGTTATATTATATGGTGTTATGCGTTTCAATAAAGGACACAAAGATCAATGGGAACTGATAATTGCAAATCGTAAAAGTAATCGAAATAGAGTTTATAAAAAGTTTTTTTTTTATTAGTTGCTTTTGTACGTACCTCTACGAGCTTCATGAGATGCTAGCTGAAGAAGCCTCTCCGAGCCTTCTGTAAGGCCATCCCTCTTTCCTCCAAGGCATACTATCAAACTTTGATCCATGTATATGAGCTTTTTAATTTTGTTTTCCTCCTCTTGTTGAGCTCCGACTGGTATCAGTCTTCCGGGAAACTTTGTTTTACGTACACCAATATAAAGAATGCATGTCAGACTTTTTGTTCTTTTTTATTTCTTTATTTTCTTTAAAACTATGGAAGTGATCTGAATTCTCGAACTCGAGCAGCCGAATATATAATTGCTTCTCAACTATTTTCAGTGTATTTATTATTTTTATCTTATATACATTATTGGAACATCCGAAATTGGAAATATTTGACCAAAAGTGGCAACCACCTTCCCACACTCTCTCTCTCTCTGGCTCTGTCTTTTTAACTAGCGTGTCTATTTGGTTGGTTTCACTATTGTTTGTTTAAAAGATTATGAAAAGTGTAATTTGCAGACAAGACATAGTACTATATATTAGTAATTATTGATATAACATTTGGATTCTGATTAGTAAACCATATAATTATGAAATTATTTCGCGATTTCATCAAAATTCTTTTAAATAATATATGTTTATAGTTTAGGAATATATAACGTGTAATTCATTGAGTGATTTCATATTAATTTCACATGATTTTTATCAATAAACCCATTCCTAAACAAAATAATCGTAGATAGTTTAGTTTTTCTCACTAGAAACATTATACTTAAATCACGCGAAATAATTTTAATTAACATCTCCAACATGAGAAATTGCAGGCAAACGTTAGCATTAAGTAATTATATATTCAACATTTTTTTTGGGAAAGAAGAGGTGGGCTATCTTTGTAGTTTGTACCACTTATATTGTACTTCTAGCTTATTTTTTGAACTTTTCTAATTAAATTAAGCGAAATTATTATAACTAGTTAACATCTCCTACGTTGTATTATTAGAACTTGTGGACAGCACTAAGTAATGATATATTCAACTTTGGCTTAGGAAACGGACGTGGTGGAATGGATTGCCTTTGTATGTGCATCTTATTTGTTCTTTAATTTAACTGATTATGCAAAGCCATGATCAGAATATTGGCGACAAAAAATCAACGTAATGAAGTTATATAAACATATACATTTTCTGAACATAAAATAGTTTTTAATACTATATAATTAACTGTGAAATCATAAATTATATTCGAAAATGAATAGAGCAAGAATTAATATCTGAATGGTTATACTTATATCCAAAAAAATAAGAAGGAAAAACTAACTTAAGTGATACTAACTTTTAGTGGTCATTTGTCTGTCTAGGCCCCATACTAATTAATTAAGGACGTTGGCACTACTTCTTCAAGACCAAGTAAGAAGAAAAACATAAGCAAAAACATCAAGAAAAATAAGTAAAAATATCAAAAAAATTAAGCAATATATAAGTATAATATAAGCAAAAAATATCAAAAAAAATCAATCAAAATATAAATATGATATAAGTAGAAAAAAAATAACACTGTTCGTTTAAATTTTAAGTTTTCTTTTTCCTTACTGAAATATACCTACCAAAGGTTTTGTTCCCCACAACAAATTGAGTTTATTTCCTTATTGAAATATACTTACGATCTTAGTTTAATATAAAATTGTGTTTTGTCCCAACAATACGAAAAGTATTGTAAGTACTGTATCATAATTTGACGAAATCTATATGATTTATAAGTCTGAAGGTATCCGTACATGAATAAAGCACTTTTAGATAGTTGAACATTAAGCTATCTCAGTAATTCGTGAAGGTATCCGGAAAAGAAAGCCAGAAAGGGTAAAGCAAGATTATTTTCCGAGCACAAGGAAAGGGGAAAAGAGATTGACCTTGAGAGATGAAGAAAGATGGGATTATAATATTTGACGTGAGAGATGTTGTCTTTTAACCGCCTAACTGCAATGGTATCAGGAGGACACGTTTCTCCAATCGTGTGCCAAACCTGCAACCCAAGCCCCTCTTCTGTAACTACCATACCAGTAGGTGTTTCCTACAAAAAAAACCACGTTATTCTAAACGTTAAGGTTGATAAAAACTCAAAACATTATAAAAAAAATATATATATATTAACCTGTAGGAAATGATTCTTCAGCAAAGGATGGTTAAAACTTAAAAGCCATCTGGTCCAGTTTGTTGATGCAATCAATAGTATCGCCATGCATCAGGGCTCTATTATATTTGAAAGAGAAAAAAACATGTTAATTATCCAATAAGGTAAATTAAAATTAAAACTTACTTTTTACTTACCTGAATTGTCCTAACCGGTGTTGCGGCTAATGCTCCACGCAAAGTCAGTGCCAAGGCAAAACACGGCAAGAGTCTCAGAGTCATAGCTACAACCAGGCCAGTGCCTAACATGTTAGTATATAAACGACTGGTCTTAAGAAACAAAAAAGTGCCTAACATGTCGACTTTTTTTCTTTGTCATGGTTCTACAAAATTGGAAATCTGACTGAAATAGTATTCCTTTCCACATCGAAAAAGCAAATCACACATCAAATATGAACTAGAATCATGCCAGCGTATAACGTGGGATGAAAAGATAATAAAGTAAAAACATTAGAAAAAACATCAAGAAATATAAATAAAACATAAGCAAATATCAAAAGTTAAGCAAAACAATATAGCCAAAATATATATATATATATATATAATATAAGTAAAAAAAAAACAATTACACTGGTCGATTAATTTTTAAGTTTTCTTTTTCCTTATTGAAATATACGTATCAAAGGTTTTATTCACCACAAAAAGTTCAATTTATTTCCTCGTTCACACTGTCAAATTTAAGTTAGCAAAGAGGTAACACGGTTTTAAATATGGTACCATCAACTTTAAAAATTAGATCCATCCTATTTTAGTATTTTACTTGTTGACTGAAATAATATTCCTTTCCATATTAGAAAAAAACAAATCACATCAAATATGGATTCTTTTTGTGTCATTTCTTCTTCGTTTTATGACTGGATATATCATTTTGAATATTGAATAGAAATATCTTGAATATGACTGGCAAAAATTCAAATATTATCATGTGGAAGGAAGTAAATCTATTGCATATGTATATATAACAATTAACATAACTCTTTTATCTCAATTTTCAAAGATTTGCTTTTCAATTCATGTTCTACAAAATTGAAAATCTGACCGAAATAATATTTCTTTCCATATACACTTCAAATAACAAATCACATTAAATATAAATTCGTTTTGTGTCATTCTTCTTCGTTTTATGGTTACCGTTGGGAATTTTCATATACTATAACTTCACCTTTCACTTCACATTTCTGCATCTCTCCATTTTTTTTTGGAGCAAATTCCTGGCTCTCTTTTGATTTCCCCCTTTCTACTAATTTTGTTACAAAATGAATCATCTAATCAAAGAGTTAAGATACAATTTATTTATGAGATTATTACCATTTTATACTTTTTCTCTAATCTTCTTATCCACCGTCGTTTCTTCTCAATCACCGTCGACCTTCCACAAAACGCTGCGTTGTACATCCTCCGATAACATCACCGAGCTCGTGGTCGCAACTTTAAACCAAACCATCTCGTTGGTCAATCTGTCTTCCTCCAACTTCTCCGATCTCCAAAACCGTATCGGCTCCAACAGCAGCCATCGCGACCGTTGCGCATTCCAAGACTGTCTCGAGCTATTCGATGACACCGTCTTTGATCTCACCACCGCGATCACGGAGCTCCTATCTCCTTCTCCGGCGATCCACAACGTCAATATGTTGCTTAGCGCCGCGATGACGAATACCGGAACGTGTCTCGATGGCTTCTATTCAAGCGACGACGAAGAGAACTCGAGTAATGATAACAAGACGTATGGAGTGGCTGAGAGCATGAAGGAGAGTCTTTTCAACATCTCTAGACACGTCGGAGAATCACTAGCGATGCTTGAGAACATTACAGTGAATATTCCGGGGAGATTAGAGGATGATGTTGGGTTTCCGATGTGGGTTTCAGGGAGTGACCGGCAACTCCTTCAAGATCCGGTGAATGAGACTACGTTTGATCTCGTTGTGGCTCAAAATGGTACCGGAAACTTCACAACCATCGGAGAGGCCTTATCGGCCGCTCCCAACTCGAGCGAAACAAGGTACCAAAACGTTAAAGATTAGGTTTGATTGGTAAGGTAGCATGTAGATTGTAGATCACGATATCATTCTGCATGATTTTATTTTTTTTGTTAATTTGAAATTATTAGTCTCACTTTTTACGGCTTAATGATTAATTTTTTCTTTTCTTTGGGTCGATTTTGTTTTGCTTTACGTAGAAGCTACACTTTAGATTGACTCGGTGCACACAAAAAAATTAAGCATAAAACATAAAATGACACTAGAAAATTCACTAGTCTTCGCTCTGCAAATTAAGTATTAATTTTATTGTTATGTAAAACTGAGCACATAAACTCTTACAAATAATTTCAAGAATATACATGCCAAGGTGATGACTGATGATATATTTATAGATTCAAGAGAGGTACTCTCCATTAGTCCTTGTTTTGGCTTTTGACTGGTTTTTGAAAATGTCCCGTACTTGCCACAGCTACAAGCCTACAACGGACTTCCAAGTTTTCGATGAAATTTTAATCATAAAAGACACTTTTCTTGTTTCAACAAAATATCTTAAACTTAACTACTTAAGTAGCACGCATCATATATAGCTACAACAACGACAAAACTCAAACTTGAAGATGTATATATAAAAATGCCGGGAATGTAATATTGATTTTTGTTTTTCTATGTATAGGTTTGTGATATATATAAAAAATGGAGTATACATCGAAAACATTGAAATAGCGAGGGAGAAGACGATGATAATGTTTGTCGGGGACGGAATCGGACAGACAGTAATAAAAGCTAACCGGAGCTACGCAGATGGATGGACCGCATTTCACTCTGCTACCGTTGGTAAATTTTCTTCCTTTTTTTTTGAACAACGGTTAAAAAAAAGATTTCATTGAAGGATGTAATATGTCGTCCTCCATGAGTAAACAACCACATCTATACGTTAACAACGAAAGTTTCAATAACTCGTATACTCTTTTACGTTCATGTATAAAAAAAAATGAAAAGTATTAAAGAAATCATCTTTCATAGCCATTATTGTGATTTTTTTTTTTTTTGATAAAGACCATTGTTGTGATTCATGTAGTTAGTTTTTTATTCTAAATTATAACTTCTAATGATTAAGAAATCCCTAATATATTAAAAGAGAAAACACTAACTAAATAACCTTTGTCTAATGTGTTATTAACAAGAATGTCATTGCTTAGGTGTCATCACTAGGTTCACTCTTAGAGCAATTTCTAATTAAGACAAGCTTTACTAGACAAATTACAATATATGCCATTGCATATTATGCTTACAACCAAATAATGAAATTAAATTTATCATTCTCTTTCCTTAATTGGCAACTACGAAAATTAGTAAATAAGGAAGATATGAGATTCAATTTAATTCATCATAATAATTTCTTTTAAAATCAGTATACATCTTCTATCATCTTTGTTTAAATTTATTTAATAAAATAATTTGAATCACAATATAAAAAATCTATCAAAAAAATCTAAAACTTTTTCTGTACATGTTATGATTTGAATTTTTAAAAACAAAATAATATAAATTGTTTCGTATATAACCTCATTTAGTAGGTATCCAAAGGTAATTTTTTTTTCATTTAATATGGTTTTTTAATTAAAATCTATAATAAATCGAATAAAAAAGTTCTTTTTATAAATATTTTATTTTGATTAAACTTTTGAATATTACTCTATCTGTTTCAACTTTCTATACAAAATTAATTATATTTTTGCTGTTTTGACAATTTGGATTCTGCATATTATTTTCTGATTGGTTGGATTGTTTTGAAATTATAATAAAGCATGTTTTAGTTTTGAAAGAAAGAAAAAAATTAGTTCTAATCCGTGTCCACACAGCTAAAACTTTTTATCTTATGAAATACATGATGTATAATTTTTCTAAAGAATAATGTTTTATTTTCAATTTTTTTTTTAAACTATCTTATTATATTATAGTTATTTGAGTTTTATGTATCTCGGTTAAATCTATCATATTTAATCTGTGGTTACGATCAATGCTTTAATTTATTTCTTTTTTTTTAAAATGCCTAATTTCCATACTATAAACGAATAACAAAGGTTAAAAATCTCTCGCATAAAATGTCGAAATATTTAAATATTTTTAATAAAAATACAAATTCAGAAACTATCACCCTGCGTATATTATTAATACGTTTTGGTTGATCATGCAGGCGTGAGAGGTAATGGCTTCATAGCTAAGGACATATCATTCGTAAACGATGCAGGAGTGACCAAACACCAGGCTGTGGCGTTGCGTAGCAGTTCTGACCTATCTGCTTTCTACCGATGCAGCTTCGAAAGCTACCAAGACACCATATACGTCCATTCACACAAACAGTTCTTTCGAGAATGTGATATATATATGGCACGGTCGATTTCATATTTGGTGACGCATCGGTTGTGTTCCAGAACTGTAGTATCTATGCTCGTAGACCAAACCCTAAGCAGAACATCATATACACCGCTCAAGGTCGAGAAGATCCACGTCAACCAACGGGTATCTCTATAGTTAACTGCAAGATCTTGGCCGCATATGATTTGATCCCAGTGAAAGCTAACCACAAAGCATACCTAGGTCGTCCTTGGCAACTATATTCAAGAACGGTTATTATAAAATCGTTTATTGACGATCTTGTGGATCCTGCCGGATGGTTGAAGTGGAAAGACGACTTTGCACTTGATACGTTATATTATGGAGAGTATATGAATGAAGGACCCGGTTCGAACATGACAAACCGGGTCAATTGGCCCGGTTTTAAACGGATTGAAACCGCAGTGGAAGCAGCCCAATTCACTGTTGGTCCGTTTATCGATGGTAACACATGGCTAAACTCTACGGGAATTCCCTTTACTCTTGATCTCTAATCAGTCTTTCTTTGTTCTGGTCAATTTAAAATCTTGAACTTTTTTTGTTAAGGACATAACTCTAAATTTAATGGAGTCAGAAACTCAATTTTTGGTGGGTTTATAATATTTTGACTGAAGCTCGTATGTGTACATTTGTATAACTTGCAATCTATGCATTTTACGTTGTTTGGTAAAATCCTGATGAATGAGTCTTTTGCCAAAATAATTTATTTAATGAGAATTTTGAACAAAAACTTCCATACTCCTTTGTTCAATAAAAGACTTCCATACTCTTATGTTATTACGTGTGAGTAAATTTATATCATTTGTTTTCTTCACGATTGTGGCAATTACCATAACCTGAAGAACCTGAGTTTGACTACAATGATATTCTTGTTCTTGTTGTCGTTTACCTTTGGGAAGTTATATATAAGAGAACAGCTTCACTTTTATACATTTCAGCTAATTTGTCTTGAAACTATTTTCACTACAATGTTACAAAGAAAAAAGATGAATAATCCAATCAGAAAAACGTCAAACCACAAAATTCTCAATTTACTTTCATTGACATTTCTTCTGATCTTTTTATCCACCGTTGTTTCATCTCATTCACAATCCACAAACCACAAAACGCAGCGTTTAACCGAAACCAATAAAATCACTGAGCTTGTGATCGCCACCTTAAACCAAACCATCTCAAACGTAAATCTCTCTTCCTCCAACTTCTTAGACCTCCAAAAACGTCTCGGTCCAAAGCTAACCCACCGCGACCGCTGCGCGTTCGAAGACTGTCTCGGACTACTCGATGACACCATCTCTGACCTCAAAACCGCGATCTCCAAGCTCCAATCTTCCTCTCTTGGGTCTCACGACGTCAATATGTTGCTCAGTGACGCCATGACGAACCAAGACACGTGTCTCGATGGTTTCACGGCAAGTGACGATGAGAAAAGTGATGATAGGACGTATAGATTGGCTGAGAGCTTGAAGGAGAGCATCATAAACATCTCTAACAACCTCAGTAATTCTCTGGATATGCTTCAGAAGATTCGGGGAAAGGACTCTTCTACAGAAGCATTAGAGGTTGACGCTGAGTTCCCGAGTTGGATCTCAGAGAATGACCAGAGACTCCTTCAGTCTCCGGTGGAAGAGACCGATTTCAATCTCTACGTGGCGAAAGATGGTACCGGAAACTTCACAACCATTAGTGAAGCCATCTCCGCCGCTCCCAAGTTGAGCGAAACTAGGTACATAAACCTTAACTTAACGTAGTAAAGCATTAATTAAGCATATATATCAACAAATATTGGTACTAAAAAATTATTTCATTTTATTGCTTTAAGTAATTTTGGTCGTAGTTAGTGATAGATATTAGAAACGAAGAAATGATCTTCAAAGTTTTACCAATCATAGTTTTACTAGGTGAGAGGAAATTTTTTAAATATAAAATTGTGTATATGTTTAACATTCTTAAAAATCAACGAGACTATAGATTTTGAGAAGCTATTAAAAAAAAAAGAATATGATTTATGTAATTGGTTTTAATGGGATGTGAATGTTTTTGATGATACATGTCATGTTTTTTTTTTCCATGGTATGGGACTAATATTAAGTTTTCAAATTGTTGGTATAGGTTTATGATTTATATAAAAGAGGGGCTGTATTTTGAGAACGTCGAAATATCGAAGAAGAAGACAATGATAATGCTTGTTGGAGACGGTATCGGAAAAACAATCATAAAAGGAAACCGCAGCCGTGTTGATGGATGGTCAACATTTCAATCTGCCACCGTAGGTTAGTCTTTTATATTCAACAACTATTTGCTAATGCTAAACATTTATTGGTTATAGCTAATCTCAAATTTCAGTCAAATAAATATTTTAAAAATTTATAAAAATTTATAAGGCCTTTTACATGAAAGAGTCCATATCATATCTTCATGCAGGCGTGAAAGGTAACGGCTTCATAGCTAAAGGCATATCATTCGTGAATTTTGCCGGACCTTCGAAACACCAAGCCGTGGCATTTCGAAGCGGTTCTGATCTCTCTGCTTTTTACCGTTGCGCGTTCGAAGGTTACCAAGACACTTTATACGTCCATTCAGCAAAACAATTCTACCGAGAATGTGACATATTTGGTACAATCGATTTCATATTCGGTAACGCGGCTGTTGTGTTCCAAAACTGTAGTCTTTATGCTCGTAAACCAAACCCTCACCAGAAAATCGTATACACCGCTCAAGGCCGCAACCAGTCAGAACAACCTACAGGTATCTCTATGATTAATTGTAGCATCTTGGCCGCAGAAGATTTGATCCCTGTAAAAGCAAGCTTCAAGGCTTTCTTAGGTCGACCATGGAGACTATTCTCTAGGACTCTTGTCATGAAATCGTTTATTGATGATCTTATCGATCCTGCTGGATGGTTGGAGTGGAAAGACGTTTTTGCTCTTGATACATTATATTATGGAGAGTATATGAATGAAGGGCCCGGTTCGAACATGACAAACCGGGTCAAATGGCTCGGTTTTCAGCAGAATGTAACAGAAGTGGAAGCAGCCCAATTCACAGTTGGTCCATTTATTGATGGTAACACATGGCTTAACTCAACTGGCATCCCATTTAATCTCGGTTTGTGATCGTTATAGATTTTGACAATAATGAAAGCAAGTGTTGTAACCATCGTAATGGATGAATCAAGTCATTTAAACTTAGACTTATATAATAATCCACATTCTATATAAATTTTATATTGTAGGGTAGGGTATATATATCCAACTCGAAAAAACAAATGAGAAATCTCATAGCAAGTGAGATTTTTTCTTTTTTAAAAAAGGCAAAACATGACAACGAAAAATACAGCCTAATATAAGCATATCCATGAATTTAAATCAGAATTTAGTGGAATAAATTTAATATTTATGTCCAAATATGTAACTTAATTTTCAGTTGAAAATGATATAGCCTTTACCCTCTGTTTTCTTGGCTGTTCAATAATGGGAAACCTTTTACAGAGAAGCAAGAAGAAAAGGAGAATAAGAACATGAATCCAAAGTTTAGTTTTCATTTTTGCTCTTTATATCGTGTTTTATTTTGATGGGTCATAATTGCATGTGGAATCATCACAGGAACGCACATGATAGTACGACATTCCCATCCTCTCCATTATTATTATTCAATGCTACTCTTCACACGTATACACACAGCTTATACGTTACATGGTTACATATATCATTTTGTTCAAAATTTTGAACAACATTATCCACATATGCTTAGTTTACTCGAAGAGTAGAGGGTGGTTAGTGACTTAGTGCTCGTTTGATTGCGACTATTACAATGTTACTATTTTTGGAGTTTTTACCTTCATTTAGAAAAATTATACTACATACAATAAGTTAACCCTTGCAGAAGAAAACGCACACCTAGGCAAAAGTCGTGTAAATCCTATGTCTCATAATCACCAGCAAGGCTAATGGCAATGGCCAGTTAGAGATATAGTTAAATGTAGTTTTGATGTAATATTTCAATTAGAAACGCATCAAACAAAAGCTAGATGGATAGTAGTACAAAATAATTAATGAAGGACAACCATTATTATGGGTTCAGCTTCATTAGGATTTAGGAATAGGTGTGATCGACAAATATCGTTCACAAGAAAGAGACTTAACCCATGGGACACATGGATTTAGGATCACAAAGTGCCTTCAATCTGAAATGCAATTTTTTTTAAAAAAAAAAGTTAATTTGCATTCACTGTATATACAAAAAGACAAAATTGTTTTATAAAAAAAAAATAACAGTCTACAGAAATTTGGATTTTTAGAAGATTAAACCTGAAACATGGTGTAAAAGTACTAATCTATAAAATCAATCACTGTATAAAAAACTCCACTAAAAATATGTTCAATTGGAAAAGAAAAAGATGCTAAAGCTAAATTAGATTGATTTGATAAATTTTGTCTTTCATCACATTTGTTTTATAATCAAGTAAAAACGACAAAATTTCGAGGCCCAACAAAATGCAAAGATAGTTGTTCAAAAAAAAAGATCCTCGAATGATCTTAAGAATTATTTTTTGAAACTATAGAATTGTCTCGATAAAGAGAAGCATTTTTTATCTGCAATGTAATTTGGGTCCTGGACGTTTATTTAAACTTTCCGTAAATTAAGTGATTGTGCTTATAAGTTATGACAATCATTGCTGTATCGCATTTACCGTACAATATTATTCAAATAATTATAACCTTTTTCAGCACAAAACATAACACTGTAGTTAACGCCCATATGTTACGGATGATTCGACTAAAAGAGAAAACTACTAATAGTTTCTAATAATTGTTATAATGGCCACTGGCATCGTTCATCATAGATTCGTATGAAAAGCTAGTCACATGCACACATGTATGTGGAATGATTGATATCTAAAGTCATATTGAAAATTTCATCGTCATTATCGTCGAACAATCTACTCAAAAAATGTTCAGCAAATTCTCTAGACTAGTATCCTATATATAACTTATGAAGTTATGATGCAAAAATAAAAAATCACGACAAACATTCTTCTTCAAAAAAGGTGATACATACTGATAGAACAGTCATATTCAGCAAACCCTAATACGTCATTTGGTTAAATGTAATCTCATATCATCAAAAACTATATTGTGCGAATAGCCAATACTTAAGAGATCTTTTCCCTCCAATTTATCTAGTAAGACAGTTTAAACTGTATAATATTATAACTTGAAGTATAAATCAAATCGACAACAAAAGACAAATAGTAAATTAAATCGTACAAAAATTAAGCTATTAAGCAAAATGACGTTGGTGATCTAGTGGTGTTATTCAAGTGGTAGAGCAATTTAAGCTGTTTCATAGTATTATAACTTAAAAGTATAAATTAAATCGACAGCAAAAGACAAATAGTAAATCAAATCAAACAAAAATTATACTAAACCAAAATAACGTTGGTCTAGCGGTGGCATTCAACTATTCAAGTGGTTGATCAAAAACCATCATAGTCTACCGTAAAATATAGTTTTTGACAAATCTCCAACGTTAGTCTAAAATTTATTCCGGTTATTTAAAAGAATATTCAAACTACATATTTACCATCAAGTTATGTGTAACTCAGTTGAGATAATGCACCTTATGTTTTTAAAATTTTGAAAGTAATTCCACAAGACATCATTATGCTCAAAAATTAAACCCAACAAAACTGATACAGCTTAGTTTTAGCGAATCAAATTAATAGTGATAAAAAATGACATATTATTTTTTAAATCGATCGGTTTGTCTTTTACAAACTTCACAAGCACCGAAATACCGAATCTTATCCAAATTTTCAGATACATGCAAGAATTAAAAAAATCGGATACAGAAGCAAAATGAATCTTTACTCGTAAGTTAGATTTGCGAATGGGCTTCCCCATCCTCCAACGAGTCGAAACAAGCACAAATAGTACGGACGATGAGTTAGATTTAAGTATTATCCAGAAAAACCCCTCTATTTACCATTTATTCTGATTTTGTCCAAAACTATCCAATTAGTCATTTCTTTCTTTTAGCTGCATCTCCTTTCTTCTGACAGCAAAAATTTCAGCTCTTACCCATTTTCACCGCCTGGGAACACACAAAAGGAGTGGTTAAAAACTTTTACCTAGCCACAGAGAGAGTTAGAGGAGAGAGACAAACAAACCTTTCTTCCCCTATAAAGAGCAGAGAGCTACTTCCTCTGTTTCCCACGAAGCAGCTTCTGCAATCTCTTCGCTGATTGGTTAATAGAAGCTCTCTCTTTCTCGCTCGGAGAAAATGGCCCTCTTTGGCTGTTCTTCTTCGTCCTATGCCTTCAAACTCATCATTTCCCTCTCTTTCTTCTTCTTCCTCTGCAATGGCTTCTCCGGCTCTTCTTCTTCTTCTCTTTTCTACACCCAACACCACCGTCACCACGTCGCCAAGCACAACTACAAAGACGCTCTCACCAAATCCATCCTCTTCTTTGAAGGCCAAAGGTCTGGGAAGCTTCCTTCCAACCAGAGAATGACTTGGAGAAGAGACTCTGGCCTCTCTGATGGCTCTGCTCTTCATGTAAATCCCCCAACTTTCCTTAAATCTCTTTTCTCCTTTTTCGAGATTTACGGTTTGGTTTTAGGGAAAATATGAACTGGGTTTGCTTGTTTACTGAGAGATCTCTACAATGTAGGTTGATTTTGTATCAATATTCGTCTAAAGATTCAACCTTTATTCATGGGTTTGCATTTTAGAAAACAGAGGATAACATTAGGGTTTTGTTTTTTCCCCCTTTTTCTAAAATCCCTTCTTTTCTTTTAATGAGTTTACTTAGTTAGTGATAGATCTCAAGATTGTCAACAATGTAGGTTAATTTCTGTATGAATTTCCTGAAAAGATTCAACCTTTATTAAAATGGGTTTGGTGAATATAAAAACAGAGAAAAAAACAAAAAGCCCTCTTTTCAAAAATGAAAAATCCCTAATTTGTGCTAAATTGGTTTTTATTTCTTTTGTTAGGTGGACCTGGTTGGAGGATACTATGATGCAGGAGACAACATCAAATTCGGATTCCCAATGGCATTCACAACAACAATGCTCTCATGGAGTGTGATTGAATTCGGCGGTCTCATGAAATCTGAATTACCAAACGCTAAAGCTGCGATTCGTTGGGCCACAGATTATCTCCTCAAAGCCACTTCACATCCTGACACCATTTATGTTCAAGTGGGTGATGCAAACAAAGACCATTCTTGTTGGGAAAGACCTGAGGACATGGATACACTGAGAAGTGTGTTTAAAGTAGACAAGAACACTCCTGGTTCTGATGTCGCCGCTGAAACCGCCGCCGCTCTCGCCGCAGCTGCTATTGTTTTCAGAAAGTCCGATCCTTCTTACTCCAAAACCCTCCTCAAACGAGCAATTAGGGTAAAACTATAAAACAACCGCAAAGTCTCTTTTTTTTTTCAGACAAAATGGTTCAAATTAACTGATTGAAGTTTTTTTTGTGTGGAATTGAAGGTTTTTGCATTTGCGGACAGATACAGAGGAACTTACAGTGCAGGATTGAAACCAGAAGTTTGTCCATTTTACTGCTCTTACTCTGGCTATCAGGTAACATTAGTTTTTCTCACACAAATTCAAAAAGCAAAGATTTTTTGGAGAAAAAAAGTTGAAATTAAATAAATGTGTTTTCTTTTTGGCAGGATGAGTTGTTGTGGGGAGCTGCTTGGCTGCAAAAAGCGACAAAGAATCTTAAGTATTTGAATTACATTAAAACCAATGGACAAGTCCTTGGAGCTGCTGAGTATGATAACACTTTTGGTTGGGATAACAAGCACGCTGGAGCCAGAATTCTTCTTACAAAGGTTTGTTTTTTTTTCTTAAACAAAAACCCAAAAACTCTAATTTTGTTGAAAAGAATCCTAACTAATTTGTGATTTTTGTTTTTGGTGTGAAGGCGTTTCTGGTTCAGAATCTGAAGACACTTCATGAATACAAAGGTCATGCTGATAATTTCATTTGCTCTGTTATTCCTGGAGCTCCTTTCTCTTCTACTCAGTATACTCCAGGTTCTTACATTTTACACCCTCATCTTCCACTTATTTACATCTTAACCCCTCCATTAAAGAAAACTACGATACTAAAGTTATGGTAAAGTCTTACTGTGATGTGACACTTTTCCGGTGATTTTTTTTTGGTTTTCTTTAAACTTTTTTTGGCTGATTACTTTCTATTTTGGGGTCATATTCTTTTGATTAATATTGACATATTAATCAAATAACGCTGAATAGAGAAAAAAAAAAAAAATGGTTGAGACTACTATTTGATTAAATAATTTTTCTCTTATAAATCTTTTTTTTGTATGCAGGTGGATTGTTATTTAAAATGGCAGACGCCAACATGCAATACGTGACGTCAACATCGTTCTTGCTCTTAACATACGCCAAATACTTAACCTCCGCCAGAACCGTCGTCCATTGCGGTCGCTCCGTCTATACTCCCGGTCGACTCCGCTCCATCGCCAAAAGACAGGTCCAATATTATTTTCCCTGATCGTTTTGAGTTTTATGTCTAATTTTAAAATATGCTTCATAATTATTTTTTGTTAATCAATAGGTGGATTATCTACTTGGAGACAACCCATTAAGAATGTCTTACATGGTTGGTTACGGTCCGAAATTCCCACGGCGAATCCACCACCGTGGCTCCTCGTTACCTTGCGTTGCAAGCCACCCGGCCAAGATCCAATGTCACCAAGGCTTCTCCATCATGAACTCTCAATCACCAAACCCTAACTTCCTCGTCGGTGCAGTCGTTGGTGGTCCGGACCAGCATGATCGCTTCCCGGACGAACGGTCTGACTACGAGCAGTCCGAGCCAGCTACTTACATCAATTCACCACTCGTTGGAGCTCTTGCCTACTTCGCTCATTCCTACGGTCAACTCTAGGAGTTGTAACCGTTGACTACTATTTAGTAACGAATGTGTTAGATAAGCAAAAAAAAAAATGAAGGAAGTTATCTTTATTTTTATTTATGGTTTTTTAGTATAATGCCATTGGTCTGAAAATCAGATCAAGAGGACATTTGGCCCGAGGGATGGTTTATTTGGTTCGTTATTATATAATGCCAAGTGTAATCTTATTGTGGTTATTAATGCATGTTATCGTCCTTTAAATGATTCTATCCATATTGTTATTTTTTTGTATGTTTGTGTTATATTTACTTTAATATTTTTGGGGGAGTGGATAGAATCTCTAGCTGTTTTGCGCTATTAATAGATGAGATTGTGATTTCTTGATTGGTTCCCGACTTCTTGGAGTGATGAAATATATAGAGAAAGAAAATAATAACAACAATTTTAGGATCGTAAAACAAGTCCTCGATATCACATGCATAGTTATAGACTTATAGTTATAGCGCATTAACAAACTAAAAACCTAAAATAATGCCCATTAACAGAAGGAGAAAAACTAAACTAAAATACATTGAGGATTCACATAAAAATGAGCAAAACTTTGCTTTAACGTGGAGGGGACATTACAAAGATTTGCAATAGTTAATTTAACAGCTCAAGTGGAATTTCGAGCTACGGGATTCATTGGTTTTATTAAACAATCTCACAGAGTTGAGATAACGAGATTCAGAAATATACTAAAATGAAATCTAACAAAGGTGACTGTGAGAATAAAAGTTTGTTTAACTAATTTTTTGTTCGGAATAGCCATCTGACAAAGATTTCAGTTTTCACACTCATCATAAATGTTAAGTATTGATCTGACGAGAAAATATATTCTAGCAGGTATTTTTGTTTTGAGAAAACAAAAAGAAAGAGAAAAAGGAGTAAAAATAAATGATGATTGATGTTTATTGCATCGGGAGAACCATTTTCCACGACACGAGAAGCGAGTAATTGACCGGAGAGAGGTGTCCTTTTTCTCATTGGTCAATTAAAGCTGCTTTTGTCACTCTTCTACTCTGTCAGGTATTTTTTTTCTTCTTTTCAATATCTGTATTATTTTTATATACTCACGCATCAATTGTGTTTGTGTATCTCGATAGTTATCAATTAATGTGATAAATTATTTAAAAATGAAGAAGACCCATAATGTGTCCAGTCAAATCTTTACCAGCGCATTTTATATCCACCAACTCCTCTGTGGCTAAAGATGATGTGTTGTAAACTTTTTTCCAAAAAATGTTGTTCTCCATCATTTTCATACTAAGTTTCGATTTTAGAGTTTTAATGGGTTCACAGAAAAAACAAATTGTTATGGTTTCTCAATGCAATATTCAAAAGGAAACTACATTTTCATTTCTATTAGACTATTAGTTCTTGTTATTAATTAGATAGCTAATATACCTATACTACTAGTTATTTAGTTCAGTTTTGAAAACAATCTTTGTACTTTTTTTCTTTTCAACTGAACAAACTTGCACTGTTCTGTTGAGAAAAAGTAATGTATATGATCTAGATTTTTGTATTGGTAAACGGCGTGTGTGTTTCAGACTAAACTTTCAGACGAATATCCAACACTTAATTAGATATAATGGGATTATCTACAACGTCTGCAATGGTTGAAATCGATCTAGTTATATACTTTGAAGTTTGAAACGAGATGTGAAAAGAAATAATATCATCGAAGACTTTTTATTGTAAGCTACAAAATACACGTGACTTATTTTTCAACATGTCAGTTTCACACACATGACACAACACACAAAGTACCATGAAAACAAACAAGTTCGTATTAACCCCATCCGACAAATGTCTTTCTTTTCATTCTTACACACAACACAACAACATAACCAATCTTTTATTCTTTTTCACATCCGACGCCGAACCGGATCAGTCATCGGCGGTTAAAGGAACAGTTTTCACCTGAAATAACAAAACCGTTAATCTTAATGAGACCTCTTGAGAGCTAATTATATAGAAGAGAAGAAGAAAAAAGTGTGAGTGACTTGTGTACCAAGTCACGGAATTTGAGAATGTAAAACATCTCAAGGTATCGTCGAGTCTCTCGACGCTCCAATTTTGATACGTATTTCCAAAAACCATAAACACCAGCTAGTGTCATTAGTCTCTCAGAGTATATCTTCCATGTGTACCTACACAAAACCCATATTAAGTTTGATATAATATGGTTTAACTAAGAAACAACTATAACCGAGTTAGTTTTTTTACCTTTCGTAAATCCTTTGGAGACCAGAATCTGATACTTTCTTCCAATGGTTTGGATCTTCCTTACAACGTTGAAAGAAATCAGCCATAATGTTACCCGCTTGCTCGGGATGATACGGATCGATGTGGAAACCCGATAGCCCGTGCTCGATAATCTCTGCTGGACCACCGTGACAAGTTGCAAAAGTCGGAAGCCCGCAAGTCATTGCTTCCACCACCGTAAGCCCAAACGCCTCGTAGAACGCAGGCTGAGCAAAAGCACCTCCTGTGTCAGCGATATAGCGGTAAAGCTCACCGTTTCGAGCTCGGTTCGTCTGAGCCGTTATCCAACGAAGCTGTCCTTCAAGGTTGTAGTTCTTGATAAGGCCATGCATCTTCTCGATCTCTGAGATCTCTTCTCTGTCTTTGGACTTGTTCACGTCAATGTTACCAGCTATTACAACTAGATTCACCAGCTCTCTCAATTTGTTGTTCTTGGCGTACATCTCAACTAAACCAGAGATGTTCTTCACGTTGTCGAGCCTCGCCATTGAGAAGAGTATTGGCTTTGACCTATCGCTCAATGTTCCGCTACAATAAACAAACCATCCAAAAAATCAAATGGTCTTAAATCAAAGTCTATATATATTCAAAAGTTATCTAACCATTACTAAACTCAACTATTTTTGCTAGAAAAAATACAAAACAAAACTATGATTAGGAAAAGTCTTTATTATAAAATCAAATGAATCGAAATAATGTCAGTGATTAATTAGTACTTACATATGCTCATCAGTTTGGTCAGGGCTAAAGAGCATTTCTTCAATGGAACCATGCAAAGCTGTAAGTCTCTTATTTTCTTCATTGAAAGGGAAATAAATGGTCATGTCTGCGCCTGGTGAGACTATGTTGAATTTCGGATCAAACACATCGATGCCGTGAACTACTCTGTATAGTCCCGGGAGTGTAAAAGCTCCATGGCTTTCGTATTGACCAACAGTGTTCTTCCTGAGCAAAAACAATTCATATCAAGGATGAGAACTTGGAAAGAAAAAGAAAAACACTTTTTGAGATTAATAATAAGTCACTTACGTTCCAGCGATTTCTTGGTAAGTGCTTGTGATGATGAAATCTGCGTTGTTCATTGCGATGAGATCAGCTGTGAATTGACAAGAGAAATGATACTTGTTGTCGAAATCTTTCCAGTAAATGTCTGAATCCGGATACTTAGTTTTCTCCAGAGCATGTGCAATAGTACACTGTTCATGTCAAAAAATTTCAAGAATCAAGAAAGCTAAAACAAGAACATATGAGAGAAAGAAAAGAAAAACTTGAAACTCTTTAACCTGTGTAACACCCATTGTATGTGCCATTAACGATGCAACAAGGTTTCCATCGCTATAGTTACCGATGATAAAATCAGGAACACCTTGCAATTCACCGATAATCTCACTCGCTGCATCCTGTTTTTTTTTTTTAACCAAAGAAACATCAGTGAAACTTCTTCCTCAAGTAAACAAAACTCAAGAAAAGCTAAGATTTTTAAAAACCTGAGCATAGTTCTCTAGGTAAGGCCAAACATCGAATCTTGAAATCCACTTCCGGAGGATCCCTTTATCAGACCTGAAAGGAACTCGGAGAATGTGAGTATGCTCAGTGCCGCTTACTCTCTCTAACCTCTGGTTGCACGTTGTTCCTTTAGCGTCCGGTATCAATCTTGTTACCTTGGAAAACAAGGAAATGTAGTCCATAAGATCTTGAGATTAGCCATTGATAGTCAGATATACAAACTTACAATGAGAATCCTAGGCGTTATATCCAATCCTTGTCTCTTTATTCTCAGCAGCATTTCGGTCTCAAGAGCTCGAACTTGGTCTAGGATATAAACAACCTGAAAACATCAAAGAAACTTTAAACAAGCTTAAACCGGAATCTGAACAAAAAGTTGAAATGCTCAGGGAAAGTTTACTTGTCCACCAGTGTCAGGTAAGCCTAAGACATTAGCTTGCCCAAAGTAACCATGTGGAGATAAGATGGCAACATTGAAAACCATAGGTACCATCCCAAGAAACTTCTCCAAGGAAGAAGGATCAGGAGCTTGAAGTATATCAGAGAGAAGATACAACATTTCAAGTACTCTCCCTGCGGTATCACCCCATCCTTTCTCAAATCCCATTCCCTGAAACGAGTATTCGAACTCCGAGAATGGAGTTTCTTGTGGGAGCTTAGAGATGTGATCTTCTGCTTTACTAAGTTGAGTTTGAAGCCTAGGTATGCTTTGAATCCTATCATTCAACATCAATGACTATGCACACACAACAACAAAAACAAAAAGTTTCCATTTTTAAACCAATTTCTTGGAGAAACAAAACATAATCAAGAAGGGTTTTGTAGGAAACTTACATGACCTTTGTACTTGTGAACTCTGAGGAAATCAAGGATAGGCTCCAAGCAGTCTTTGTTACGGAACATTACAGAAGACAAGTGACGATTCAGAAACTGAACTCCGTTACCAATGGAAGAGGAACGTGAGGGACGTGGCACGTTTGCGTTGAAAGGCTCGAAATCAAGCTCAAGACGGAAAGGGTCGTCGCTGTTTGGTCCATCAACGAGTTCTTCTTTGAAACGAAGATACTCAGAGACTGTTAACTGTTCAACACTTAGCTCATAGACGTTGACACGAACATATTCCCAAACTCCTTGTCTTGGTCTAACCGCTAAGGCAACAAATGGTGGAACAACTATGGCTTCCTACAAACAGAAATTAGTTAACGATGATTGAGTTTTGAGTTAAGACATGAAAAGGAAAAAAAAAGTGGAAACTTTTCATTTTTACCATTGCGGATTTAAGGATTTCGCCGAAAGGACCATCGGAGAGACTTTGCTTCGTTGCGTCGTCTCCGATTACAGATTCGAGCTCGTCGATTAAGTTATGTGGTTGAAGAATCCCTTTTCCCTGATCCACATACCTTCACAGAAACAGACCGTTAAATCAATTGAATATAAGTAAAAAAGGGTTGAAATTTTCCCGGAAAAAATCAGGGATCTGGACGAGAAACCTGGAGAGAAGAGCGACGAGTTCGTTGCGATGAGCGGAGAGAGTGTCTTGAACACGATCTCTCGTGCTTAGAATCCTAGTGAGCTTAGGGTTTGACATGGATATTATTCAGATGAATCCGGCTTTGAATGATCGAATCACCAACGAACACTGTTATAAAGGATAAAAATCGGAATGATTCTGGAAATTAGGCGAAGAGCGAGAGAGAGAGAGAGAAGAAGAAGACGTGTGTGATCTTCTCTGTTTCTTGCTAGTGTTTTCGGTAGAAGTGACGTGTTTGTGTTAAAAGGAGAAAAAGCATGTGACTGTGAGAGTGTATGTCCCTGTATTAAAAGACTTGTAATAGTATAAACCAGTGGAGACTCCGGCGTCTGAGTATTTGCTCTGTTTTGAAAGCGGTTTTATCGGAATTACAGAGGAACAAGACAACTGGTGCTCTGTTTTCGCGCCACGTAGTTTCTAGAAATGAATTTATTTATTTTTCCTGCTTTCTTTGAAAAGAGAAAACAAATCAATCAATGACCGACCACCGATCAAATTAAGTTTTTTGCTGTGTTGATTTCGAGTTTTTAGTTTTTTACACAGACGACGAAAACAAAAAAGTTTATTATCATTTGAGTGGATCTCTACTTGGCCTTTAACACATTTTGGGTTTATAGAAAACAATTTGGGCTTATCTTATCACTATTGGGCCTCAATGGTATTATTTTTCAACTACAATTTATAGAAGCGGATAGTATTTACTATTTAGATATTTACTATTGACAAGCATCTAATATCAAATTCGGCTATATTGTCTTATCCATACTGTTGGAATTGGTAATCCACTCAATGTAATTGGAATCACGTCGACACTATTGTATGCCGTGCAAACACGTTGTTAGTTTTCTCATTACAATTTACAAGTATACACTGAACCAATAATCTAATTATAATATTCATCTATTTTGTCAACTCAACTAACCTATATAAACACATGGAAATAGTTTTCAAAAACAAGCTAAAGCAAGCAAAATAGAAAGAAATGGCTTTCTCTCGCCTCTCATTTGCTGCTTCTCTCATTGTCTTCTCATCTCTAATCATATCTTCAGTTGCTTATTACGGCAATGAGGCCGACCCCGAAACCGGAAAATTGATTCCGGTCGCCGTTGAAGGTGTCATCATGTGCAAGAACGGTGACAAATCTTACCCAATTGAAGGTAATATAATTACTTACTTATTTTGTCGTTTTTTCTTTCTCGTTGTTACAAAAATTTAACAGAATGGCGTTTTAACTGTTTGTTTACGTACGACAGGTGCTACGGCGAGAATTGCGTGTGTGAAGACAGACGCATATGGGAATGAGATAGTTCCAATCTCAATAATGAGCAGCAAAACTGATTCTAAAGGTTACTTCTTCGCCACGCTATTCCCTTCGCAGCTTCGTGCGGGAAGGATGGTTACCAAATGCAAAGCTTTCCTATACCAATCTCCGATCGCTGATTGCGATTTCCCTACCGATGTGAACAAAGGTGTCAGGGGAAGTCCATTGAGCAAGTACCGTGTTATTGAAGACAAGAGTTTCAAGCTTTACTGGGCTGGTCCTTTCTTCTTCACCTCTGAGCCTACTTACTACTAATAATCTTGTTTTGATGAAACATGTTCTTTGAGATTCGTTTCGTTTTGTTTGATTTGTCGTGTATAACATTTGTCTGAAAATGAGCTAACAGTTTGTTTTCTTTGTTTTTAATTTATTTATCATGACTTCCATGTATCTTATGTTGTCTTTCTTCGGAATTTAATGTTATTTGTTCTAATCATCTAATTACTAAATTGCTTTTTTTTCTTCTTTTACTTGCCTAGTGTTGATCGAAGTTGTATTACAATTTTTTTTACATTGTGTGAAAAAAACTGAAGAAAAAACGTCCATCGAAGTTAAAAAATGGAGATCGTTCTAAATAAGAAAAGATTTATAATCCCTAGATTATTTTGATTTTGAGCAAAGTTTTCATTTTCAATAAAAGAAACAAGATAAAATAAAAAATCAAGAACACATCGTTTTGTGAAAAATACATCCATTTTTTTCTATGTGCAAGTATAAGGTTTTACAAGAGTATCTACATATTACATTTGTATGTTCATCACATTCTTTGGTCTTTATATACAATGACCTGGATTTATTGAACACAAAACATCTAAAAAGAATTTGACTCTCTTTTTTCTGGTTTTCTTTTCAAAACAAAATGATATATTTTTTTCCCAAGAATACTATAAGAGCTCTCTAGTCTCTCTACCTCTACTTGGAGCAACCAGACTCTCTCTCGCTTCTCAGGTTTGCTTATCTTTTCCAGTGAACATGACAAAACTTCATGGCCAAGAACATGAGTCCTTTGGCTTCAACACTCAAGAACTTGCGCATTATCTGTTGATCTTGGCCAGCTGCAACCACTGGACCATCCCAACACACCCAAGATTAGGTCCACCTTCGCGCAAACACTAACCTGGGAGTTACAGATACATAGAGACACGGGTTAGGCTTAGTGATCCAAAATCGAACACGGTTTAAAAAGAGAGCATTGGGACATTTTCTATTACCAAACTTTCAATGTTTGCTTCTATTTGAAACAACATTACTGCTAATCCTCTTCCTCTGTCAATCTCGGCCTGCAAAAGACCATGGCATTTGCCAAATGAGTCTTGAGAAACGACAAAAGTTCATAAGTAAGGCTTTACAGTTAAAGCACGCACCACGCAGGAAGATACTGCGACGCCTTCAGCTGCAAGGACTGTTGTAACCTCTGCGATTATGCCTGCCATTATATAACAAACAGTTTTGATTTGAGTTTCCAAAAGAGAGAACAAAAGAAGTGGTTTTTGATTCATGATCATAAAGCAAATGAAGAACGTTACCTTTACGATCCATGGAGACTACACATAACCAGTCGATTGAGTGACCTTCGAGATGATGCCACGAGTCAATTTTAGAAGCTCGCCAACTGTCTAAGCCGGGCAACACTTCTTTGTAAGCAGGGATGTTGGCAGGCAATATCTTGGCAATTCCATCCCCAGGCAAGAAGAACTCTGGATTCTCCAGACTCGAGTTTTTTATGGCCTTGTTGTGTTTCCCATTCACCTTTGGGACCCAAACGCTCCCGTTTTGAGAAGCGGGTGTTGCGTTTCGGCTTTTGTCTTGCGACTGAAACTGCTTAACATTGACGAGAATTTTCTCCCACCATTGTAGGCTCTTTCTTGAATCTTCTGTGAGATCTTCCACGTCACTGTCAGAGTCCGCCACAAAGTCATTCACTCGATCCTGGGTTATTTCTTCAGCGCATTGCGCAGCTTGCTCCCTTAGGAACTGAAAGAAGTTGAGAGGCATCGATTAGTATAGTGAGCCAATTTAGCAATAAAAAGTACGCAAATTTATTATAAATTACCCTCATGATCTTGTGTCTTGCACTCCTTGTTTTGGCATGTTGCAACCACTGTTTGTGTCTCTGGAAAGCAGATTTGCTTGAGAGGGCCTGTTATGTGACAGCAATAATAAATCATGAGAGCTTGCGGAACAAAAAGAAAAGGAGAAATGACAAACACATCCAAGAGAGACAAGGTACAAACGTTGTAGGTGAGTATCTCCACCACCTCGGCATTCTCAAGAACGTGCGTTGGAGAAACAAGATTACCATTCACCTGCAGTTTCAAGCAATTAAAAATCTTTAACGTCTGGTAACAGAAAGAGAATTTAAAGATTTCATGGAAAGAATGACAGGAAAGTAGAAATTACCTTTGCTGCTACCATCTTGTTTCCGATTTCAGTGTGAATCAGATAAGCGTAGTCAACAACGGTGGCTCCTTTAGGAAGGTTCTTTATCTGCAAATAGAATACCAAAGCATCTAAGCAAAGACGTGAAAATTTTTAGATGAATGTTTCAGAGGCTTCGAGGTGAGCTTAGTCTTTACCTCTCCTTTAGGTGTGAATACAAACACGCGACTACCTAAAAGATCCCGCGTAATGGTATCCACAAATTCTCTAGAGGTCATGTTACCCACAAACTCCTCTTGCCATTCCCTTATCGCATTTAACCACCCAACCTGGAAAAATAAACTGTCATAACTAACATCATATTGGGAAGGCAAAAGAAATTAAAAAATAATATCACTGCCTACTAGTCAGTATCAACAAATTCACTGCCTCTTTACTGGTGAGTATGCTAAGAACATACCCTGAGTGCAAAATCTGCATTGTTGAGGCAACCCGTCTTCCCCCTTGAGTTTCTACCTAAAGGAACCGGATTTCCAACTAATCCAGCAGAAAGAGCCTTGCCATTGTAATAAACAGCAATCCCCCTTTCAGCTATCAAGTCCATCTCCTCGGTTCTGATCTGCAGAGAGAAATGTAGTTTTAGTATCAAATCAGTCTTTTAGAAATTGCCCATGATTCTCAAATGTGTTCATCATCAAAGTTTTCCTAAAAACTGTGATGATATAGTATTATCAAATACCTGAACCTCCAGCCGAAACATACTCTCGTACAAGAACGGAATGACAGTAGTATGGAGGCTCTGGTAGCCATTAGGCTTCGGTGTTGCAATGTAATCTTTTACCTATAACAAAAGGTAAGACATATGCTCAGATGTAATGTAGTGAAAATAAATCCTAGAGAGCAGAAGATCAGATGCATACAGTTCGGGGAATAGGTTTCCAGATCTCATGAACTAGTCCAAGAACATGATAGCATATCTGCATTGACGACATGAAAAAGCTAAGTGACACACCAGACGAATTGGAACAAAAGATAACCACTTTCTTTTCATTGGGGTTTTACCTGTTGTGGACTGCACAAAGGGCCAACCCCCACGGAAGGTTTTGGCTTTACAACAATCCGTAACTGCTAAAATAAACAAATTTAGAGAAGCAGCACGTTAACATTCATGTTAAGATGGCAGACGGAAGTTCTTTATTCAAAACCTTTGATACAACTTGGAGATGAGTGTACAACACAAACCTGAGCAATCTGGTTGTAATCATTTATTGACCCATTCGCTTTGAGTGCAGCTTTGTATATGCTGCAAGTAAAAATAAGAAACTTCAGATGCTGAAGAAATGGGGTAGATTACAGAGTAATATGAAGAAGCTACTTAATGAATTCACCTGTAAGTTTCCTTGCAAACAGATCGAACATCAGTATTCACGGTCACAAGGTCCAAAAACTGATCATCTTCAATCTTTTTCACCAAAATTCTGTTTGCCTAAGATACATAGTAGGACTCTGTGAATACATATGAACTAAATATACGCCCAGATGAATTCACACAATTCGAAAGGTGAGAGAACGTGTAGGTTGATAATGAACATCCTTTTCCTTTTCAAACAATGGTTTGGCAATTTAACCTAAGAGCAATAATGAGTTGAAATTACCTCAGTGAGTTCTTTCTCATGCTCTTTGTATAGGTTAGCGATCCTGCTTGTGACTCTCTCATAATCCTCCGCACTTGCGTACATGAAAGATAGATTTTCCAGTTCAGACTGCAAGATTAGCACCACAAAACTCAGAACGCCATGGGAGACAACAGCTGAGATAATTAAGTTTCGTAAAGACCTTTGAACTGGTGACTAGAAAACTACCCTACCTCATGGCATAGTATTGTTTTAAAAGAACAATAGCAAACAAAGACAATTAGTAAGGGTTATACCTTTATTGAATACATTCCAAGCAATTTCGCTAGAGGAGCAAAGACCTGCAATGTCTCCCCTGCGATGCTGGACTGAAAGAAGCGCACAAAATCATTAGTTATCACCAATGAAACATAGAGATGAGAGATGAGAGCTGTATGGGAAACAAGTCTCAGCTACTTAAAGAAATCACCTGCTTATGGGGAGGCATGTGGCAGAGAGTTCGCATATTATGCAACCGGTCAGCTAGCTTGACAATGATGACGCGGACCTGGAATGACACAGTTAGGTCTGCTGATGAAGAATATAACCACACCAACTGAAACAAAATCTTAGAAAATAGAAACCTCGTCTGTCATCGCCAGAAACATCTGCCGCAAATCATCTGCTTTAACATCTTGTATTGATTCACTTTCGGTTTTACACTTCAACTTTCCCAGTTTTGACACCTAGTAAAGAAAAAACTTTTATAAATAAACGAACGCATGTCAAAGGAAGCGAAGAGTTCTTTCTCGATAAAGGGTTAGGGGATAGGAAAATTATTGCAGCAAACACAAATATGCAGACCTTAGTCTCCCCTTCTACAATGTGACGCACAGTTGCACCAAACTCTTCTTCTATCTTTTCAAAAGTAATAAAATTTGTATCCTCGACGGTGTCATGTAGCAATCCAGCAACAATAGACTCCCAATCCAATTCCTAAACAAACAAAAATAACTTATCAAGCTTTCCAAGTTATCCTCAAGTGAACCATATTCATAATGCATCACGCAACTCACAAGTTCCCCAAGGATACGAGCAACAGCAACTGGATGTATAATGAATGGTTCCCCACTACGTCTCTTTTGACCATGATGTGCCTCAAACGCTAACTGCACAAACCTTTCTTACTGAATTAAGAATTGAATATCAGAAAACTGAAATATACTTCAATAATAAAGACGTCACAAGGGGCAATGATATAGGATACAGTTGAAAGAAGCCTCTCAAATAATAAGAAACTTATATCATCATACCTTGAGGCCCTTTCGAACTAACTCTAATTCTTTACAGGATAAGTAAGATATCGATGGGAAAAGGTCCTGCAGATATAACCACCCATCAAAATGATTAGAGCACCGTGGTAGTAAGTGCCAATAAAAATAAAGAGGGCAGGGTCTACTACCTCCCATAATGTTTCGGCTGTCACATTGCCGGACGCACCAGAAGATTCAGATGATAAACAATACAGTTCCCATCTTTTATGACCACCACAAGATGTTGGGGACCTCAAGATTTTTCTCACATTTACAAAGGGAAGAACCTCAGAAACACCTACTTCATATTCATAACTCTGCCAAGCGCACTACATCATCCAAAAGAGAGACCATAAGGAACCTCGACATTATGAACAGAAAAAGTAGAAACACAATTCTGGAGCTTAAAATAACCATTTAAGCCAAGCAAGAAAATCTCAACACCCCTCCACATAAGCAAAAGCAGTAAAGTATACTTACAGATTTTACTCTACTCTTTCTTCCATTTCTGCCACATAGATACAAAGAACGCACAGGTGGATGAGCGGTGCTAGCTAGAAACCCAGTTAACGCTCTTGGAGCTTTCCAAGCACAGGAGAGAGCATTGCAATCATTTCTTGCATTCCCTTCTCCTTTCGTTAAGTTACATATGTTCACACATTCCACAGACACTGCAAATGTAGCCCACAAAACAATAAAATATTGACCAAAAAGAGCAAAAGCGGATGCATTGTATTCAAGGCAATTAAATTTCCAGATAAAAAAGTAGGTTCCTTAACCAGTAATAGAAAACTGTGGTCCTCCACAAGAAAGGGTAGGATGTGTGTAGTTGACACATGAACTTACTTAAAGAAGCACTAGTATACAACCTAATCGCTCGAAATGTAACTTTCCTACATTTACTCAGTGACCCAACATACACAAAGCACTTGGAAAATCCAAATACCATAGGAAGAGAACAAAACGAGCTTTCAATATCAATACTACTTGAACACATTTCCCTGCAACATAGTCGTAAAGAGACTCTTTTTCCTCTCTGTAACGGACTAATAGCTACGAAAATTACAAATTCGCTAGACACAGAGCACAATTGCGCGCGAATTCAATTAGAGAAGAGAACAAAACAATCATCACAAAGCTTTATCCGAAACTCTGCCTTCGAACGCGTGTCTCCGTAGTGAACAGGAAAATCGATAAACGATAATAAAACGCACCGGACATGGAAGAAGCAGAAGTCATTGCTAATGAGGCAACGCAATTACACTGAATCGATCCACCATTTGATCGAACGAGAATTCAAATCTCCAGATTCCGCAATCGACGGAGATGAAGAACTCTTTCGCGGAAGGTGCGAGTGGAATTTGAAATTTCGAATTGGGGAGCTTTTGAAAGGATAGAATAGAGAGAGAGAGAGAGAGGAGAGAGAGACGCACACAGTGATGTGAAGAGGAAGAGAAGAGGAGCGAGAGACAGATATCAACTCTCAGGTAGCCCTGACCACACAAATGCCATTCCGATATAAAAAGAAGTGAAAACAAAGATATTTTTTTTCACATTAAACTTACCTCTTTAATATTAAGTATTTTTTTTTTAAGAATGTGCCTGTTAAACATTAAATATTAAGTAATTTATTTATTAAGGTTTTCACATTATTTTTTTTTTGATTTTTTTTCTTGTATGTAAATTTGTAAGCATGGCAATGTTTTCAATGTGTAAAATATAAAATCACCATAAACTTATATTTATATATACACGTTTCCAAACTTATATTTTTCACGTTTTCAGTCTCTAAAACGTTTCGTTTGCTTCCGTTTTCGTTATCATATAATATAATTTATTAATATTTTAGTCCGCATAAATTATAAATGTTAAATTCATCCAATTTTTTATAGATATAACAAATTTATAAATGTTAATAAATTATGTAATCCAGGGTCTATCTACATGTAATAAATCGGATGATAACATATATTTATCTCTTTTATTCACTGTGTGAAGTAGAAGAACACAAAATACATCATTTGATTAATATAATTGGTTATAGCCTTATAGGGAAAGATATAAATGAGAAAAAGAAAATACACATTTTTTTTATGTACTATGTATATATTCCACTATGCTCATACAAAATTTCCCAATAACAAGTATTTCAAATATCGTTTAATTTAACTCACAAACCAACGAAACCATTTTTTTTTTTTTTTTGAAAATTACAACAAACAGAGATATATAAATTAATTAACCGGCAACAAATTAAGTTTATGGAGTTAAAATGGTGTTAATGAGAAGAGCGTCCTTGCAAAGCTTCAAGAAGTTTGTGTTCCTACGAGCAAGCTCAGCGTCATTACCAGCACGTTCGTTCAAAGCGTCTTCACACGACTCTGCGTCGGTGATCGCCGTGTTGAGCCAAATGTCAACGTCGATGTACGAATTCGCGAGCAAAGCGGCGAGAGAATCGTCGAGCTGCGCGACTGCGTCTAGGTAACTCTTGGAGCAATCGTCGAGCGTGTCTTCCAACGCGGGCTCGAGGTTCTTCTCCTTGAGTTTCGATTTGATGTAGAAAGACATGTCCGAAGCGTTTGCAGACGCGATGCTCAACGCGATCACGCCGAGTTTCGGTGCGGTTGCGGTTGCTGCCTCGGGACGTGACGTTAGGCTCGCAACGCAGAACGCTTTGTCTTCGGATTTCTCGCAGAATTTCTCAGCCAAGGCTTTGCCTTTCTCGGTGAATGTTGGTGGTGGGAGGTTACCGGCGATGACCACCGTGACGGAGACGGAGAGGCAAAGGAGAAAGATCCTTCCGACCATTTTCATATTTTTGTTGTTTTTCTTCTTTTTTTTCTCTCTTCCGTAGTTATTACAAGGGAACCAAAACTGAATATTGGTTATTTAAAGAGCTTAGAAAAATATGTATTTTTGGGTTGTTCTATTTTTAAGGTGTTTCTGCTTTCTTCCTCTAGTTTTTAGGCTAGTTAATGGTTTTTGCCATGTTTCATTTCTTATTTTGGGGTTGAGACACACAGGTGTGTTACGAGAAAGATGGTCAACGCACATTAGAAAAGTCAATATGGGCCTTTAATGGGCTTTTACATGTACAATTTAGGTTTTTGCTGTGTAAAATTTGAAAATGGGCTTAACAAAAACGTCCATTTGGAAATGATAGGTTTTTTAGTAACCCTAGAAAGTATCATATATAAACAATGGTGTCTCCATCGTCCAGCGATTCTCCGCCCAAAACCACAATCTCATCTCCAGGAGGGAGAGGCAAAAATGGTTTCGTTGAAGCTCCAGAAGCGTCTCGCGGCCTCAGTGCTCAAGTGCGGGCAGAAGAAAGTATGGCTCGACCCCAACGAAGGGAGTGACATCTCCATGGCTAATTCGCGTATGTTGTTTCTTCCTTCATCCTTTTTTTTCACTTTGTTGTTTGGATTTTAATTTTCATCTCTGTAATTCAAACTTGTTGATGAGGATGGTAGGAAAAAAACAAGAGATTAGATAAGTCGATTTGTTTGTAGCTCAAATCGTAGGATACATGAAATGATTTTAATTCAATCTGATGAAAATTTGAGCTCGGAAAATGGCACTGCTATTAGATACCAATCAGATTTGAGCATTCCCAGAAAATTTGTTTGGGTTTTCACATAATTTTATTAGTTTTGGATTCGCTAATTCCATAGCAGAGTGTTGATGATTGATTGCATTTCTGATGTAAGATTGTTATATAACTCTGTAGGCCAAAACATCAGGAAGCTTGTGAAGGATGGTTTCATCATCAGGAAGCCAACGAAGATCCACTCACGTTCCAGAGCACGCCAATTGAACATTGCCAAGAGGAAGGGACGTCACTCTGGTTATGGTATGCAACATTTTTGTAAACCAGACTGTCTCGAACATTACATTATAGCAAATCTTTTAATTGTGCCTATTTTTGATTATGGTTTTTAAGGTAAGAGGAAGGGTACACGTGAAGCAAGGTTGCCCACAAAGGTACTGTGGATGCGTAGGCTTCGTGTTCTGAGGCGTCTCTTGAAGAAGTACAGAGAGACGAAGAAGATTGACAGACACATGTACCATGAAATGTACTTGAAAGTCAAGGGTAACGTCTACAAGAACAAGCGTGTGTTGATGGAGAGCATCCACAAGTCCAAGACTGAGAAGGCCAGAGAGAAGACTTTGTCTGACCAGTTTGAGGCTAAGAGGGCTAAGAACAAGGCCAGCCGAGAAAGGAAACATGCTAGGAGAGAGGAACGACTTGCCAAGGTAAATTTGTTTAATGCTTATAATAATCTGTTAATTTATTTCAGGCCATAACTTACATATGCTCAAATAATTGTTTTTTTTTATCTCATATCATATGGTTTTGTGATTTCGTCTCAGGGTCCTGGAGGAGACATAGCTGCCGCACCTGCCGCCGCCCCTGCCGCAGCTCCATCAGACAAACCCGCCGCCGCACCATCTACCAAAGCTCCATCAGACAAACCTGCCCCCGCACCAGCTGGAAAGTCTGTGTCCAAGAAGGCGAAGGCAGCCAAGTGAGAAGAAGACGAAACTTTGTTTACCTAAGTGAATCTTTCTTTAGCAGTGACTTCGCATGGTTTTTTTGCATTTCATCTTTGTCAAAACATTTCTTTGCTACAAATATCAGATTCTTTTCAGTAGTTAACCGTGATTCAACTATGCTTCTGTCTCTGTCTCAAGTCCTTGGTTCTTTCTCAGTCATCTCTGCAATAAGCCCGTTTTTATTTTGAACTATTAATTTTGATTAAGCTTAGTTTAGAGGCATTTTGAAAGAGAAATTATCCATATGATATAGTTTGGGTTTTGTGCAAAAAAACCATTGAACTTAATTTTTTTTGCAAATCTACCATTTTTATTATGTGCAAACTAAACCTATGAACTTGCAAAAACCCCGCTATATAACCCTTAACTGTATTGTCGACGTGTTCTAACATGGTTCTTTAAAAAAATTCGAAACACTGCCTTTTTGGAATAAAAACGGAACGATGTTTTCATTAGTTGTGTCGTTTTTACACAACTAAATTGACTTGTACAGCAAATTTACGAGAAAAAAAAAATCAAAATGTCGGGATAAAATCACTTTGGGAAAAAGAAAATTAGGGTTTTTGGTGCTTTTCGCAAAATCCATGAGATAAAATTGTGGACCAAGTTGACGATATTGTGGAAGCTGAAATCGAGTGACAAAGTGGCCTTAGTGATAGACGAAATTTGTAACATTTTCATGGGTTGTATATTTGTTGGTGTATTTTGGTTATTTCCTTACAAATCTCTCTCAATTAAGATTTTAACAAAATATGACATTATGCGATTTAACAACAATAAAAAGGGTCATCTTAATCTTATAGTTCCACCACTATCACCATTGGAGGTTACTATATGGGTTTTGTGCAAAAAAACCATTGAACTTAATTTTTTTGCAAATCTACCATTCAGTTTTATTATGTGCAAACTAAACCTATGAACTTGCAAAAACCCCGCTATATAACCCTTGGCTGTATTGTCGACGTATTCGAACATGGTCCTTTAAACGTGTAGTTTTGGCAAAACAAAAGCCATGTCGTTTTTTCAAAAAACAACATAATAGAAGCATAAACTTGACATTAGAGTCTTACAAACTGGATAGAATTAAATCTTACATAGCATTAAGAACATAAACCTTAACAACTTGATTAACTTACTTATGAAAGAGCATTACGTTAACAAAGTCTGAAACAAAGTCTACAAAGTCTGAAACAAACAAGAAGAACAAACAACTCAAGGTCTACATCGCCATCATTCCTCCAATAAGAACAGGAAATTCAAGAAATGAAGCAAATAGTTTTAAAGAGTTACTATTATCTGTTCCACAGAACTCAAACCAGTTGGTTGAGGCCTGAACAAGGATATAGAAAGAACATTATCTGCGTTGACACCTAGGTGAAAGAAATCTTCTTGATACTTCATCTGCAGTGTAATTGCATTCCTGCTTTTGTAGTGTTTAAGGTTTGCTTCAACTCCTGTAGGAGATAATACAAAATTGAAACTGCGTTTTACTTGTGATTGCTCCAACGCCATAAAGTTGCAAACACAATGACAGTTACCTAGATGTGTTTGTGTTGATTCAGAAGAATCTCTTGTCAGAGTTCAGAATTTGTCCTCTGGAGCTTTTCTTCTACGACCTGTGATGGACTGTTTTCTTCTTCTTCCTCATGTTGTCTTATGTCACACTTCTGAGACTTCTTTCACAACTTTGTTCAACACACACTCTACAACCTAAGCAGATTGAAGTAAAAAAAGAAATCAGATTTCTCGATAAGAATTTGCTCAATGAGAAACTTCCACTACAATAGTAACTCTTTAAAACCACAAAATGGTTTTCCTACAAAGGAATTCTGTAAAGCCACAAATGGTTTCAAACAACTTCTAGGCAAAAGAGAAGCAAAGATTGTTGTTAAACGCTTTTCTCATAATTCAAGTCAAGGAATGCCACTATTGGCGGAGATAGCAACTATTGGTCAGCTTAGACACCCAAATTTAGTCAGGCTTCTTGGTTATTGCAGGTACAAAGAAGAGCTCTACTTGGTTTATGACGTTATGCCCAATGGAAGCCGATTAAATTTGGGAAACTTCCACTTTAAATTAACAATTTCAAAACGAAAACATGAAACATTGAGACAACTAATCAATTAATCAATGAATGCTAACCTACTCAAAAGGAGACATAAAAACAATTCAATCCTGAAACGTCACAAAAATCTAACATAATCAATTTAACATTCTAGCAGAGAAAGAACAAAGATGGTGAGGAGTACGAATTTACCTCATCTCGTGCTCAGAATACAAATTTCGTCTATCACTTAAGGCCACTTTGTCACTCGATTTCAGCTTCCACAATATCGTCAACTTGGTCCACAATTTTATCTCATGGATTTTGCGAAAAGCACCAAAAACCCTAATTTTCTTTTCCTCAAAGTGATTTTATCCCGACATTTTGATTTTTTTTTTCTCGTAAATTTGCTGTACAAGTCAATTTAGTTGTGTAAAAACGACACAACTAATGAAAACATCGTTCCGTTTTATTCCAAAAAGGCAGTGTTTCGAATTTTTTTAAAGGACCATGTTAGAACACGTCGACAATACAGTCAAGGGTTATATAGCGGGGTTTTTGCAAGTTCATAGGTTTAGTTTGCACATAATAAAAATGGTAGATTTGCAAAAAAAATTAAGTTCAATGGTTTTTTTGCACAAAACCCATATAGTAACCTCCAATGGTGATAGTGGTGGAACTATAAGATTAAGATGACCCTTTTTATTGTTGTTAAATCGCATAATGTCATATTTTGTTAAAATCTTAATTGAGAGAGATCTGTAAGGAAATAACCAAAATACACCAACAAATATACAACCCATGAAAATGTTACAAATTTAAGCCCGGTCCGATCCGGTTAAGAACAAAACTTTTGCGTCTATCAGAAACAGAAACCAGTAAACGAGACGAAAACGAACTGAAATAACCATCAAAATTTTACAAATTATAAGGTCCGGTCCGATCCGGTTAAGAACAAAACTGTTGAGAACAAAACTTTTGCGGCTAACAGAAACAGTAGAGAAAAATGTCTAGGTAGTTTGACTGTAGAGTTGAGCCCAGACAAACTCTTCATTATAACTTACGCTAGAGTCACACGAATTCTCACACGTGTACACCACGATTGTTGCCCAGTCAAGAGATTCCCTTTCGTTCTGCGCCCCGAAGAAGTACAGTAGCTGCGGCATTACCTGCAAAATCCGCCATCGAAATGATCAAAGAACAGCGAGACAAGCTTCCAAAATGCAAGAACAGAGAAATGAAACGGGCGGAGTGTTTATGGTCTAAAACAGGTCTGATATAGACTAAAATGTTGGTCTTGCCATCAACTAGTTTATAAAGAAAAGTAAAACAAGTGGCTAAGACCAGACTCTTACAAGTTTTGTTGAAGAAGAAAGAGTTACCTGAAATTCAAAACAACGAGGACCACCACAAGATTTGCAATTAGGAACCTCAGATTTAGAGACTCGTCCACTTGCCATTGGCCAAAGAGGTTTAGCTCCAGAGCTCCGGCAATATCTGTATCAAGAATTGATAATGTATTTCAAGAAATGAGAATCAAAAGAAAAATGAATGCAAAAGCAACAACTTTGGTGTATCTTTTTAAACACACCTTAGCACTTGTTCAGGGGCTTTGTCTACGCGTTGCTGGAAACTAACCCAAATCTGTTTATCCGCATCTCCCTGTATAAGCATGTATAGTGAGAATCACTCGAACGAATTCACACTTGCAAAAATGGCGGCCACAAGTGACTTTACCTCATATTCTTTCATCAGAGATTTCATATCGTCGTTGACTTCTCTCACTGGGACCAAAGGTTTCGCAGCTTCATCATCTTCTGACATCTCTGTATCATACTCACTTTCATCCACATTGATCATCACAAACTCTTTCCACAGACTCTTACTCGCAACTGCAAAAACCAAAACAAAATAAACATCACTACTAGTATATAAAAGTTCCAAAGCTAAGAAAAGGTTTGTTGTATTTTGCTAACCTTTATGCTTTTGAGTCAGAGAAACCCCATTATCGACAACGCCTGAGCCAGATGATTCTGTAACCGCACGAAGCTGTTGACATTCGGTTTTATGACTCACACGCCAATGCAGAGACTGGAAATTCGAAACAAGAAGATTGTCAAAAGGTGTAGAATGGACAGAACAGTAAAAAAATGAGACTAAACCATACACACACACACACAGAGACCTGGTGTTTCTGAGAACAATATCGAGCGTTTTTGCAGCCGCTACATACTTTATCTCCTTTCCATGTTCCACACCAAGAGCAAAGCGGAGCTAAATAGAAAAAAATCAAAATCAAGAATCGAAAAATGAAAGAGAACTCTCCGGAACTGAGCCAAGACCATTAGTCAATACCTCCATGTCCCAAGGGCTTGTCTGTTCCATCGTGTTTCGGAGCTTCGCTCGAGTAAAATGGATTAACACGAGGCAATTGGCAACGAAAGACCTTCACACTTCAGAGACAGAAAGAAAAATTTAGTGTAACAATTCAGATGGAGAGAAGAGAGACAAACACAAAGATGCGATATGTAATTCTACCTCCGCATAACCTTCTCAGGAGCACGTTTCCATTGCTCATGTTGATCACGAAGGAGGCAAGACATTGACGGACACATGAAGAGGAACAATGTCCGGTGAAAAGTTGATTCCTTATCCGTTAACGGAGCATAAAGCTGCGAAATTTTCCTCCGTCCAGTAAATAAACCAACCAAAAAAACAAATGCGACGAATATCAAATTAGTTTTGTATAGAAACTCACCTGGAGTACAAATTGTAGAGGCTCTTCACATAAGTCACATAGAATTGACTTCCCTGTTGGTAAATTAACTGGATCCAACCACGCCTACATCACAAATCAAAATCTAAGAAGATAAAGAAGAAGAATTTGATTGCAAGTACTGAAATGTTGTTTATAATGTAGTACCGGAACACCGCCGGCTAAATTAGGGAAGAGTTGACGGAGACTTGACCATTCGAATTTGGGACTCTCGACGAAACCCAATATCACAGGCTCAGAATCTTCATCGTCTTCCTCGTCATCATCATCGAACTGTTCGTCGACATTAATCGGGTCCATTGGAGCTTCGACATTGTCATCATCACTATCATCGAGCTGAGTTATTCGGAGGCCTTTGAAAACGTCTCCGTTGAAGCTACTCATCACCACAGATTTTTGAATTTCTGAGTTGAATTGATGCAAATGATAGCTGCGAATGAACAAAGCAAGAGACTTGAATTTTTACTCTTTGCTGCATAAACCTCTCAAAAATCATTTTGAAAACGAAATAAAAAACCAATGCCAAGTTCACATTTGATCAAGGGTGTTTCACCAAATTCGAGTGACTATGTTACCAAAAACTCACTGATTCTCACGATTGAACAGCTCAATTCGCAGCGAATTACAAACCCAGAATTAATAATCAGCTCACTATTTTCACAACGAGAAAAATCCGAAAGAAACTTACAAGTAACAACAACAATCGGAGATGAAGATTTTCCTCTGATTCTTCTTCTTCTATCAATTTAAACAGTCAAATTCCATGGACATCATTAACGAAGACGACGACGAACTTGACAACACTCCCTGATTCTCTCCGTAAGCAAAAACAACGTCCCGCCAAACAGAAACCCTAGACTAAACGACGTCTTAACAATTAGGCCCGTGATAATTAAAGCCCAATCAAGTAACATAAGCCCATTAACGGTTTCTTCTTCATTGGTTGCGGATAAAAATATAACCTTAGCCACGAAGAGAATAATCCTTATCCCGGACAACCTTATCCCTAAAAGCTCACCGGAACTCCAATTCCCGCTCACCGACCTCTCTCTGTCTCCGCCGGCGTTTCTCTGTAAGCGACGATCTCTACTCCTTTCCTAATTTAATTGAAAAATCGATTTGAGGTACTTTGAATTTCTGATCCTGCTTCTGATGTGTATTTGATTTCTGAAGTTTCAATTTTTGGTTACGTGCAATCGAATTTGCAGGTAAGAGAAGGAGGAGATACAATGAGCACGCTTAGTAGAAACGGCAATGAGAGATTGAGAACGGTGTGGACGCCTGAAATGGATCAGTATTTCATCGAGCTAATGTTGGAGCAGGTGAAGAAAGGAAACAGATTCGACGATCATTTGTTCAGCAAACGCGCTTGGAAGCTCATGTCTTCTTCCTTCACCGCGAAATTCAAGTTTCCTTACGGCAAAGACGTTTTGAAAAACCGGCACAAGACGTTGAGGAACTTGTTTAAATCCGTCAAGAATCTTTTGAGAGAAGATGGTTTTAGCTGGGATGAAACCAAACAGATGGTGGTTGCTGATAATAGCGTTTGGGATCAGTATCTAAAGGTGCGTTTTTGCGTTTAGCGTTTTGTGTGTGTTGCTCTTCTTCTTCTTCGTTTTAGAATAAACTTTTGACAAGGCTTTGTTTCAATATCTTGAAGGGTCATCCTAATTCAAAATCTTTACGGATAAAGTCGATACCTTTTTACAAAGATCTGTGTTTGATTTACACTGATGGATTGTCTGAGCTGAAAGGTACAATCTTTAAGTCTATTCAATCTAATATTCACAGAATTTTGTGAAGATTCTTAGCCTATGATCAATGTGTTTCAGCTCAGGAGAATGTTACTGAGGGAGAAACAAACACTCAGATTGAGGAAGATGAAGGTTACAACAGAGCATGTGAATCAAAAGGAAGCAGCATAACACGGAGCAGGACTACTTGGCATCCTCCAATGGACCGGTTTTTCATCGGTCTGATGTTGGACCAAGCGAGAAGCGGAAACCAGATTGACGGTGTTTTCAGGAAACAATCATGGACTGAGATGGTTACTCTCTTCAACGCGAAATTCGAGTCTAATTTTAACGTTGATGTCTTGAAGAATCGGTACAAGACTCTGAGAAGACAGTTTAACGCAATCAAGAGGCTTCTTCGATCAGATGGGTTTGCTTGGGATGATGAGCGTCAAATGGTAACAGCTGATGATAATGTCTGGCAAGACTATATAAAGGTAACTGATTGCTGCTCAGTGTTAACGTTAAATGCTTAGAGGTCTCTTTTTAAGTGTTCTTGTTTGAAATCATTACAGGCACATAGAGATGCAAGGCAATTCATGACTCGGCCAATTCCGTACTACAAAGATTTGTGTGTGCTCTGTGGCGATTCCGAGATTGAGGAAAATGACTGCTTCGAAGCTATGGACTGGTTTGACCCAGAAACAGAGTTCCAAGAGTTCAAGTCCAGTGAAACAACAGATTTGCCTGTTTCAGCTGAGGAAGAAGATAGCAATTCTCTTTTGTTTGACCCCAAGAACAAAAGAGATCACCAACAACTTGATACTACTGATACAAACCCTATAAACTCAAAGAAGCCTCGAGTTGATGAAACCGAAACTAAAACCATAGCAATAGAGGACGCAGTTGAAGCTATTCAAGCGTTACCAGACATGGACGAGGAGCTTATATTAGATGCTTGTGATCTGCTTGAAGATGAAATAAAGGCGAAAACTTTCTTGGCTTTAGATGTGAAACTACGCAAGAAGTGGTTGTTAAGGAAACTCCGGCCTCAAGTAAGCAATGTAGAAGTTTGAAAGTTGAACAGAAGCTCATTTGACGTATATTATATAGACTACTCTAGTGGGCACTTTGCCAGAGTTTCATTTATGAATACTTGACTAAGAGCTATAAAGATTCAAACAATGTATCACATCTTGTTTCGTATTCTTATCTCAGAAGTCTTCGATGTGATTAAACATGGTTGATGAGACTAAACCTTGTACAAACTCTGTCTTCTTCGCCTTCTCTCGTAGCTCAGTATCTGACAATGGAGACAACAGTTTCCTGTCAAAAGCAAAATGTATCTTTAGACGAGGTAATGGAAGGCGGAGACAAGGAACGCAGAACAGAGATAATGTCAAAAAGTTGCTTACTTTTCTGCTGAATCCCTAATAGAGCTCTTGTCTTCCACGCTTGCTCCAGTTGATAAATTAGGCAGTACAAGCTTGGGAAGATTTGGTGATGGTGGATTGTAGATGAATGATAACAATGAGTCAGGAACAGTTTTAGATGAACGATTTGTAAACCGTGGCTCATCATCTATCAAAGACTCCAAGTACTTCTTTGTCCTTGGAGAAAATCCTGAATCTAACTCATTCTTGTGAAGGCTCTGCTTCTGTTCAACGTAAGTTTTCGTCAAGGAACCAAATGCAAGATGATAAGGTCATGTCTATGGTTAAAAAGTAAGTTGGAAAAAGGATATCTTGAAGAGATCTTGATGCTGCGAGGTAATGTGATCAACCATATCATTCTTCACCCGTCTGCTACAAACCGGACATATCTACATCAAAACCAAAGCTAATCTCATTCTCAGAGTCTCTGAACCGGTTCTAAGTCTCTAAAGGTGTGTACTTTAACCTTAAAAAGTGTCGAAAGATCCAAGAAATTACCCCATTGTTAGCGTCTAGTGCATGCTCCTCGTCGATATGGTCACACAATTCAGCTAAATCATAATCATCTGAGCAAAACGGGCACGGATAATTCACTGCCATCTCATCACCATCCTCGAACTCCATACAGGAACCTGAAAAAAAAAGAAAGTATACCAATCACAAAACTTTATCAACAGAAGAAAATTCATAAAATGACAAAATTTATTAAAGATTTGCCATTTCTCCATTATTAACAAGCGCCCAAGAGAACTTAATGGCCAAAAGATGAAACTTGATAAAGAAATTAAGAAAGACTGCGTAAACCCGAAATTCAAGATTCTAAGCCTAAATCCAATCGGAGAAAGAGGGGATTTTTCGAAACTAACCAGACTGAAACTTGTGTTCTAATCGAAGCTTCTTGGAAGAATCAAACCCACAAATGTCCAACAAATCTTCGTCCATCTGATTCCGAATCCAAGAAAGAAAGAAGAATTGGAAAATCTCAGACTCAGATCACTTTTCTAATTAAATGATATTCTTCTTCCTCCTCGTCCTCGTGCATTTATTTGCTTGTACCTGTCACTACTTTGTTGAGCCTCTCTCTCTTTTTACAAGAAAGTGCGACGAAACACTCCTTAAAGGCGAGACCTTTAATTAAATGAGCTTGCTTTTTCTCTCTACGGCGAGAGAATCAATCTATCCACAGACACGAATCTGTTGATAGAAAGTTAAGAAACTCCAAATGACTGAAATACCCCTTACGTGGTCAGTGAGCTTTTTTCTTTTACGCTCTGAAACTCTCTCTGCTGACTTTTAGCCGCCTCCAGTCAACATGGAAATTAAAGGGCTTTTTCGTCTTTTCGACAGACTTTAGCTTTTAAAGTGCGTCATCGACTCATCATCGTCTTAAAAACGTGTGCTCCACACACTAAACACTTTATTTGACCCAAAGGTGATAAAGAGCAACTGGAATAAAAAAGACCCAATATCTAAGTGGGCTTTAAAAGCCCAAACCATTCTGCTTCGTCGTTAAGTGTGTCTCGACGAAGAACACGCGCTAATGCAGCAGCGTTTTGCGATTCAGATTCATTACGAGTTCGTGAAATCTGAGCTCGGAAAATTCGATCTCGTCTTAGAAAGTTCCATTTTCCTGTAGAGAATTCGATTATTTTTTGAGATTGATTTGGGCTTGATGGCGACGAGGAATCGGACGACGGTGTACAGGAAGCACAGGGATGCGTGTAAGAGCGCTCGTGCTCCTTTATCTTTATCGGCTTCTGATTCCTTCGGTGGTCCGGTGATCGAAATGGTTAGCGGCTCGTTTACTCGGTCGAATCACACTGCTTACGCTCCTCTGAATTCCAGTGATCCTGGTCCGTCGAGGTAATTTATTGTTTGATTTCTTCCAAAAAATCGTAATCATGATTGATTGGGAAAGTTCTGTGCTACGGAACTAGAACTCTAAGCGAATTAGGTTACATAGTGATTTAAAGTAGAAGAAGGAAATGCAATTCACGGAATGTATGTAAATTGCTCAGTTTTATCGTTTTCACTTTTGCTCCATATGATTCAACATATTGAAATTCATTAGTTTCGCAAGTCAAATCATTTTCTTGATGATTCAACTATGGGGATGATTTAGAGCTAGTAGCTTTTGACATATTGTGTCGTTGGTTTGCTTAGTGAACGAAAGATGACAACTTGCGAATGTTTGCACTTTGCAGTAGCGATGCCTTCACAATTGGTCTCCCACCAGCTTGGGTAGATGATTCTGAGGAGATAACTTTTAATATACAAAGTGTGCGAGACAAAATGAGTGAGCTAGCAAAGGCTCATTCGAAGGCTCTAATGCCTACGTTTGGGGACAACAAAGGGATTCATCGTGCGGTCGAAATGCTCACTCATGAAATCACGGATCTGTTGAGGAATTCAGAAAAGAGACTGCAGAAGTTATCTACTCGAGGGCCTTCAGAAGAATCAAATCTCAGGAAAAATGTGCAGGTATTGTTGGACTTTTTCTGTATTGCGCTTGTTAACGATAAAAATGTGTGGCCATTACCTTTTCTAGTTGACTTTGGGTTATTCTATGATTTAAGTTTGTAAATTAGTACGAGGTTAAAGTTCTGTGTACATGTGTTAGCGGGGATCTCCAATGGACTTGACCTACTGTTTGACATACTGTTTTTGACAGCGTTCTCTTGCAACAGATCTTCAAAGCCTCTCCATGGAGCTTCGCAGAAAACAGTCTACTTATTTGAAACGTTTGCAGCAGCAGAAAGAGGTACTTTTTGCCCTTTTCTTCAAGAAAACTAACGAAAGATTTGATTCTTAGTACATTCATGTACCGTAAGTTGATGCTCTTATATATGTTTGGCTTCTCAAATCATAGGGTCAGGATGATGTAGATTTGGAGTTTAACATGAATGGAAACATGTCGAGACTTGATGAAGACGAGGAACTTGGTGGGATGGTGAGCGCTTTAACTGCTATGATTATCATTGAAATCGATAAACACTTCTTATGGCTATTCAAGCTAGAGCGGTTCAGTTTTTGCAATCAATTGTCATTGCCTTCATTCAACTGGCAGTACAATGAAAAATAACTGATCTTCAACAAAATTGGTAGGGTTTTGATGAACACCAGACAATCAAGTTGAAGGAAGGGCAACATGTCTCAGCGGAAAGGGAAAGAGAGATTCAGCAGGTAATGAGAAGTAGATATTTAACGAAGCTGCTTGCTTCACATTCAGTGGTTACTAAATTCAAATTTTGCCTCTAGGTTTTGGGATCCGTGAATGACCTTGCACAGATAATGAAGGACTTATCAGCTCTTGTGATTGACCAGGTTTCGAGCTGACTCATTTAAGCATATAATACATATACATTGAGTGGATACAAAGGAATCTCTAGTCTCTCACAATGACTTTTGTGTGTGTGTTTTTGTATCAATCAGGGTACAATAGTTGATCGAATAGACTACAATATCCAGAATGTTTCAACATCGGTAGAGGAAGGCTTTAAACAACTACAAAAGGTTTGATTCTTTACCAAAAAACTTGCTAAATTATTTTATTTTTTAATCTTAGAGAAATCACATAGATGTTTCTCTTTGATGTATATGATTAGGCGGAGAGAACACAAAGAGAAGGAGCAATGGTGAAATGTGCGACGATACTTCTTATACTCTGTATCATAATGATTGTTCTTTTAGTCCTCAAGAATATGTTGTTCTAGTCATTTACCACAACAGCTTGTCTTTTGTCAGACAATTAACAAACGTTAACCATGTCTTTCTCCTGTTCAATTCTCTCATTTTCCGAAGCTTGTTTCTTTAGATAATTAAAAGCTTTCAACCCAATTTTCTTGGTTTTGGTCTTTAGTATAGCGAGCAGATGAAGACTGATGGTGTTATCTTGTTCGTTTTCAAGGGATTTATATCAAATCAAGGAGACTGCAAGGTTCTTAAATAAAAAGATACATCAAGGAAATAAAGTTATAATATAAATGACATTGCCCAAGGCAGAGAGTAAAACGAGTATCTTGGCTTCACGGACTTTATTTTAGGCAGTCTCAACCGCAAAAGACTGAATCAGTGGTCCATAGGCAGTCGCAAGTGCAAAAGTATGTATCAGAGGTTCCAAGCAACTTGAAGATGATAGGGAATATGCAACGAGACTTACAGAAGCTGCAAATTGGGCGAGTTATAGTGCTATTAAGCACCACCTCATATGATCTGTTTTGAAACTTTATTGTGCTTCTTGGCATTATCCCTGCAGTGCCTCCGACCACACATTCTGTATGAAAACTAGCCTGCTGATCTTTTCACGTGTAGAACCACTTGCTTGGATCAGTTTCTGTCTCACAAATGTCACACCAGTATTTACCACTTGCCTCTTCACCATAGCATAGTGTGAGAGGATGATCATCAACTCTATGCTTTATAACATGTGACAAAGTGGCGCATTTGAATCCCAGGACAAATCCACAACCAACTTCAATGCAACTGAGCACATGAGATTCCTCTAAGTTGCAACCACTGCAGATTCCATCTTCGTCTCGTAGAATGTAATATAAAGGATGATCGGGATGACTTGGATGAACAAAGGGCTCAGAAATTGAACTGCACAGAACATCTAATTCCATATCACCATGCTGGTACACAAAACCATTAGACACTCTATAACAAGCATCACACACAAAGAAATCTGACTTTCTTGGAACTAAAGTAAGTCGTTCATTGTGTAGCACATGCCATTTCTTCTTTGGAAATTCAGCACACTTTTTGTGGAGCATGAAATCACAATCCATGATACAGCCATAGAAGGATTCGAGAGAGATGGGTTGGGTGCATGCGTTGCAATGCTTGTTGTCTTCACATAAAACACCATCAAAGTTGAGTCTTAGGTAATGCTCCTTGTGGCTGAAATGCTGTATTGTGTTGTCATCTATCACCACATATGGCTCTATATCTTCTGTTTCTTCCGGTATTCCTTCGAGTTCTTTCCCGTTCCACACATCTTTTCTTGTAGCGCATTTCGAATGCACGACATAGCCAGGACACTTTTGACAAGAATATCCCCCGCAAGTCCAGTCCACCTTCTGGCGACAAACCCCACATACAGAATTCAGTACACCAAGAAGAGAAGTGCGAGAAACACGGTGCTCGTGCCGGTTGATGTTTATGAGGCGGGGAAGGGTAATGCAGTCTTGATGGATCATGAAACCACATTGAACACATATATAAGGGCTTCGATCTCCCTTGAGCCCGCAAGCATTACATGTAAAAGAATCCAGTCTTGGAAGAAGGGTGAGTTGGTGATCATGAGCTTTCAAATCCACAAGATGTCGGGGAGGTGGGTTCAACACACAACACATATCCAAGCTGAAGTTGCAAGAAGAGCAATGATAAAACAGCTTATCATATATCCGTCTTCCGCAAAGACGACATCTACTATCAGAATAGTCCGGAATCGACCAGTGAGGAGCTTAAGAGGGTGTAAAGAATGGTAAGGGTGGTTAACCTCTGACGGGTGTTCAACGTCCGACGGATTCAGTAAAGAACGGAAGGCTAAGTTACACAAAATACATTTGTAAGGAAATCCTTCACATTTGCCATCACGATCGAACTTGACCCGGTCTTGGAAAAAGATGAGCTCGTGGCCATGCGGCTCCAAATTGTCAATAAGCCTTGGTGGTGGGTAATTGGCACAGTGTAGATCGAGGTCGAAGTCACAGATGTTACAACGATATAATAGGTTCACGATATCCCTTCCACATTTCTTGCATCTTTTATCTTGTGGGTCACTCTGAAGCCGAAGAGTGTGACCTGAGTGAAGTGGGTGTTCCATATATTCAGAGGACTCGCCGCATATCTTGTGGACGAAAAAATCGCAGATTTTGCAATAGTAGCCATCAGTGATAGATTCGAAGCGTCCACAGCAATCACCTCTTCGCATTTCATTCCAAGGCACCATAAGATGCTCGTGTATCAATGGTAGTGACACTCCCTCAGATTCCATGGTTGTACACTACGAAACCGAAGAAGAACAGTTGGAGGAATAAGAAAGATTGGATCTGTCTCCTCTATTCTCTTCTTCTCTCCACTCAAATATTATCCTCAAGTTTATTTTATTGATTTTTCTTTTTATTGAACAGTTGGCTTCAAACATACGTATTAATTGGAAACATACGTATATATTTTCCGGAGTAAAATAGTGATTTTAGATTATACAATGGATAAAAAAGTCTCAAACACTAAGCTTGGGACAGAAATCTAAAGTCACAAAAGGAGAAGTAAACTCATCGAAACAAGCCATCCTGATACGCTCCGGAGTCGCAGGAGTGTCCAAAGGGAACCATTTGTTGCCAAGACCCATCTCGGCTCTAGCCGCTTTGATCGCATCTTTAATCGCAAAGAAAACCGATGACGCCAGAAAAAACGGTGGCTCACCAACTGCTTTTGATGAATGTATCCCCTTTGAATTTGGATTCCCCTGATGAAAATGAAAAACCCTCTTGTGTCAGTTTCTTCAGAGGCAAGTAAAGTAACAAAGCTTTTGTAGTTGCTTACCTTGAGCAGAGAAACCTTGAAGTTGATGGGAATGTCGTTAATGGAAGGTATTTTGTAGTTTCCCGGTCCGGAGTTGAGTAGATTTCCCGGTTTAATCCATTTATGAGCTGCATCTCCCCATTT